CGCGTATTATAATAACCTGCGAATGACGTCGTATAAGAAAACATATAAAAATCTACTTATATTTGAAAAGACATTTAAATTTTTTTGACATGTCAATGTTTTTAAGCTTTGATGCATCCACCTGTATTTTTCTTCCATGTGCGTTAATCTTCTATACTGTAAAGAAAATTTATTCTTTATTGATTTAAAATAATTATCGAAGAGGTTTCGATTTTATAAAAAGTTGTCTTAATAGATAACAACTGTCTTCTACAGAGCAAAAATGATTTATTATCTTTGCATTTTCTTCAGAAAAATATATATTTTTTCTTCATCTTCATCTTTTGATGACACTTTTCATTTGAAAAGTAAAATTTGATCTTTATCGTCTATCACCCCGTTTCCACAGAAGAAAACTCAATCTTTGGCCGGTGATTTTTTGTTCTTCCATAGAAAAATTTGACAAGGTGTCCTTAACTTGTTGACGTTTTCTATATTTATACAATTCAAATCTATAAAATTATGATTAATTGAAACTAATCAAAGAGCAATGAAGTGGTGGTCTTGAACGCAAATGTTGAGTTACCAACAACATTTTGATAAGATATACTACTTTGCACTGATGTATAATAACAATATTGAATCAGAGTCCAAACTGGTGTAGATCAACAAAAAAAATATATTTTCAAAATGTTTCTAGCACCTGGCCCTATCGCTAATCTACCAAAAACAAACAAACAAGTGAGTGCGATTATCGATTAGTTTTTTTAACACATTGAAGCAGTACTTGAAAATGTACCAGCTTGCATTATGCATTTTCTCTCGACCAATTTGCTCTCCTATGGGAGAGAAGATACACCCGAGAAAAAAATTCAACATTATTTTGCCTTGACAATCTATTTTTATCAATGATTAGATAATAGTTTTTTCTTATTCCATATAATACTTTACCCCGCTACCACCCAGCTGCAGAGTCTGACGTAGGGGAAAAAATACGATAATTATGGAAAAATGTGCTTCGTCTGAATGATAAGTTGACTTTTGTTTCTGTAATCTTTGCAATAATAAAATTTTGCCTACACACGTTTCTCATTTTTGATGAATTATATCCGAACAGCAGGTGTTGTGTTGATTTTGATTTGGAAATTTCAAATGGTGTTGGATATAGCAAGTGATATCAGCAAATGACTCGATAAATGACCGGAAACAAGTAGATAGGTTGGAAACTAACCTTGTGGCCTTTTGTTTACTCTATTTTTATAAAACAGATACAGGGTGAGATAAAAAAAACTGCAACAAATTCAAACGTCTTAATTTTTACATGTTTTTTTTTTTTAATTTTATTGAATGCAAACAAAAAATGTCGGAAATAGCATCAATTTTAGAATAAGTTTGGATTTGTTCGAATTTGTTACCTTTGGCACGAATTATTGCCTTCAAACGGCATATGAAACCGTCACACGCTGCCCGAATGTTGTTCTGCGGTATTTTGGCCCATTCCCGGCGAAGCACTTGCTTGAGGTAATCGACACTTTGGTATTTTTTAGTGCCAACCTTGCCAAACCAGAATACTCCAACGGATTGGAGTATTGTGCGCTGGAAATAAAGCGTGGAACCTCATTTTGTAACCATTCTTGTGCTGAGTCCACGGACGGACGATTAATACAAGCAGAGAGCGACCATCGGCTATTATAGCGGCCCACGAATGTTTTCTCATCGGAGAAAACCAAATTCGGCCGTTCACCACTATCGACCAAGCGATGCAACTCTTTAGCCCTTTTCAGTCTATTTTCTTTCTGTTGCGGTGTAAGTTCTTGCCCTTTTTGGAATTTCAATGGCTTTACCCCGAGCACATTTTTCAATGTTTGCCGAATGGAATATTGCGATATGTTCAGTCCACGAGCCATTTTTCGGTCACTACCAGTATTACGGTAACGTGCGATAGTACGAGACGCAAAAGATTTATTCACATTTAAATGCTAGAGTCCTCTAACGATAACCACTTGTGGTTTCCAGCTAAATATAAAGAAATCAGACCATCACGCTTGAATTCCATCACGAATAACATTTTTTCTGGAAAATTCACACCAAAATGCTTTTGTACGCTTGTAAACAATATAATGAGCTGTCAGTGGAATAATTTTAACAGCTGTCGGACTAGTGGCTTAGAAATGACAGCAGTCTGAAATTGGCTGCAGTTTTTTCTTCTCGCCCTGTATATATTTCAATGTAACCGCCCCTCAACTGACTAAGTTTGATTCTTCTTGAAATGATGATGCCATTGCTAACTCTAATTTGAAAAACGGAGCCTATAAAATACATTGCAGCGACAGCTCTTAAAAAAAAAACAATTTACATTTACACGTTCTCATAAATTTTCTGCCAATACGATCGCTCCATCCTAAGAACATAGTCTATCCCGAAAACCCAACAATTTCGTATGAAACATTTCTGAGACATAACAAGAAAAAAAGTTTAAAGTTCGGTCGGGCCGAACTCTGAATACCCTGCACCATTTGGAACAAATTTGGCAATTAAAAAAATCCTTAAAAATTCTTTTCAAATTTTAAAAATACCGAATGCAGCCGTTATATTAGTGTCTATACGACGACGTGGACCTGCATAGGCAACTTTTGTCATAAGCCATTACAATATTCAAATGCGAAGCTTGAAAAAAAATATTCGCTGAATAATGTGGCTAAAGTCATCAAAATACCGAATATAGGGAGGTACCATTATACGGGGACGTGGATCTGCACAGACAATGTTTTCATAGGCTGTAGTATCCATTACGAACTTGAAATACCAAAGTTGAAACAATTCCGGTGAATAATGTCGCTAAAATCAGCAAAATATCGAACATCGGGTGATGTCATTATATGGAGACACAGGCACGGACAATTTTCACCAAAATACGGAAAATAGAGAGGAGTTCGGTGAGAGAGAAGCTTCTAAATTTATATGCCAAGCCTTTTCCGGTTTATCGAGGATAATCCCAATTAATTTGGATATGAAAAATATAAGTTAGCGTTTTATCGCTCAAAAAATTGTGTATATAATAATAGTTAATAATAGTTAGTACAGTTTGTAAAACATAATAAAAAATAAAGCATATTTTTAGGCCTATGGAAAATATTTGTTAGCTTCTATAGGAGGGTAGTTTATAAAGTTATGTAAAAGTGAATTTACATAGAAATTTTTATCTGTGGGCTTAATTGTTATTTTATGAAAACTTTCAAAAAGGAAATAACTGTCAAAAAAGAAAACTTTAATAAAGGAAATATTTTACATTTTATATTTACATGGAACAAGAATTCAGACAAGGGGATGAACCAGATAACTGACCAATCTCAATAAATAACAACTAATTTATTGAAAGTAATTCGTTCTGGGGAATGATAAAATCCATAAGAAAAATGTAATGTTTGGTTGTACCACGAAAAGTCTTGATATTTTTTCAGATATATATTGAAGTAATCTCACGTTATATGTTTCTCGGAATAATGTCAGAACATTTGCATACAAATTTTTATCTAGGGGCTTAATTTTTGTTTTCTGAAAACTTTAATAAAGGATATAACTGTCAAAAGGACAATTTAATAAAGAAAATATTTTACATTCTATATATTTTAATGGAACAAGAATCCAGTCGAGGTGATGAGCCTGATAACTTACCGATCAAAGTAAATTTAAATAGAAACGGATAAATTTGATTATTGTGAGTAATCCCGGTTAACGCCTACATATAAAAGGTCTCTTTCTTTGTAGTCCTAAGTAACATATAATACATAAAAAGTAAAACGTACAGGCATAGTAAAATTAAGAAGGTAAAATCATTTCAAAAAAGCGTACCCATCTCTGCATTTTCTGTAATTTACCTTGTCACATTTCTCTACATTAAAACAGGTTCCCATCTCTGATTTGTGTATGTACACAAATTTGGTTTCAAAATTTTATTCCATAGACCTTTTAAAAAAGTTGCATATTGCTTTAGCGATTTAAATCAGTTAACATTGGTAACTATGTTGTTATGATATCGTAACAACAGAGGTATTTTCACAGGGTTCCCATGTTTTGACTCTGTCTTGTCCTATTTTTACACTTCTATGTCTTTGATCATCCCAACTATGATCCCAATTACATTGCTGTTTAGAGCATGACATGACTTCGATAAGGATTATGTTAAAAATATATTTATTGGAGCAAAATATGTTCCGGACTAAGTTTCACTAAATGGTAAAATTCGGCTGAATATGAAAAAAATCTATCTGATATTATATATATGGTGAGCAATAACCGGCTTCGATATACATCTTCAGCTATATAAAAATCTGAACCGATCTCTATAAAATTTGACTGAGTTATTTTCGAGCAATATCTGATGCCCGGTATCAAATATCATTTCTGTGGAGTGCATATTACGGATGTGAGGGACTTAAAACCCCAAATCGGATGAAACATATAATAATTATATATATGAGAGGTATATCATTATCTGATCCGATGTGACCTGCATTTTGTTCAAAAAAATACATGGACAGACGGACATGCATAAATCGACTCAGAAAGTGAAGATCCTCAAAAGTAACTATGCGTATATCTCGCTTCCTTCTCCCTGTTAGAAAACAAATGCGCAATGATATAATGCCCACATATGTGGTGAAGGGCATAAAAAACTTTTAGGTGTCCTCACCTTAATTCGTTCTTTGAACGAATAAATAAATAAATAAATGTGAAGTTTAGTATACCACGGAAAATCTTTATATTTTTCAGGTATATATTGAAGAAATTTCACGTTATCGGTTTCTCGGAGAAGTGTTAGAACTCTTTCGGCAGTCTCTATAGTAATTGATGTAACAGTTACAAAAGCGTTTTCATCAATCCCCTTTCCTAAAAATGTTGTTTGTTTTTTTGTTTCACCATGGTAAAATTAATAAGTTGACCTCGTGTTGTATATGTTTTTTCAAAATTATACATCTGACAGCCTTTCCTATGTAGATCACATTATATCTTTCAAAATTTACAAAAACAATTTATTTATAGCACAATATCAACTTTCAGTCATTACTCTCTAATCAACTTCCAATTTGCGGAAAGTACCATCAACACCAAAGATGGCATCAAAATTAATGGGTTGACCTGGTCTCAACTTCTCATCGGTTCCGTATTGCTTTTGTTCGGCCAAGTATTCACGATACTTCATTAGCATTTCTTCGCCTGCGGCTGCAATCTCTTCTATGCTGCCATTTTCACCGCCATATTCCTTGGGAAAGTATTTTAGGGGAACTTTTTCATAAACCGATTCCATGCTGGTATGGACCATAATCTAAAGGTAAATTAAGTGAAAAAATTTTTCAAAAAGTGAAATCTAAAATTCCCACTTACCCTCTCCTTAACTTTTCCGGGTAACAAAGGTTTCATCATACCAAAAATGGTTTCAAATGCCGAACTGGTATTGAATAAATGCTGAGACCTAGTACGTATTGGCAAAGCTTCTTCCATATAGTAAATTAGATGTCTCATTTTGGCTGGTTGAAATTGTAGAGCATGTTTGGTTGAAAAGCCAGCAAAGTCAATAAGATGTACATAGCCCCCGATCACAACATGATCATTTTCCAACATAACCAAGTCTTGGAAAAGCAGATCTAATCGCATCAGTTCATAGAGGGATGCCAAATCGGGATTATAATGTCCAGGACGCATGAGCACTAGACGTGGCCCATCTTCGCCCAGGGGTAGGGGTAAATGGGCACCAAGACTGAAAAAGAAACAAATTGAAAAAAATCAATATCTAACTAAAAATTAAGGATAGAATGGATCTCGAATGCGGAAAGGAGGATTTTTAACATATTAAACTTTAATTAAACTTCGTCACAATTTCAGGACGCAATTGACCATTTGTTCAAACTATTGATTCCTAAGAATCCTTCACTCACCACATTCTCAGTATAGCTCTTGCCCTCTGTTCATCGATGAGCGATTCGAAGAGTTCGGGAAAATTTGTACGCATTGTATAGTAACCGTCCAGTTTCTTTTTGGCCTTTTCCAAACTATATTTAGAACCGCGCAAGAATGCAATCAGGAATTGATCATCCAGACGTGATCTGATATGGGGCTGCTTTAAGATCCATTCTCGAAACATTTGCAAATCTTCAGCAATTCTGGTGGGATTTTCATTGAGTTCATCGATTGCCTTTTGCTGTAAGGCCGGTGATAGGGGACGTAGTTCCAATGTCATGGTTATAAACTAATTATGCTTAAAATTTGTTTGCTAAAAATGTGTACCGTATATTCCGAGTACTGACAATGTTTTGGCTTGGAATATAAGTTTATATTTGGTAGAAATTGTTGTCAGAGATTACGTTAGCGGTTGCGATTAGATTAATTTATCAAAGGTTCCCAAAAACACTACTCAAAGGTTATTGGGACTGTAAACAAATGCATTTTTTTCATTTTCGGGGCTTGATCGTTGATATCTGTAATTCGTAGGAATGAGTTGGCAAAAAATATCAAATCGGAAGTCGGTAATTTAAAAAATTATTTTTTCCAAGAAAAGTTATTGGTTTTGTACATAAAATACATATAAGTGAAAACCCGAGGTCTGAAAAGGCAGTTGAAGGGCCCACATCCTTATTCACTTATTTTTGATAGGATCAATCAACCCTTCTTGAAATCTGTGATTTAAGAAAAATTTATTGAAGTAATTTCTCGTTATCTAATATTTAGTATGACTTAGTCCAATTTCGGTCCATAGTATATACTTGCTCACCCTATGCTCCATTGTTCTTTTACAAAGAAGCCAGCCTATGACATAAGCCAGTCAAAAAAAGCATATTAAGGTGAGAATACATTAAACACTTTTCTGACTTGCTTAAGTCATCGGCTGGCTTCTTCGTAGAGGATCAAAGGAGAGGAACGAAGAAGCCAGCCGACGACTTAAGCCAGTCAAATCTTAAGGTTAGAATATAATACAGGGTGAGATAAAAATCTGCAACAAAGTCAAACGCCAAAATTTTTACATTTTTTTTAATTTGATTGAATGAAAGCAAAAAAAGTCAGAAATAGCATCAAATTTTAGAAAAATTTAGATTCATTCGAATTGGTCACCTATGGCACGAATTATGGCCTTCAAATGACCAATGAAACCGTCATACGCTGCCCGAATGTTGGTCTGCGGTATTTTGGCCCATTCCCGGCGAAGCGCTTGCTTAAGGTGATCGACACTTTCGTATTTTTTAGTGCCAACCTTGCTTTCCAAAATACTCCAGACACAATAGTCCAACAGATTTGGTATCCGGAGATTTTGGTGGCCATTGTGCGCTGGAAATGAAGCGAGGAACCTCATTTCGTAACCACTTTCTTTTTTGGGTGGCGAGTCAAATTTCACAATAGTCCAACAGATTTGGTATCCGGAGATTTTGGTGGCCATTGTGCGCTGGAAATGAAGCGAGCGTCATTTCGTAACCACTTTCTTTTTTGGGTGGCGAGTAAAATTTTGCGGCCAAAATGTTTGCTTGCCCAAGGCTTTAATACACCCTCCGGAATATTTTCGCTATAATTTTCGGCATTTATTCTGATGCCACGGTCGATTAATATGAGCGGAGAGCGACTATCGGCTGTTATGGCGGCCCACACCATCACCATGGCCGTCGCTTGAGTTCTGGTGGTCAACCGAAGGTGCACATTTTCAGCTGACCTCTTTGGCAATTAAACACTAATGTTTTCTCATCGGAGAAAACTAAATTCGACAGTTCACCACTTTCGGCCAAGCGAGGCAACTCTTTAGCTCTTTTGGACCTATTTTCTTTCTACTGCGGTGTAAGTTCTTGCACTATTTGGAATTCATTGGCTTTACCCCGAGCTCATTTTTCAATATTTACCGAATGGAATATTGCGATATTTTCGACCACTGCGGCGTGGATTTCGATCAAGTCGTTTTTTTAGTTTTCGAACCATTTCTGTTGATGTTGCTGTTTTCTTCCGTCCACTTCCTTGACGTTGGGCTACGGTACTAGACACAAAAGATTTATTCACTTTTAAATGTTGGAATGCTCTAACTATAGCCACTTGTGTTTTTCCAGCCAAATATAAAGAAAACGCGTGAATTCCATTACAAATAACTTTTTTTCGAAAAGTATCAACAAAATGATTTTGTACGCTTGTAAACAATATAATGAGCTGTCACTGGAATAATTTTAACAGCTGTCGGACGAGTGGCTTAGAAATGACAGCAGTCAGCTGTCTACCAAAACAAAAATCTATAAATACTTATTATTACATATTGAAGTAATTTCACGCTATCGGTATATCAAAGCCAAGGTAAAACTTTCTCTATCACTGAAAAAAAAAAATGAAAAAAGGTAGATTGTATATAAAGATTCTCTTTTTTTATTTACACAATATTATTTTCTTCTAATCCACATTTAGTTTACGGAATGAACCCTCCATGCCAAACAGATTATCAAAATCAATAGGTTTTCCCGGTCTCAAACGTTCGTCGGTGCCATATTTGGTATCCTCCTTAAAGTAATCACTGTATTCTTGGAATTTCCTTTCCCATTCGGCAATGATTTCCGGTATTGAGCCATTTTCACCGCCATATTCTTTGGGTAAATATTTTTGGGGGATTTTCTCATAGAATTTATCCAAATTTGAGCCGTATGCGACCATCTAAAATGACAATAACAAAAAAAAAAAATAAAATAAAAATACAAATCTAACCAAAAAATTAAAAAGATAGTCATACCCTATTTAGCTGTTTTTCGGTCATTATTGGTTTCACCATATTGAAAAATGTCTCAAAAATCGATGGCACATTAATAAAATTCGATGATTTGGGTCTTAGGGGCATTGCTTCCTCAGAATAGACGGTCATTTTCTTCATCAAACTTGGTGTCAATTGAAAGAAATGTTCTTTTTTCCAATTCTTTAAATCGGCAATGTGAACAAAGCCATTTATAATGGCATAATCATCTTCCCACATGATGATCTCATTCCAGGCCTGGAATACACGCATAATGTCACCAAAACTATACTTTTCTGGATCATAGATACCATTCCGTATCAGCATGATGCGGGGTCCATCTTCGTTTAGAGGAGTGGGTAGAACTAAACCAATTCTGCAAAAGCACATAATGTGTTAATATCAATAAGGAAAGTTTTTAAGGTTTCTTGAAACCTACCCCAATTTAATAATCTCTTGAATTTTCGGATCATCAACATCCCGCAATGAGAACAATTCGGGGAATTTTGACCGTAACATAAAATATTTATCAATTTTTGATTTGGCCTTTTCCAAACTGTATTTACAGCCACGCAAAAATGCCAACAGAAACTGATCATCGGTACGAGCCCTCAAATGGGGTTGTTGATTAATCCATGTCTTTAACGCCTGTATATCATCACTGACCCGAGCCGGATCTTCATTGAGTTCTTCAATGGCAACTTTTTGCAAACCAGGTGGTAATGGCCGTACCATGTTAGACGTCTATTAAGAAATCCAATTTAGGTGATACTAAAGAAACTAAAAGTTAAAACACAGCAAGGTATACTTTTACTTTTGTCAGCTATCAAATTATGGATATCAATTGATAAGCTAATAGAGGGACAATTCGTTGCTTTGCCCGACAATGAAAACAAACCAAAAAGTTCGAATCCACTGAAAGAAAACATTGATAAGATTTGAAGAAGAAATTGGAAAAAATACAATATTTATAGCACGTTTTTATGTGGAGATTAGTAAAGGTCGGTGGGTTTGGTTTATGGTGGCTTATGTTACATAGTTAAGGTGAGAGTACATAAAAGGCTTTTCTGACTGGCTTCTTCAGAAAAGAACAAAGGGGCATAGGCCAAAGATCGAACTAAATCAACCTAAAACTCCTTGGTTCCTCTACGAAGAAGCCAGCCGATGACTTAAGCCAATCAAAAAATCATTTTATGTAGTCTTACCTTAAATCTCTCGCCGAATTTCTAGAATTCATTCCAATAGGGAATATAAATGATGTCCCCCCGCTAAATCTTAAATTTGGTTCTATTCCTGTCTTTAAGTTAAGAGGTATTGAAGTAATTTTTCGTTATCGTCGAATTATTTAGCCAGACGGTTTTAGTTAGTCAAAAAAGCTCTTTAGGTATTTCCACTTTAAGTCTCTTGCCGAATTTCTAGAATTTATTCCAATAGGGAATAAAAATGACGCTCTCCCGCTAAATCTTAAATTTTGTTCTATTCCTGTCTTTAAGTTAAGAGGTATTGAAGTAATCTCTCGTTATCGTCGAATTATTTAGGCTCCTTTGTTCTTTTACGAAAAAGCCAGCCGATTTAATCCTGTCAAAAAAGCCTTTTATGTATTTCCACCTTAAGTCTCTTGCCGAATTTCTAGAATTTATTCCAATAGGGAATAAAAATGATGTTCTCCTAATTCTAAATTTTTTACTATTTTTGTCTTTGAGTGAAGAGGTATTGAAGTAATTTCTCGTTATCGTCGTATTATTTATTTTCTTCTTCAAAAATTGCATACACTGCTGAATTTCTAGAATTCACATCCCTAAAAGGCTTTTTTGCTTGGCTTGAGTCATCAGCTGGCTTCTTTGTAAAAGAACAAAGAAGTTTTAGGTTGACTTAGTTCGATTTTGGCCCCACGCTCTTTTGTTCTTTTCCGAAGAAGCCAGCCGATGACTTTAGTCAGTAAAAAAAGCTTTGTATGTATTTTCACCTTCAGATTCCTTAAAGAGTACAGTATTTCCATGTCGTAGAACACCAACTCTTTCGTCTCTGACACAGCAAAAAAGTTTTATTAAATCTTATCAGAATTTTAGTATTTGTAGAGCATTTGAAAAAAAACTGATAGCATAAAATCGCAAATGCTTTATCAATTGATATCCAACATTTGTTTGATTGGCCACTAACTTTAGCGTCTACTAACCATTTACTCTAATGAAGACAAATTTCCGAAATTAACAAATAGTCTTTGTGCTCAAGAGCCACGAATCACAACAATATTCATTAAATAAAAATATATAAACATGGTACGACCATTACCACCAGTTCTACAAAAAATTGCCATTGACGAATTGAATGAAGATCCCAAGCGTGTCAATGATGACATTGAAGCCTTAAAGACCTGGATTAGTCAACAGCCACACTTGAGGGCACGTACCGATGATCAGTTTCTTTTGGCATTTTTACGTGGCTGTAAATTCAGTTTGGAAAAGGCCAAATCGAAAATTGATCGTTATTATATGTTGAGATCAAAATTTCCTGAATTGTTTTCACTGAGAGATGTCAAGAATCCACACATTGAGGAAATTGTTAAATTGGGGTAAATGTTTTAGATTTAATAGCTTTATTGAAGTAATTTCTCATTATCGTTTTTTGTTCACAGCATTGGTTTGGTTTTGCCGACACCACTGAATGAAACTGGTCCCAGAATAATGTTGATCCGTAATGGCTGCTATGACCCTGCTAAATATAATTTTGCTGATATTATGCGTGTTGCCCAGGCTTGCAATGAAATCTTAATGTTGGAAGACGATTATGCCATTGTGAATGGTTTTGTACACATTATGGATTTAAAAGGATGGACCAAAGAACATTTCTTCCAGGTCACTCCAAGTCTGATGAAGAAGATGACTGTCTATTCGGAGGAGGCAATGCCATTAAGGCCGAAATCTTCACATGCCATTAATGCTCCGTCGATATTTGAATCTGTTTTTAATATGCTTAAGCCAATGATGTCCAAGAAACAAGTTGACAGGGTAAGATGTTAAGGGGTTATTGTGTAAGAAGAAATTACGATTCCGTTTTTGTTTTCCAGATGGTCATTTATGGTTCTAATATTGAAAAAATGTACGAGAAAATACCCCTGAAATATTTACCCAAAGAATATGGTGGGGAAAATGGTTCCATACCAGAAATCATTGAGGAATGGCATAAGAAATTCTTGGAGTATAGCGATTTCTTCGCCGAAGATGAGAAATATGGTACCGATGAAAATCTTAGACCTGGCAAACCGGTAGATTTTGAAAATTTATTTGGCATGGAAGGTTCATTCCGAAAATTGAATGTAGATTAATGCGTTTTTAATCATGTGTAAATATTCCATAACATACAAAATGCCGAATTTGTCAATTTTGCCAAAATTGTACCTATAATGTTCTGAAGAGAAAATGGTTTCTCTATTCCGTTTTTGGCGGAAAATAATAAAAATGTGTAGCCTAATCTTATCAAAAATTTGTTTTATGTATTTATACATGTATAGAATTTATTCGAAAATAAGTTGTCAATATGTCTTTTTTTTATCAAAATGTAAACTCTTTGATAACAAGTTTTTCCTAATAACATCAATAATTTTAATTGTGTAAAATCTCCCATTTCTTAAATCTTCTGATAAAATTGTATTTAGCAAATCGACCCAAATATTGAATGTCTTGACTACTTCTAAAGTGATATATTTGTTGTAGTAAAATCATACATAAAAGCATGGTACAATAAGGAGGTAGGACTGCTTTGTAAAACTGCATAAATACAGCCCTGAGGCCAGCGATGCCAACTTATTGCTTTTCGCGCTATTTATGGAGCTTTTTAGACCCCCCAAAACGCCAAAATAGTACGCATAGCGCGAAACGAAAAAAAGCACTGTACGTACGCTTTTTATCTTTTCTGTTGGTGCTTTTAGCGGGTTTTAGATTTTAAAATGTGGCAATGTTTATACATTCGAAAAGTGAAATGAACGAGAAACAAGTTAAAAAGCAGTAAGTTCGACCGGGCCGAACCTTGAATACCCTCCATCATTTGGAACGAATTTGGAAATTTTAAAAAACTAAAATCCTTAAAAAAATCTATATAAATTTTAAAAATACCGAATATAGCCGTTTTACTGGGGTCTATACGACGTGGACTTACATAGGCATTGTTTGTCATAAGCCATCATTACCATATTCAAATTCGAAAACTTGAAATAAACGGTGAATAATGTAGCTAAAATCATCAAAATATCGTTATAGGGAGGTTCCGTTATATCGGAGCTGTGCGAAGACCTGGACCAGCATAGACAATTTTCTGTCATAGGCTGAAGCATACATTACGAAGTTCAAATACGACATCTCAAACAATTTCGGTGGGTATTGTACCTAAATTCGTCAAAATACCGAACATACGGAGGTAGTGATATATTGGGCCTATACGATAACCTGGAACTGCATAGACAATTTTCTGTCACATACTGTAGATTCCATTATGAATTCTAAATACGTAATTTGAAACAATTCCGGTTAATAATGTCGCTAAAATCATCAAAATACCGAATATAGGGACGTACCGTTATATGGGGTCTATATGAAGACGTGGACCTACATGGCCCATTTACGAATTTACGAACTGCCTACTGAAAAAATAAACATGTGTGCAAAATTTTAGCCTTCTATCTCAATTCGTTCGAAAGATTACAACAGACAGACAGACGGACATCGCTAATTTGTCTTAGAATTTTACGCTGATCAAGAATATATATACTATGTTGGGTCTGACATGAGTATTTCGAGGAGTTACAAACGGAATGACAAAGTTAATATACCATCCATAGTATGGTGGAGGGTATAAAAAAAACGTAAGTTTATATATGGCTGCTTTGTTGTACGAGTTTACAGAACTTCAACTGCATTTGAAGCTATGGGTTATGGGTGAAAATAATTGTATGTAAAAATGTATGTCTGTAAGTTTTAACCACATGTTAAAACTTCCTAATATATCATATTTTTTAAAAATATCAATGCACTTATATGCATGAAATATTTATATAATATACGATCTCAATTTTTGAATAAAACAGCATCAAAGACATAGAAGTGTAAAGATAGGACAAGACCGGGTCAAGATATGGTAACCCTGTGAAAATAAATCTGTTGTTACGATATCATAACAACATAGTTACCAATGTTAACTGGTTTAAACCGCTAAGGCAATGTGCAAATTTTCGGAATGGTCCATGAAAGAGAATTTTGAAACCAAAATGTTGGATTTTTCAAATTTTTATTTTTTATCTGTTTCTGTATTGTGGTTTTTATATTAACATGTCTCTGCCATGAGCTGTTACTCTATGTATTGTAGACACAAACCCTTTGCTCAAAATGCATTTTGTCTAGTCTTTACCATTTTAGGTCTTTGACAGCATTTAGTTAAAAATGGTGTTTTATAGACAATTTTGCTTTTGGTTAGAAAAAATACATAGCGCTTTTTACGCTATTTTAAGGAAAGTTTGTACGCCATTTACGCTTTTCTGGTTTTTAATTACGCTTTTAGCTCTCAAATTGTTGGCAACACTGCCTGAGGCTATGCCCGCTTGTTCTCATTTTTTTCATATTTTTCCTCATTTTTAAAATGATTTAAATAACGCGAGAAATGAAACTCCTCGATTTTCTCTCAAAAATATGATCCAAACTATTCAATCTTTCAATGCGCGAGCCGGAATGCACGTGTCTTTGGTTTTGAAAATATTTTGTTGTCATTTTTCAAAACAATAAATACATACACAAAATTGGCAGAAGTTGGGCACACTTAGAAAAAAAATTGTAATCAGCTGGTAGCTCTACCTTACCTTTTTATTGTACCATGCAAAAAGTACAGTTATAACCGTAAAACATGCAAAAATAAGTGCGAGGGTGTAATTCACCGCTAAATGATTCCCAGCAGACGCATATTCGGTTTCGTGTTTAATGTAAGCATGGTGAAATCAAGCTGACAGTAAGGATAAATAGATATGTTGACATTTATCATACGGTGGGCTGCTCTACGAATGCCAAAATTATATGTCCAACAAAATCACAAGACAAATTGTCTTGAATCTATTGTATTTTAATACCACATACACTCTGGTACAATCATGGTACAATGAAGACAAGGTAGGCTAACTTTGAAAAAATTACAAGTATAGAGGTCTACCTGCTTGGCTTGTAATGTCAGAATTACTATCAAAACAATAAAAAGCTAACTTATTGCATTGATTTTAAATAAATAATTTAAAACCGCGAAAACTGAATGAAAGGTCAAAATTTCTTTTCAAAATCATTTTCTATATATCTTTTATGGTTTATTTCGCGACAAAAACTGTAGATTTTGTCGATACATTCGTTGCAATAAGCATTTTGAAAACACCCGAATTTGAATATTTTCTAAACAATTTTTTTTATTATTGAAAAGAAGACACACACATAAGCAAATGAAGTTGACATATTAAGCCAGAAAAATAAAAAAAAATTAATCATATGGTAGTTCTGCCCTACCTTGAATTCATTGTACCATGGGTACAATCATGGTGCAATTAGGAGGTAGAACAGCTTCGTAAAGCTGCAGAAATACAGCCCTGAGGCTATGTCCGCTTCCTGTCAGAATTATTCAAAATTATAGACTTAAAACAGCCAAATATGCGCTTTATGTATTCCCACGTTAGTTGTAGTTCTTTGTTCGAATTGGTCACCTTTGGCACGAATTATGGCCTTCAAACGGCCAATGAAACCGTCATACGTTGCCCGAATGGTGCTCTCTGGCATTTTGGCTCATTCCAATGTCTGCGGCCAAAATGTTTGCGTGTCCAAGGCTTTAATACACCCTCCAGAATATTTTCGAGACAATATACGTCATTTATTCTGATGTCACGGTCGATTAATACGAGCAGAGAGCGACCATCAGCTGTTATAGCGGCCCACTCCAGCACTACGGCCGTCGCTTGAGTTCTGGTGGCCAACCGAAGGTGCATATTTTCAGCAAACCTCTTTCGCAAGTAAACACGATTATTTTGCTCTGCGAATGTTTTCAAATCGGAGAAAACCAACTTCGGCAGTTAACCACTTTCGGACAAACGAAGCAACTCTTTCTATTTTCTTTCTGTTGTGGTGTAAGTTTTTGCACTTTTTGGAATTTCAATAGCTTCGAGCTAATTTTTCAATATTTGCCGAATGGAATAATGCGATATGTTCAGCTCACGAACCATTTTTTGGTCCCTGCGACGCGGATCTGATCAAGTTCTTCTTTATTTTTCGAACCATTTCTGCTGATGTTGGTATTTTCCTTGACGTCGGCCCAGTATCACGGTAAAGAGCGATGGTGCGAGACACAAAAGATTTATTCACATTTAAATGCTGGAGTGTTCTAACGATAGCCATTTGTGGTTTTCCAGCCAAATATAAAGAAATCACGCTTGAATTCAATCACGCATAACTTTTTTTCTGGAAAATTCTTATCAAAATGCTTAAACAATATGATAAACTGTCACTGGAATAATTTTAACAGCTGTCAGACGAGTGCCTTAGATATTACAGCAGTCTGAAGTTGGTTGCAGTTTTTTTCATCTCACCCAGTATGCAATAAATTTGACAATTTAAACCGACTGGGTTTTCTAAATCCTTTACAACGTAAACATACCATAATAGCGTTAAAAACATGCCTATTATATGTATGTGTTAAAATAGTTTCAATGTGGCAACACTCATTTAGTCTATTCACATGAAAAAAGCTTTCGCTCAAGTTATTTCTAACAGCTGAACTTATTAGTGATGGCAACATAAGGAAGAATAAACTTTGGAATAAAATTATGTACTATTTTTTTTATTCTTCTTGTCATTTTTTACAACATACTCTCTATCTCTCTACTCCTTTACCAATATAACAGTTATTCTATTTAAATAAATACAACTCATAATGAAATTCCAAGACACCATTTCTAACACCATCTCCATTTTTTAAATTAAGAATTTTTTATTGCGATCTTTTTCGCCCCTTCCCATCGCTGCCACTACACAAAAAAACTAAAGCTTTTCTGGCATGTTATCATCGGACTTTCGATTGGACTGCTGTGTGTGTGTGCGTTTAGTTGTTTGTCAGATATTTCGCGAATTCAATTGTTATTGCCGGCCTGTGGCAGTCAGTCATCATCATTCGTTTGTTACGTGCTACAAAGGTTAATAGATTTCGTCGACTAGAAGCAAGATAGAAAAATGCTGCGCCTTTTGAAAACCACAAGTTTATTGCAAAATTCGGGAAGAATTTTAGCGGCTAATTTGCCTAGCATCGGTGCTAAGGCAAATTATGCTGCCATGCCTGAGCCAAATACAAATCCTGATATTTTATATACTGGGGTAAGTATAGAAAAAGAATCAGGTAGAATTTATAAAACTTGTAATTTCTTTGTTTAGTGAATTGGAATTTGCAAGTAATTTCTATAGAGATAACAACTGCTGCTGTCCAATAGGTTGATAGCCGATAGGGATGGGTAAAAGTGGAAAGTTTAGCTGAACGGTACAATTTTGTACTATTGACTTTAAATGCAAGAAACATTTTTTTCAAATCACAGAAACTAGTTTCATATAAAAATACATTCAGATAAGAAAATTTTGCAAATGTTTACTGTATTGTATGGTGCACCAAACAGTTATTACTTGGCCTTTTTAGAGAAAAAAAATGCGAAAAATCAAGTGAAAATAAATTGCTTTGTTCAGTGCATTGGAATTTGCAATGCGATTAGGGATCAAGATAATAGCTGTTTACCAAGAGATTGATAGCGAAATGGATGGGTGAAATACGAAACGTACATCATAGTGGCACTATATTCGTTGTTCTCATGGCTCAATAAGAAAAAGGTTGCTCAACTTCAAAGAAACTAGGAAAAATGCACCTCTGTGCTGGAGTCTTATATTGTCAAATAGCCTTTTGAATATGCAACAGTTGGCTTTGTTTATTTTTAATTTTTTTTCAACAAAATTGTTATATTGGAAAAAAGCAAAACAAGAATGGAATTTAGGGGTTATTCCACAAGGACCAAAAATGTATCAGTCTGTTTTGCTGGCAAATGTATACCCTCAGCCAACGTTTGATTATTTAAATATATTTTGACCTTTGTTATGATTATTCAAATTGTTGACCTTTTATGGAGTACGTTCCGAAAGAAAGGGCCAATATTGTCTATTTTGTATCGGACCTTAATAATATGATATTAATATTGCGATGTGTCAGGTTTGGACCATATTGGTTACTTCCTTCACTTTATATGAGATATGTCATCATTTTTAGAAAATGTCAAAAATAGTCGATCAAAGTATTCTCATATTTCATCTAATACAGATACAAATATAGGTATGGGCAAAATTACAAGGAAATCGAACAGTTATAACCATGGTACAATAAGGAGGTAGAACAGCTTCATAAATCTACAGAAGTACAGCCCTGAGGCTATGCCCGCTTCCTGTTAAATTTCTATGCAACAAGTTGTTTTCATTTATTCACTATTTTTTCTCATTTTTAAAATCAGTTAAGCAGAGGAAGAATTAAATGGCTGGATTTTTTTTTTTGAAAAATATGATCTAAACAGTTCTATCTTTTAATTCCATGGCAAAACTGGTGGATAGCTTTAATGCGCGTCTCGCAATGTACGCGTCTTTCAATCATTGATTTCTGTTTTTATTTTTCAAAACAATTAATATTCGAATTGAGTGAAAAATTTAGGTGTAGCAAGTTGTAAAGAAACGCTGACTTGTTTGCAATTTACGACAAATAAAAGAAGTGAGATTTGTGTCCCTTTGTAGTTGAGGTACCAGAAGGGTTTCGCAGATATATATCATCTTCACAACAGATCTTGTATTAGCAAAAATGTTTGTATGTGTGAAATTTGAAGAGAGTTGAATGCTTATTTCGCTTTCTTTGAGCGTTTTGTTTTTTAAAATCGTGAACCCTTTGTGGGGAAGGTACCAGAAAAAATGGTCCGATCTATAAAATCTTCATAACAGATCTTGTGTTGATGCAAAATATTGAGATGTGCCAAGTCCGAATGGAATCGGATTTTAATTTCGCATTTTATGAACTCATGGATATTCAAAATTTTGACCAGGTACCAGAAGGAGTGGACCGATATACTCCATCTACACACCAGACCTTGGGTTAATAAAAATATTCCGATGTGTGTAGTTTGAAGACAATCGAACTCTTACATCACATTTTATTAGAGTTATAATTATTACAAATGTTAACCCTTTGCACTGATGCAAATATTAGGAGCAAAATCGGATTATCCTTCCACTTTCTGTGGAGGAAAAGTTTCTCTCTCGGATCGCTTCCTTTGCGAAACATTTATGTTAACATAAACAATTTCCAACAATTCTTATAAATTTTAAGTTAACCAGGCATTAAAATTGTAATTTGACGTTGCTGGTTCTTCCTTCCAAAAATTTTCAGGGTATTTCCAGGGATTCATTTCAAATTGCAACAGAATTGGCTGACATTTTGCTATTTGGGTTCTCATTGATTAGAAACTGAGGTCCTATTTTACCTGTTGAAGATTCTGTTTTTTAAGCAATGTGGCTGTAATTACGTTGGTTGAAGTGTTCGATCGTTACGCTCTTTTAAAGTTTAATGTGGAATATCCTCTTTATAATGGTGTTATGCAATTTAAAACACCTTGATGGATTTGAAGCATATGCCATACCCATACTATGCATTGTACCACTGTACCTAAAAAAGTACTATTGTACAAAATTTTCCCATATCTAATATCTGGAGATGATTGTATAATTGTTTGGGGGACGCAAGTAGAAATAGAACAGGAATTCAAGTTTATTGAGAACTAGTTGCTATTATTTATTATGTAAATATGTGCGTGTATGTTACTGTTTGCTACCTACCCTCAGAATCACAAATAAATAATAGAAAGCGATGCATGCCCAATTCTCTTTGTTGTGCTTTGAATTCCTAACAACAATATCTTCTTCGGGGGGTTTTTGTTAAACAAATCCCTATTATCAATGCGAAACTGTATGCCATGAAAAATAACAAATGACACAGCGTGTTTTAGATTTCAATTAAAATATTGTTTCCTAGGGAGAACTTATTTAGCCAGGGTGAATTAAAGTTTTCATATGGAAAACTCAATTTAATGTACCTAAAGAGAAAACACAATTTAGTCGGAATGAATTAAAGAATTTCCCATATATTGGTTTATGGACGGTATAGGTATTCAGTCTAAAACACAATTCACTTGTCTCTTAAATAAATCGACTTCAAAATAAACAAATAATCCTCCTGCATTAAAAACTTATATTTATTTTTCCCCTTATCAGCAGATTTTGTTCCGATAATATTTTGCTTATATTGCTCATGAATAACAAGTGTGACTTTCAGTAATTATCAGAAATTTGAGAATATAAATACAATTTTGTTTACTTGGCAATTACGCAAACATATTGAAAGAAGATGCAACGTCATTGTGTAGAAAGTAAATATTTCGATTTGAAATTCATTCGCTTGCCCCCTCCCATTTGAAACTCCCATAACCAATTCATTCAATTCCGTATTCTCATATTTTTAGCTCTTCATAAACAACGAATGGCACAAAAGCAAATCGGGCAAAACATTTGAGACAATCAATCCTGCCACCGAGAAGTCCATTGCTGAAATTCAATGTGCCGGCAAGGATGACGTGAACTTGGCTGTTCAGGCTGCCAGAAATGCATTTAAGTAAGTATACCATTTATAGCCTTAAAATCCAAAATATTGACTTAAATGCCTTCTAGATTGGGTTCCCCTTGGCGCCGTATGGATGCCTCACAACGTGGTGTGCTAATTAACCGTTTGGCCGATCTCATGGAACGTGATATTGTCTATTTGGCCGTAAGTCTGTTTTAAAATTCATAAAAATTTTCAAGTAATTCCTGTTTTATTTGTCTCCCCCAGAGTTTGGAAACTTTGGATAACGGCAAACCCTTTGCCATGTCCTACAATGTCGACTTGCCCATGTCCATTAAAAATCTACGCTACTTTGCCGGTTGGGCCGATAAAAACCATGGCAAAACCATACCCATGGACGGTGATTTCTTCGCCTACACCCGTCACGAACCTGTGGGTGTTTGCGCTCAAATCATCCCCTGGAATTTCCCCATCTTGATGATGGCCTGGAAATTGGGTCCCGCCTTAGCTACAGGTAATACCATCGTCCTGAAACCAGCCGAACAGACCAGTTTGACTGCCCTTTATATTGCCCAATTGGTTAAGGAGGCTGGTTTCCCGGAGGGTGTTGTTAATGTTTTGCCTGGTTTTGGTGATACCGGTGCCGCCCTGGCCAATCACACCGATGTCGATAAGGTGGCCTTCACCGGCTCCACGGAGGTGGGCAAATTGATCCAACAGGCCTCGGGCAACACCAATTTGAAACGTGTCACCCTGGAGTTGGGTGGCAAGAGTCCCAACATTGTTTTGGCCGATTCCGATATGAGTTATGCCGTGGAAACCTCACATTTCGGTTTATTCTTTAACATGGGTCAATGCTGTTGTGCCGGTTCACGCACATTTGTTGAAGATAAAATCTATGATGAGTTTGTGGAGCGCAGTGCTGAGCGTGCCAAGAAACGTACCGTGGGCAATCCTTTTGATTTGAACGTTGAACAGGGTCCCCAAGTTAATGAGGAACAAATGAACAAGATTTTGGGTCTCATTGACACGGGCAAGAAACAGGGTGCCAAGTTGGTGGCAGGTGGTAATCGTCCTCAAGGTTTGCCTGGTTATTTCGTTGAACCCACTGTCTTTGCCAATGTCAATGATGACATGACCATTGCCCGTGAAGAAATCTTTGGCCCCGTACAACAAATTATTCGTTTCAAGAAATTGGATGAGGTTATTGAGAGAGCCAATAACTCGGATTATGGCTTGGCAGCTGCTGTCTTTACCAAGGACATCGATAAGGCCAACTATATTGTCCAGGGTCTTCGTGCCGGTACCGTTTGGGTCAATACCTACAATGCCTTGTGTGCCCAAGTGCCATTTGGTGGCTATAAAATGTCTGGCCATGGTCGTGAGAATGGTGAATATGCCCTGCAGAACTATACTGAAGTTAAGAGTGTTATTGTTAAGTTGGCCCAAAAGAATTCATAAGAAATTTATTATTTAACAAAATATTATAACGTTTGTAAAGTACACATATTTTTGTAATCGAGTTGTTAGCAGTTATTTTCGAAGAGGAAAAATAAAAGTTTTGTAATCACCCTAATCCACATTGAGTTTTCGAAACGTGCCACCAGCGCCAAAGTCGGCATCAAATTTGAGGGCTTCTCCCAAACGTAAATGTTCATCGGTTCCATATTTGGCATTGTCCTTGAAATACTCTCTATACTCATCCCAAAACTTGCCATATTCTAGACACAATTCACTGAGCAGACCATTCTTGCCGCCATAATCTATTGGCATATATTCCATGGGTAGGTATTTCGACCATTCCGTGGAATTTGTTCCGCACAAAATAATCTAAAAAGAAAAGGGAAATTAAACAATTAATACTATTATTTAAATAGTTTTTTTTTTATCTTGCCTTCTTACGAAGTGTCTCTGACATATGCGGCAGGATGAGATTGAAAAATTTTTGCGCATAGCTGGCCATATTTATCATACAAAACGTCTTGAATCGTATGGGAAATGCTTTTTCACAGAATGTCGCATTCTGTTTGAACATATTTATGGTAAACGGCAACAAATGACTGGGAGTGGCTTTGGCGAAATCATAAACGAGCATTATGCCATATATGCAGGCATAGGGATCATGCATTAGCATCATTTCTATAATGCTAATAGAATATTGGAAGAAATAATTCGGTGGATAGTCGTCAGGTCCGCCTAGGATACGGCAAACTATGATTCGGGGACCTTGGCCATTTAACGGGGTGGGGAGTGGAACAAAAAATCTGAAAAAGAAAACATATTAAAAATTCTATGTCGATTTAGCGATGTCCGTACGTCTGTAGAAATCACTCTAGCTTCTGAACGAATTGAAGTAGATTGATAAAATTTTACTCAATTGTATGTTATGTCTGCAGGACTTTGGTATTGAAAATGGACCATATAGGTCCACGTTTTGGTAGAGCCTCCATATTAGGGTACCTCCCGCTATTCGGTATTTTGATAATTTAGCGACATTATTCACCGGAATTGTTTTAAATTTGGTATTTGAAGTTCGTAATGGATGCTACAGGCAATGACAGGAGATTGTCTGTGCAGGTCCACGTCTTCGTATAGCCCCCATATAATGGTACCACCCGATATTCGGTATTTTGATGATTTTAGCGACATTTTTTAACGGACTTCTTTCAAATTTGATATTTGATGTTCGTAATGGATGATACAGCCTATGACAGGAGATTGTCCGTGCTTGTCCACGTCTTCGTATAGCTCCCATATAACGTTACCTCCCGATATTCGGTATTTTGATGATTTTAGCGACATTATTCACAGGATTTGTTTGGAATTTGGTATTTGAAGTTCGTAATGGACACTTCAGCCTAAGACAGAATATTGTCTTTGCAGGTCCACGTCTTCGTATAGCCCCATATAACGGTACCTCCCGATATTCGGTATTTTTAAGATTTTAACAGAATTTTTAAAGGATTTTATTGTTTTTGAGAATTGCCAAATTCGTCCCAAATGGTGGAGGGTATTCAAAGTTCGGCCCGGCCGAACATACAGCTTTATTTACTTATTTTAATTCGTAAAGATATTAAGGAAAAAAAGTTTATCTCCATAAAAAATATGCATTGTCCTGAAACGTTTATTTATAACCGATTTTCAAAAGATTGTCATTATGCAGCAAGGTCACTTACTCTGTACTGTGAAGCTGTCGAAATAACAGATCATCAACATTCGTCAAATTGAAATATTCCGGATATTTTGTTTTCATGGCATAGAAAATGTCGATTTTCTTTTTGGCCTTTTCCAAACTGTATTTGCAGCCACGAAGAAATTGTATCAAGAATTGATCGTCCATACGAGCTCGCAAGTGAGGTTGCTGTTCAATCCATTGTTTAAAGATCTGTAAGTCTTCGGCCATCCTTTCGGGAACTTCTCCCAATTCCTCGATAGCAGCCTTTTGTAATTCCTCTGGGAGAGGTTTAATTTGTGGCTTCATTTGCCTATCCATGTTCGAATGCAATTGAATGGTCAGTATTGATTTTTACAACCATTACTGATTTTCCCATTTTGTGTTTAATAAGTTTTTAATTGTTATTAAATTAAGATTTTAATTGAATTAATTTCAGTTTTAATTTATGGAAATCAATGGTAAGAGCGATCATTGAAGGGTACCCATATTGTGTTAATAATTTTAAATGATGGTTATGTTGGAACATAAATCAAATTGTGTTTATATCTCAAAATCAATATCACAAATTGAGATTGTTTTAAAAACACGTGAATTGTTCAGTGGCACGTGAGACGGGTTTGGATTACAATGCTTGTAATCACAGGCGGATTCTACACCTCTGATAAATGTTTTAATTTAATTATATATTGTTTTTAATTTATTTCATTTATCTTATTTGGTGAATGAACCTTTAGACCGGTTTGTTAATATAAATTGGCCGTTTAGATAATAATTATGTAAATTAAAACCGGCAATTTATAAGTAGGTAGTTAAAAACTAGTTTTGTTAAATTAAATTGCTCATCAAGTACACGGTGCAACACAAATAATAATTTATGGAGAAAGTAAATAAATTGTGGAAATAAAAGACACTCGTATCAGAGTCTTGAACATTTACATAGTAAAAGTTGGGCGAGGTGGTTTAAACCTTTTCAAGATTTGGAATAAGATTTCTTGGAAACATTGTTTCTTGGGCATGTAGAATATAAAAAAAGCAAAATTAGTATATTATTGCAGGTTCTGCAACAGAGCATCAATATTTTGTAATAATTTGTACAAAATATTAAAAAATGCTGTACAATAATATAAAAGTCCAGGAAATGAGAGCGAGCCAAGAGAGCTATTTTGAACGTTGAGTTACTGAGTGTTTACAAAATCGTATTGGAAAGGTTAATTTGGTAAGAATTATCTATGGTAGAAGGATACATGCAGATGCATCAACGCTTGGGAACATTGATATGTCAAAGTTTTTAAAATGTTTTTTTTTTTTCCGAAAATAAAAAGATTTTTATAAGTTTTCCTACACGACACCAATCGGAGTTTTTATGAAATGCTTTTTCAACAATTTTTGTAAATAATTTTTCATTCAAAAATTTCAATTTCAAAATTGGTTTGACAGTTCATTGTCTTAGCAGGTGTGTCGAAGCGACTAATTATATTCTTCTACCGTGGAATTAGGTGTGTTTGGTTACTCTAAAGTTTGTAACATGGCAGAAGAATACAGGTAGATGTATCAACGCTTGGGAGCATTGATATGTCAAGAAAATTTAAATGTTTTTTCAATTATAAGTAGACTTTAATATACTTTCTTATAATACGTCATTCGGAGGCTATTATAATTCGCGTTTTTCAACAATTTTTACAAATTTAAATAATTTTTCATTCTACATTTTCAATTTCAAAATTGGTTTGACAGTTCATTGTCCAAGCAGCTGTGTCGACGCGTCTACCTATATTCTTCTACCATGAGACATACCTATTACCATGGCAGAAGAATACAGGTAGATGCATCAACGCTTGGGAGCATTGATATGTCAAAAAAAAAAATTAAATGTTTTTTCAAATATAAGTAGATTTTTATATGTTTTCTTATACTACGTCATTCGGAGGCTATTATGATTCGCGCTTTTCAACAATTTTTACCAATTTAAATAATTTTTCATTCAACATTTTCAATTCCAAAATTGGTTTGACAGTTCATTGTTCCAGCAGCTGTGTCGACGCGTCTATCTATATTCTTCTACCATGCCTATTACTCAGTAAAATCAGCTGATTGAAATAACAGCTGTATTGTGTCTAATGTAGAAATGTTTACAAAAATAGGTCTAAAGGCATGGTACAATAGAAAGGCAAGGTAGAGCTAAAAGCTGATTACAATTTTTTTTCTAAGTGTGTCCGACTTCTGCCAATTTTGTGTATATATTTATTGTTTTGAAAAAAAAAAAAACAAAATATTTTCAGAATTAATGATTGGAAGAAATGAAAATTGCAGGACGCGCATTAAAGCTATTCGCAAGTTTTGCCATGTAATTGAAATTAAACCTGTGTGTCCAAAAAGATAATTGCTAAAATTCAATCTTTACTTCAAATAAAAAAAACATTTTAAAAGGCAGTAAGTTCGGCCGGGCCGAACTTTGAATGCTCTCCACCATTTGGAACAAATTTGGAAATTTGGAAAAAATAAAATCCTTAAAAAATTCTGTTACAATTTTAAAAATACCGAATATAGCCATTATATTGGGGTCCATACGATGTGGACCTATGTAGGCATTGTTTGTCATAAGCCATGACCATATTCAAATTCGAAACTTGAAATTAACGGTGAATAATGTAGCTAAAATCCTCAAAATATCGTATATAGGGAGGTACCGTTATATCGGTGGGTATTTTCCCTAAACTCGTCAAAATACCGAATATAGGGAAGTACTGATATATGCGGCTTATACGAAGACCTGGACCTGCATAGACAATTTTCTGTCACAGACTGTAGTTTCAATTACGAACTCTAAATACGTAATTTAAAACAATTCCGGTGAATAAAGACGCTTAAATCATCAAAATACCGAATATATACCCTCCATAGTATGGTGGAGGGTATAAAAAAAGAATTGCGTGATCACATAATAATACATTTCTTATTCTACCATGCTCCGGCTATTTTACCATGGTCAGAGTCATTTTGAAATTCTGACGCCGTTGTATTTTATAATATGGCTTTGACGACACAAAAAAGCCTTGAACGATGCGTAGCAGAATTAAGAAGGTAAAGTGAGGGTTAAGGTTTGGGTACATATGCAGCTTAAAGTCTTGACATGGCATATTTTGTGACATATTATAAAGGAACGCCAGAGCTACACTCGAATCCTGCCGTCGTCTTTCCTTATAATTTGACATTAATATTCCTAGTCAGGATACCATGCTGCTTATGTACCCTCACATTTAAAGTTATTCAATGTTTTCAAAATTATTAATTTGACAACATCTCACTGTCGAAAAATATATTTATGAAACATTTCTATATAAACAAATTAGAGATGGGAACCCGTTTTCTGTGCCAGGTAAATTGCAGAAAATGCAATGGATATGCCTTTTTGAAATTACTTTCTTAATTCCGCCATGGAATGATGTACTAAAAAGTAAAAATAAAGCAATGCTCTTTTCCATGTTGTCAAGTTTTTATTGTTTTTTTTTATATTTTAAATTATACCTCAATTTATTGTGTATACATCCGAAAACTATAGCTCCATAGGTAGAATATTAAGATTTCTTCAAGTTGTTATACATGGCGCCCAACGCCCCAAATATATTCCCCCACCATTGATGGTAAGTTGTGTATTTTCTTTTACCATTTTTAATCAACTTGCAATTTACGGAATGAACCTTCTACGCCGAAAATTTCATCATAGTTCACCGAAGGACCAACTCTCAGTTTTTCATCAACACCATATTTATGCTCCTCAAGAAAGTGATCGCGATATTTCTGAAAAATTTCCCAATGGTTTTGTATGAGTTCATTGATCGACCCATTTTCGCCGCCCAATTCTTTGGGTAAATATTTTTGGGGGACATTTTTGAAGAGCGGCTCCTGCCAATTGGTGCCGTGGATGAAGAGCTGTCAAAAAGAAAAAATAATTTTGTTAGAAATTTTCGAATTTAAACTGAAGGTGAGAATGCATAAAGCGCTGCTTTGACTGGCATAAGGCATCGGAACTAAGATAACCTAAAACTCCTTTGTTCCTCTACGAAGAAGCTAGCCGATGACAGTCAAAAAAGTCTTTTATGTATTTTCACCTTAAGATATAACCCAAAACTTACCCTTTCCTGTTGCTTGACCGGCAAAAATGTCTTGATCATGTTGAAGAGCTTTTCCAAACTTGCCGGAGCATTGATAACATGTACAGCTCTCTGGCGCAATGGGGTGGCATCTTCGGCAAAGGTGGACATTTTCTTCACCACTGTGGGAGTCATTTGCAACGCATGAGCGGTAGTATAATTGGCCATATCCAAAATTTGCACATAACCATTGACGACACAGTAGTCATCTTCACGCATGCTCATCTCATGGGTGCCATTGGCCAGGCACATGATGTCGGCAAAGTTGTATTTATCTGGGGAATAAATGCCGGTGCGTATATACTGGATGCGGGGACCATTCTCGTTTAAGGGGGTGGGTAAACTCAGGCCAACTCTGAAATAAGAAACCGTCACAAATTTAAATAAATCTTTAATAGAAATAAATAAACCTGTCTCACCCCAATTTGAATAACTCAATAAATTTGGGATCATCAATATTTTGTATGGTATAAAAATCGGGATATTTCGTTCTCAGGGTATAGTATTTGTCAATTTTCGATTTAGCCTTTTCCATGCTGTATTTACAGCCTCTAAGGAAACTAATCAAAAATTGATCATCTGTCCTTGCCCTCAGATGTGGTTGTTTCTCAATCCATTGGCGAAAATCCTGCAAATCCTGTTCAATACGTTCGGGAACTTCATTTAGCTCTTCACAGGCGATTTTTTGCAAGTCCTCTGGTAACGGTCTTAGATCAGGCATTTTTAGCTAACAATCTCAAAGAAAGCGTCAGTCCGACTAACCAATGTTATTGCAATCTAATTATAGTAGTCCCAAAAACAAATGTCAATGGGGGAGAGGATAAGATAAAGCAAAAAATCGAATTTTAAGTTGATAAGTTTTGGTGATAAGTTTTTAAACAGCCGGCGAAAAGTGCAGAGGTTCAAAGTGTTTCTTTGGGTGTGCGAGAGCTCTATTTAAGAGGGTAGGCAAAATCAGAGATGGGTATTTTTTAAGCAGTGAAATTTGACAAGGTAAATTGCAGAAAATGCAGAGCTGGGAAGTCTTATGTCTTAAATGAGATTATCTTTATTTCATTGTACCATGTTAGCACCTATGTTTGTGTAATAAAATTAAATGTTTTGTAGCCCCCCCCCCTAATCCACATTGAGTTTTCGTAACGTGCCACCAGTACCAAAGTCGTCATCAAAGTTGAAAGGTTCTCCCAAACGTAAATGTTCATCCGTTCCATAGTTGGCATTGTCTTTGAAATAATCTCTATACTCATCCCAGAGCTTGTCATATTCCTGACACAATTCACTGATCGAACCATTTTTACCGCCATAATCAATTGGCATATATTCCACGGGTAATTGTTTCGCCCATTGTGCGGAATTTGTGCCGCATAAAATAAACTAAAAACAAAGAGGAAAAAATCACACAATTAATAATATATTTTTTTAAATAGTTTTTTTTCAAATTACCTTATTGCGAAATTTCTCTGACGTATGATTGAAAAACTGTTGGGCATAGCTGGCAATGTTTATCATACAAAAAGTTTTGAAACGCATGGGAAATGCTTTTTCACTGAACATGGCATTCTGTTTGATGATATTTACGGTAAATGGTAACAGATGGCTAGGACTGGCTTTGGCAAAATCGCAAATGAGCATTATTCCATTTATGCAGGCATAGGGATCATTCATTAGCATAATTTCTACACGGCTATTACAATACTGGAAGAAATTATTCGGTGGAAAGGCATTAGGTGTGTCCTGGAAACGACACATTATGATGCGGGGACCATGGTCATTTAATGGGGTGGGGAGTGGAATATAAAATCTGAAAATATAGATATACTCTCTCAAAATACATTTTCTATTCAGAAAAGGAAATTGGAATGATTTTTGAATGATTTTTCTCCATAGAAAAAGTATACAGGGTGAGATGAAAAAACGGTAACCAACTTCAAACTGCTGTTATTTCTAAGCCACTCGTACGACAGCTGTTAAAATTATTCCAGTGACAGCTCATTATATTGTTTACATTTTGCTTTTTGATGAGAATTCTCCCGAAAAAATGTTATTCGTGATGGAATTCAAGCGTGATTGTGTGATTTCTTTATATTTGGTTGGAAAACCACAAGTGGCTATCGTTAGAGCACCCCAGCATTTAAATGCGAATAAATTTTTTGTGTCTCGTACCATCGCTCGTTACCGTAATACTGGTAGCGTAGCCCGACGACGTCAAGAAAGTGGACGGAAGAAAACAGCAACATCAGCAGAAGTTGTTCGAAAAAGTAAAGAAGCAACTTGATCGAAACCCGCGTCGCAGTGGCCGAAAAATGCCTCGTGAGCTAAACATATCGCGATATTCCATTCGGCAAATATTGAACAATGAGCTCGGGGAAAAGCTATTGAAATTCCAAAAAGTGCAAGAACTTACACCGCAACAGAAAGAAAATAGACTCAAATACGCTAAAGAGTTGCTTCGCTTGGCCGAAAGTGGTAAACTGCCGAATTTGGTTTTCTCCGAATGAGAAAACCTTCGTTGTCCAGCAGTTTGTAAACAAACAAAATTATCGTGTTTACTTGCCAAAGAGGTCAGCTGAAAATGTGCACCTTCGGTTGGCCACCAGAACTCAAGGGGCCGCCATAACAGCCGATTGTCGCTCCCCGTTCATATTAATCGACCGTGGCATCAGAATAAAACCGAATATTATCGCGAAAATATTCTGGAGGGTGAATTAAAGCCTTGGGCACACAAACATTTTGGCCGCAGACCTTGGACATTCCAACAGGACTAAGCAATATCGCACTCAGCACGCGCCGCCCAAGAATGGTTACAAAATGAGGTTCCTCGCTTCATTTCCAGCGCACAGTGGCCACCAAAATCTCCGCATACCAATCCGTTGGACTATTGTGTCTGGAGTATTTTGGAAAGCAAGGTTGGCACTAAAAAATACCAAAGTGTCGATCACCTCAAGCAAGCGCTTTGCCGGGAATGGGCCAAAATACCGCAGAGCAACATTCGGGCAGCGTGTGGCGGTTTCATTGGCCGTTTGAAGGCCAGAATTCGTGCCGAAGGTGTGCAATTCGAACAAATCTATACTTATTATAAAATATGATGCTATTTCCGACATTTTTTGCTTTCATTCAATGACCCTTGACTTTGTTGCAGTTTTTTTATCTCACCCTGTATAGTTCAATAACTTTTTCGAAAGAAAATTTGTCTATCATAAGAGTGAGAATACATAAAACGCTTTTTTGACATACTTAAAGGTAGGAATGCATAAAGCGCTTATTTGGTTGGCTTAGTCATCGGCTGGCTTCTTCGGAAATTAACAAATGAGCCCTGGGCCAAAATCGAACTCAGTCAACCTAAAACTCATTTGTTCCTCTACTAAGAAGCCAGTCAAATAAGCGCTTTATGTATTCCCACCTTTAAGATGCAAGTACATAAAAAGCTTGAAGTCATAGCTAGGTATTTTAATGTCAAATTATAATGGAAAACGACGGCAGGATTTTAGTGCACCTCTGTAATCCTTTTATGAAGTGTCACAAAATATGCCTAGCCATGACTTCAAGCTTCTTATGTGCTTACACCTTTAGTCATCGGCTGGTTTCTTCGTAGAGGAACATAGGAGTTTTAGGGTGGAAATACATAATGCGCTTTTCTGGCTGGCTTAAGTCATCGGCTGGCTTCTTCGGAAATGAACAAAGTAGCCTAGGGCCAAAATCGAACTAAGTCAACCTAAACCTCCTTTTTTCATCTGCGAAGAAGCCAGCCGATGACTTAAGCCAGCCAAATATGCTCTTTATGTATTTCCAGCCTTAGGTTGACTTAGAACGATTTTGGCCTTACAATCCTTTGTTCTTTACCGAAGAAGCCAGCCGATGACTTAAGCCAGTCAGAAAGCGTTTAGGGTGGGAATACATAAAGCGCTTATTTGGCAGGCTTAAGTCATCGGCTGGCTTCTTCGTAGAGAAACAAAGAAGTTTTAGGTTAACTTAGTTCGATTTTGGCCCTTTGTTCATTTCCGAAGAAGCCAGCCCTTAATGTATTCTCACCTTTAGGATTTCTAGTTTTCAATGCTGGGCCCAAGTTGTTATTCCACTTACCCTGTACTGTGCAGCTTTCGAAATAGCGGATCATCAACATTGGTCAAATTGAAATATTCCGGATATTTTGTTTTCATCGCGTAGAAAGTATCGATTTTCTTTTTGGCCTTTTCCAAACTGTATTTGCAGCCACGAAGAAATTGTATCAAGAATTGATCGTCCATGCGAGCCCGCAAGTGAATTTGCTTTTTAATCCATTCTTTAAAGATTTGCAAGTCTTCGGCCATCCTTTCGGGGACTTCTCCCAATTCCTCGATGGCAACCTTTTGTAATTCCTCTGGGAGAGGTTCGATTTGTAGCTTCATCTGGTTTTCCATGTTCGAATGCAACTGAGTGTCCAGTGTTGATTTTCACAGCTATTATTGATATTTCAATTTGAATGTTTAATAAGTTTTTAATTGTCGTATAAAATCAAGTTGGTAATTGGGCTTTAATATATGGAAATCGTTTTGCCTGACATAAATTTGCTTTTCAAAAATATTCCTATTGACATATTTTGTCTTTATAAAAGTCGTCATCAAATCGTATTTTTATATCAACTCAATGGCACAGTTTGAGATTGTTTCAAAAACATTTGAAAAATATGACAAGCTGACTGGCACGTGAGTTTGATTTTTGAAAGGTTTTCGAGCAAAGTTTGTAATTAAAAGCAGATTTTAGATATCTGATTAATTGTGAAATTTACTAAAAATTCTTTTAATTTATTTCATTTATCTTATCTTGTGAATGTACATTACTTGTTTATGTAAATTTGTCGTTTAAATAATTATAATAATTAGAACAATTTATAAGTAGGCATCGTAATTTAAAACTAGTTTAAGTTGAGTAAATTACTCATCAAATAGACTGTGCAGCACATAAAATAATTGCAGGAAAAACTAAAGATGGGAATACATAAAGCCAGCAGATGACTTTATGTATTAAAGGTGAGAATACATAAAACGCCTTTTTTGATTGGCTTCAGTCATCGGCTGGCTTCTTCGTAGAGAAACAAAGGAGTTTTAGGTTAACTTAGTTCGATTTTGTTCCTTTGCTTCTTTGTTATTTTCCGAAGAAACCAGCCGATGACTGAAGTCAGCCAAAAAAGCGTTTTATGTATTCTGACCTTAAGATCTATTAAGTAATTAATAATCGTTTGCAATAACCTACAGTGGCGAAATATTCATTATTTTTAATTTTTTAAAAACACAAATAAATTTAACACATTCTCTGGGAAACTCGGAATGTTCATTTCTTTGTTTATTTACAATTTGTTTGTTTACAACTGAACTGTCAGTTCAAACAGAGTCAGCTGACGTTATTTGTTATGTTACGTTATTGTTATACCCTTCACCATAGTATGGAGGGTATATTAAGTTTATCATTCCGTTTGTAAAACCTCGAAATATACATTTTAGAACCCACAAAGTATATATATCCTTGATCAGCATAAAATTCTATGTCGATCTAGCGATGTCCGCCCGACTGTTGAAATCTCTCTAACTTCCGAACGAAATGAAGATGATTGATAAAATTTTACTCAAATGTGAATTATGTCGGCGTGACTTTTGGTATTGAAAACGAGTGATGTAGGTCCAGTGATGGTGAAAACGAGTGATGGTATAGCTCCCATATAATGGTACCTCCCGATATTCGGTATTTTGGTGATTTAAGCAACATTTGTTATCCAATGTGTTTCAAATTTGGTATTTGAAGTTCGCAATGGGTACTACAGCCTATGACAGAAAATTGTCTGTGCAGGTCCACGCCTTCGTATAGCCCCAATATAACGGTACCTCCCTATATTCGGAATTTTACTGATTTTAGTGACATTATTCACCGGAATTGTTTCAAATTTGGAATTTGAATTTCGTAGTGGATATTTCAGCCTATGACAGAAAATTGTCTGTTCAGGTCCGCATTGATGATTTTAGCTACATTATTTGCCGAATTTTTTTTTTCAAGTTTCGCATTTGAATTTTGTAATGGCTTATGACAAAAGTTGCCTATGAAGGTCCACGTCGTCATTTAGACCCTAATATGACGTATACATTTGGTGGAGGGTATTCAAAGTTCGGACCAGCCGAGCTTACAGCTTTTTTACTTGTTATAACCTCAGCCATATGGCTAGAGAGCGTATATCGTTTGATACGGCCAAAACGTGCCTCATCGAAATAACGGTCTTAGAACCTAGGTCTCTTTGTACCAAATCCGTTTCAGGGCATTTGAAGTCGATCTAGCGATGTCCGTATGTCTGTCTGGCTGATGCGCAAGATGACTCTCGAAGGGAGTATCCGATTTGGTCCAAACTTGGTACATCGTAATATTATTATCAAAGATATATCGAGTTCGGAGATGGGCAATATCGATATCTCCCCCACAATAGCTCAACATTTAAAAAAAAAATATTTTACTCTACAGAAAGAGAAAGGATAATCCAATTTTGCTCCAACTTTGCAAATCCCAGTATTTGCCTCAGTATTAGGTCAAGTGCAAAAATGGACAATATCGGTTCACTCCTTCTGGTAACTCTCCCACAAATGGTCAACATTTTGAATAATTATAACTTCCATAAAATGTGATGTAAAAGTCCGATTGTCTTCATATTATACACATCACAATATTATTATTAACGCAAGGTATGGTATGAAGATGGAATATATCGATCCACTCCTGGTATCTCCCCCAAAGGGTCAAAATTTTGAATATTCATGAAGCTCATAAAACACAAAGTTAACACCCGATTCCATTCAGACTTGGCACATCTCAATATTTCCATACACACAAGACTTGTTATGAAGGTAGTGGGAATCAGACTATTCCTTCTGGTACCTCCCCCCCAAAGGGTCAAAATTTTGAATATCCATGAAACTCATTATACGTGAAATTAACATTCGATTCCATTCAGTCTTGGCAATTCTCAATATATCTATCAATACAAGATCCGTTATAAAGATGGTAGAGATCGGGCCATTTCTTCTGGTATCTCCCCCACAAAGGGCCAAAGTTTTCAATAACTAAATCGATTATAAAATCCGAAATAAGCATCCGATTCTCTTCAAAATACACACAACAAATTATTTTTATTAACACAAGGTCTGGTGTGAAATTGGGAAATATCAGCCAACTCATTCTGGTACCTCCCCCAAAAAGGGTAAAAATTTTGAATATCCATGAAGCTCATAAAACGTGAAATTATCATCCGATTCCATTCAGTCTTGGCACATCTCAATATTTCTATCAACACAAGATTCTTTATAAAGATAATAGAGATCGGGCCATTTCTACTGGTACCTCCCCAAAAGGGCCAACGTTTTCAATAACTAAAACAATTATAAAAACCGAAATATGCATCCGATTCTCTTAAAATTACACACATCAAATTATTTTTATTAACCCAAGGTCTGGTGTGAAATATCAGCCCACTCCTTCTGGTACCTCCCCCACAAAGGGTCAAAATTTTAAATATCCATGAAGCTCATAAAACGTGAAATTATCATCCGATTCCATTCAGTCGTGGTACATCTCAATATTTCCATTAACACAAGATCTGTAAAAAATAGAGTAGAGATCGGACAATTCCTTCTGGTACCTCTCCCACAAAGGTTTAACATTTTGAATAACCAAAGCGATAACAAAATCCGCAGAAAGCATGCGTTTCTCCTCATATTTCACAAATGCCATTATTTCTGCTGACAAAAGATCTGCTGTGAAGCTGGGATATATTGGTCCACTCCTTCTGGTACCTCCCTCACAAAGGGTCATTTTTAATATCGATGAAATGCCATTAAATGCCAAATTAACATCCGATTCTACTCAAACTTGGTGCATCTCAATATTTCCCTCAACACAAGATCTATTATACCTACCATTTCCTTTATCTCTCTCTCCAACAAACAGACACTTTGCTGCAAGTAAACTTTTCTAAAGTAAACTGCTTTTGTGGGAGAGCTTTCTTTAAAAATCGCTAAACAGTCTCTATAGTTGTTAACACTGTTTGGATTTTTATTTTTATAGTTTGCCTAAAAATATGCTTCAATATTTCACAGTTAATGGTGGGTATTCAATATAATATGTGAATGAAAATGTTGCAATTAAATAATGATTTTTTGAGATTGATGGTTATATTGAGTTTGTTATTCTGTTTGTAATTTCTCGAAATAATTCTGTTAGAACCCACAAAGAATATATTTTTGATCAGAATGTCCACTAAATTGATTGGAGTATTTGATTTTCAAATGTGTTTAGGTCAACAAAAATGTTTAAATTGAAAATATTTTGCAATAGCTTAAATTTCCACTCAGTACAAATGGCCATGCGAATAACTTTCTTGCCGAAAATGATCGATTAAGATCCAAGTACTCCCTGATTTTAGGTAGGTTTCATAGTCCTTTTAAATCTTAAAAGTCTTAACTTTTTACAAAGATTCTACCGATATTTACATGATAACGGTCGAATCTTTGTATGTTTATAAAAGGTTGCGATTTTAAATTTTTAGATATGATTTTATTTTTTGATTATGGATTTATATTTTACAATAATTTAATACTTATCAACTAATCACAACCATATTGCTTAATATACTCAAATTCAATGCTAATTAATCCACCATTAATTTTCGAAATGATCCTTCTATGCCAAATATTTGCGAGTAGTCAGTAGATTTGTTTTCTCGCAGACTTTCATTTTCACGAAATATTCGCGATATTCCTGAAAGACTTGCCACTGTAACTTATTGATCTCGTCAAAGGAACTATTTTCACCACCCAACTCCTGTGGTAGATATTTTTGCGGTATATGCTCGTAGAGAGATTGCCAGTTGCTGCCATGGATAAAGAGCTGCAAAGAGAGATGAGAAAAATTTTCAGAAAATTAAGGATTTGTATAAAATTGCTCAAAAAACAAGTTAAAAAGCAACAGTCGGTTTAGTCGACAAATGTAGTAGTCTTCCGAAGGAGTGGAACAATATTTTTCATTTCGTATCTGACCTAAGTCTGATATAAATATTACAACATGTCCGATTTGGACAGTATTGCGCACTTCCTTCACTTTATATGTTATATGTTGAGAGAAATATTTAGTTATAGCATGTTGTAAAGAATCGCTGATTTGTTTCGCAAGTTATAACAGATAAAAGTATTGAACATCGTGGCCATTTGTGTGGGTGAGGTACCAGAAGGGATTCGCAGATATATATCATATTCACACAGATTTTGGGTTAGCAAAAATATTTGGATGTGAGAAATTTGAAGAGAGTTGGATGCTTATTTCGCTTTCTTGGAGCGTTTTGTTTTTCAAAATCTTGAACCCTATGTGTGGGAGGTACCAGAAGGAATGGTCCGATCTCTACCATCCTTATAACAGATCTTTTGTTGATGGAAATATTGAGATGTGCCAAGTCTGAATGGAATTTGATGTTAATTTCGCGTTTTTTAAGCTTTATGAATATTCAAAATGTTGACCCTATGTGGGGGAGGTACCAGAAGGAGTGGATCGATATATTCCATCTTCACAGCAGATCTTTCGTAAGTAGAAATATTGAATTGTGTGAAATTTGAAGACAATCGGGAGCTTATTTCGCGTTCCATGTGATATGTAATTATTCAAAATTTTGACCAGATGTGTGGGAGGTACCTGAAGGGTTGGTCCGATATATATGATCTTCATACCAGATCTTGTGTTGGTAAAAATATTTAAATGCGCTAAAGTTGAAAACAATAGAATCCTTATTTCAGATTTTATAGGAGTTATAATTTTTCAATATTTTGACCCTTCGTGGTGGAGGTACTTGATGGAGTGGTCCGATATGTTCCATCTTCACACCGGACATTGGGTTAATAAAAATATTGTAATGTGTGTAATTTGAAGACAATCGGACTCTTACATCATATTTGATAAGAGTTATAATTATTCAAAATTTTGACCCTTTGTGGGGAAGGTACTTGATGGAGTGGACCGTTATTGTCAATTTTCGCACCTGACCTAGTACTGATGCAAATATTAGAATTTGAAAAGTTGGAGCAAAATTTGCAAAGTTGGACCAACATTTGCAAAGACTCCTTTCTCTTTCTGCGCAGTAAAGTATTTTTTTGAAAGTTTTAAGCTTTTGTGGGTGAGGTCCCAGAAGGAGTCGCCTGATATTGCTCATCTCCGAAATTGATGTAAATTTAATAATAATATTTCGATATACCAAGTTTAGACCAAATCGGATGCTCCCTTCGAGAGTTATCCTGCACATCAGCCAGCCAGACAGACAGACGAACGGACATCGCTAGATCGACTAGAAATATTTTGAAACGAATTTGGTCCAAAAAGACCTAGGGTCTAAAACGTTATTTCGATGAGACACATTTTGGCCGTATCAAATGATATACAGCCTCTGTATCCATATGGCTGAGGGTATAATTATTGTATTTGGTAAATTATCAGGAACAATCCGCGTAGAGATTTTGTATGTAAACATTTTTAATGATCAGCTGCGGTAAGTAAAGGATAGCTATTTACATGGGCATTAATACCCTGCTATATAATCTATTTAAAATCAGACGATATGTCAAAACTGTTGTCCTTCTTGTTTATCTTTCGTACACTGTTTTCAATCACAAAAATGTGTTTTTTCGTCTCGCTTACTTACCCTTTGTTGTTGTTTCAGTGGCATTAAGGCTCTGATCATGTTCAGTAGTCTATCAAAAGCTGGTGAGGTATTCACGATGTGTACAGCTCGCTGGCGCAAAGGTAAGGCATCCTCGGCAAAGGTGGTAATTTTTCGCACCACATTTGGTGTTAATTGCAAAATATGCGATGCCGTATAGCTGGACATATCCAAAATTTGGACATAACCATTTATCACGCAATAATCATCAAAAAGCATATTCAACTCTTGGAAGGCATTGGCAATGGCCATGACATCGCTAAAGGTATATTTATCGGTGGGATAATTACCCGGGCGGACATATTGTATGCGGGGTCCCGTCTCATGCAAAGGTGTGGGTAAATGTAAGCCGATGCTATAAAAAAATAAATGAAAAGCGTTATTTAATATTAATTTTTATAATTTTTTTTCCGAATATCTTACCCCATTTTATAGAGCTCTACAACCCTCGGGTCATCTATATTTTGTATGGTATAAAATTCGGGATATTTCGTCCTCAACGTATAATATTTATCCAGTTTACTTTTGGCCTTTTCTAAACTATATTTACAGCCGCGAAGAAAGCTTGTGAGAAATTGATCATCGGTTCGTGCCCTCAAATGACGCTGGCGCCCAATCCATTCACGAAAATCTTGTAAATCCTCGTCAATTCTTTCAGGTATTTCATTGAGTTCCTCGCAGGCAATTTTTTGCAATGCCTCTGGTAGGGGACGTATATTTGGCATATTTACGGGTATGTGGTTGCTGTTGTTGTTTTCCCGTTAATGAGGTAGTGTAGAGGTCTTATCTGCAAAGCGTATAAAATGTAATGGTGTAATCAAATATTAGATAATTATGACAACAAGCGATGGTTGTAAATATGTCATAGCCACTGTGAATGGAGAAAATGTGATTAGATATCGAATATGGTCTGTTCCAGAACCTGCAAGAATCTACTGGTTTTGCAATTTTTTCGATATCGTAATGGGAAAATCGGTTATCGTAGGTAAAAAAATTACACATTTGTCAGAATTGTAAAAGTGCTTGGTTAGTCAAAAGTAAACACAGGATGAAAAACTCTTTCAAGGTCTTCCATGGATAGAAGTTATTTTAAAGATCTTGCTTTGACAGATATTTTATTGAGAGATCTTTTGTTTTATTTTCGTACCCTCAGCCATATGGGTACAGAGGGCCAAAACGCGCCTCATCGAAATAACGGTTTTAGACTCTAGGTCTCTTTGGATCTAATCCATTTCGGGATATTTGGAGTCTATCTAGCGATATCCGTCCGTCCGTCTGGCTGGCTGGTGCGCACGATAACTCTCAAAGGGAGTATCCGATTTGGTCCCAACATCGTAATATTATTATCAAACTTAGATCGAGTTCGTAGATGGGCAATATCGGCTCACTCCTTCTGGTATCTCCCCCACAAAAGGTCAAAATTTTCAAAGTAAATAATTTACAGAAAGAGAAAAGATACACCGATTTTGCTCCAACTTTGGAAATCCTAATATTTGCATCAGTTGTAGGTCAGGTGCAAAAATGGAAAATATCCGTCCATTCCTTCTGGTAACTCTCCCAAATGGTCAAAATGTTGAATAATTATAATTCTTATAAAATGTGATGAAAGTGTCCGATTTCCAATATTTCTATTAACCCAAGGTCTTGTGTGGAATATAGAATATATCAGTCCACTCCTACTGGTACCTCTCCCACAAAGGGTCCAAATTTTGAATATTCATGAAGCTCATAAAACCCGAAATTAACATTCGATTCCATTCAGACTTGGTACATCTCAATATTTCCATTAACACAAGATGTGTTATAAAGATGGTAGAGATCGGACCGTTCCTTCTGGTACCTCCCCCACATGGGGTCAAAATTTTGAATAACCAAAACTAGCATAAAATCCAAAACAAGCATCCAGTTCTCTTCAAATTTCACACATCCCATTATTTCTAATAATACAAGTGGTGCTGTGAAGATGGGATATATCGGCGATCTAATTTTAGTACCTCCCTCACAAAGAGATCAAAATTTTGAATATCCATGCAGCTAATAAAACGCGAAATTAACATCCGATTCCATTCGGACTTGGTACGTCTCAAAATTTTCATCAACACACGTTCTGCTATAAAGATAGTAGAGGTCTATTCCTTCTGGTACCTCCCCCACAAAGGATCAAAATTTTGAATTATTGTATCTCTCATAAAATGTGAAATAAGCATCCGACTCCGATAAAATTTCACACATCCCAATATTTCTATTAACACAAGATCTGGTGTGAAGATGAGATATATCGATTTACTCCTACAGGCACCTCCCCCAGAGTGGGATCAAATTTTTTAATAACAAAACGCCATAAAAATGCGAAATAAGCTTCCGATTCTTTTCAAACTTCACACATCTCAATATTTCTACTAATACAAGATATGGTGTTAAGTTGATAGATATCGGCTTACCTATCGATCTACTCCTACTGGCACCTCCCCCACAGAGGGATCAACATTTTTAATAACAAAATGCCCTAAAAATGTGAAGAAAACGTCTGTTTCTTTTCAAACTTCGCACATTTCAATATTTCTACTAATACAAGCAATGGTGTGAAGATGATAAATATTGACCTACCCTTTGTGGAACCTCCCCCACAAACGATAACAATTCTAAATCTCTCATAACTTGCGAAACAAATCAACGATTCCATTCAAACCTGGTATATCTTATTATTTCCCTCAACAAGAGATCTGCTGTGAATGAATTTTTCTGTCCACTTCTCCAGATACCTCCTCCCCCACAAAAAGTGAAAATTTTGATTTACAGTTATTCGCAAAGAATTGAAAAAAATGTTTGATTTTCTCTACATTTTTCAGGTCCCAATATTTTAATTAGTATTATATAAGGTGGAATACTTCGACCCACTATATCTGGCACTTCACTTTCAACATTTCAAGATTCTCCAAAAATTGTCACATATCTCTCACACATATCTATCTCAAGTGATATAGTCCAAATATGGTACGTTGTAATATTTATATCAGACATATGTTAGAGAGGAGATGGCCAATGTTGGCCAACTCCTTCGGGACCTCCCCCAGAAATGCTTAACATTATGAACAATAAATACGGCTGCCAAAATATGTTTACATTAACGGACAATAGCTGATACGTCCGTCAGCAAAAACCGACTAAATTTTTTCAACGTTTTTGTTTATTAGTTAGTCAAAAGGAACCACTGACCCTTTCAAGGTCTTCCATGGATGGGAGTTCTTTATAATATCTTCCCTTGACAGATCTTTTATTAATTAAAGACTTTTGACAGTTCTTTTGATTTCATATAGTATTATTTTTAATACCACACTAGTTTTCAATATTGTTTACATTTGGACTTTTTATCGCCTTAGCCTCCTTTTTTTGATCATTTATTTGACGTATATGCAATGCGAAACCATTAACTGTAAACGTACTATAAAACTGTTCAAATATCTGAATTTAAAAATCTCCGCTTAGTTTTTTCCACTCTATCTACGATTCCACTCGCTTTTACCAACTGAAACCGACATTCAAATGCAATTTTAACCTTATCTACTGAAATATGATTTGGCGAAATTTATTACATTTGCAAATTATATCGTACACGGGACACCAAAAATCTGTTATAACACGAATTTATTATTAGTCACTGAGAATGAGGTTTTAACAATTCCGCAATCTAGCGCCCAACCGATCACCGGCCATGGAAATTTAATAAACACTGCCTGGTTGTTGTTAAACTTGTATAACCAAACGATCGTAGTTGAAAATCTAGATAAAAAAACAGGTGTTGACAATGGGGTGATAAATATTTAGGGAATTCAAATCTGGAAATAAATATGTTGCTGTTTTTAAAACGTATTCTATGTGAAAGGGAAACACTGAGTAAGAAAGCTGTGAATCATTTTATTTTTCTTCAACCTTAAGTGGATCTACTTTGATAGGTAATAACAAATGATTACAAACACATATTTTGTAAATTTGTCATAATACTTTGTTGGGTTTCATAAATAATAATAACAATACAAGTAATAAAAATGTTATCATTTCGTGACGTTGTATATTTTATTTAAACACCTTCGTAATTATTACTTTAATAATTTTGAGTAATCGTTCTCTGTTGGGGCATATTTAGTTGCTAACATTAATTAGAGATTAATTAATTTTAAAAAAATTATTAACTTAACTTTGTTATTTCTCCTGTGTCCCTTTCTATCAACTTGCCATGCGTGGGCATTGATCTAAAGGCGAGAGTACATAAAAAGCTTTTTTTTGGAGCGTAGGGCCAAAATCGAACTAAGTCAACCTAAAACTCCTTTGTTCCACTAAGAAGAAGACAGGCGATGACTTAAGCCAATCAAAAAAGCGTTTTATGTATTCTAATCTTGACTTGAGTCATCGGCTGGCTTCTTCGCAAAAGAGAAGAAAGTAGCGTAGGGTGAACAAGTATAAATTACGGACCGAAATAGAACTAAGTCAACCTAAAACTCCTGTGTTCTTGTACGAAGAAGCCAGTCGATGACTCAAATCAAGGTGAGAAAACATAAAACGCTTTTTTGACTGGCTTAAGTCATTGGCTAGCATTTTCATAGAAGAAAAAAGTAGTTTTAGGTTGACTTAGTTCGATATTGGTCCTACGCTCCTTTGTTCTTTTCCGAAGAATCCAGCCAATGATTTAAGCCAGTCAAAAAACTTTTTTTTATTCCCACTTTCATTTAAAACAGCCTTCCATGTATTCTCACCTCTAAGCTTCCAATGATAACACAGTGGGCGACTTTATTCTCAAGTATCAAGTAATTTTTTTTTATTAATTCATTAAACAATATTTAAATATCTTATGGCTAACCATGGCTCATTATATCTATACTTAGCATAAGTCTTATTTTTCTAAGTTTATTTATACGTTTATTTACGAAAAAAACTGTTTCAGACTGCTGTCTTTTCTAAGCAACTCGTCCGACAGCTGTCACAATTAATCCAGTGACAGCTCATTATATTGTTTACAAGCGCACAAAAGAATTTTGGTGAGAATTGCAGAAAAAATGTTATTCGTGATGGAATTCAAAGGTGATAGTGTGATTTCTTTCTATTCGGCTGGAAAACCAGAAGTGGCTATCGTTAGAGCACTCCAGCATTTAAATGTGAATAAATCTTTTGTGTCTCGTACCATCGCTAGTTACCGTGATGCTGGTAGGGTAGCCCGACGTCAAGGAACTGGACGGAAGAAAACAGCAACAACACCAGAAATGGTTCGAAAAGCAAAGAAGTGACTTGATCGAAACCCGCGTCGCAGTGGCCGAAAAATGGCTCGTGAGTTGAACATATCGCAATATTCCATTCGGAAAATATTGAAAAATGAGCTCGGGGTAAAACGATTAAAATTCCAAAAAGTGCAAGAACTTACACCGCAACAGGAAGAAAATAGACTTAAGAGAGCTAAAGAGTTGCTTCGCTTGGCCGAAAGTGGTGAACTGCCGAATTTGGGTTTCTCCGATGAGAAAAGATTCGTTATTCAGTAGTTTGTAAACAAACAAACTACTTGCCAAAGAGGCCAGCTGAAAATGCGCACCTTCGGTTGGCGCCGGCCATGGTGAGGGCTGCCATAACAACCGATAGTCACTCTTCGCTCGTATTAATCGACAGTGACATCAGAATAAATGACGAATATTATCGTGATAATATTCTGAAGAGTGTATTAAAGCCTTGGGCATGCACAAATTTTGGCCGCAGACCTTGCACACTATAACAGGACTCAGCACCATCGCACTCAGCACGCGCCACCCAAGAATGGTTATAAATTGAGGTTCCTCGCTTCATTTCCAGCGCACAATGGCCACCAAAATCTGCGTATATCAATCCGATGGACTACTGTGTCTGGAGTATTTTGGAAAGCAAGGTTGGCACTAAAAAATACCAAAGTGTCGATTACCTCAAGCAAGCGCTTCGCCGGGAATGGACCAAAATATCGCAGAGCAACATTCGGGCAGCATGTAACGGTTTCATTGGCCGTTTGAAGGCTATAATTCGTGTCAAAGGTAACCAATTCGAATAAATCTAAACTTATTCGACAATTTGATGATATTTCCGACATTGTTTGCTTTCATTCAATAAAATTTAAAAATAAAAATGTAAAAATTATGGCGTTTGATTTGATTGCAGTTTCTGTTTTATCTAAACCTGTATATTTCCTGGTTGTGGGACGTTTGGCAGAATATTTCCTTAGCATTTTTGCTTGATCCTTTTAACACTGAATACTGAGATTCTTCCAAATACAGCTGTGGACACCCTTCAGGGGGAATGTGTGGAGAGACCAATGTTTTTTCGGCGTTCGGCGGCTAAAGTTGGCTACATTTCTATTTAGTTCGTACAGACACATAAATTACAAATTCTAAACCGAACATAAACCAATATTTCGGTATGAAATTAAAAAAAAATGTTTGTAGTTCCTATTTCTCTTGGCGAGATTTTTTTACAGGCGATTAGTACACAACACAAAAGACTAATTAACTTGATATATATCCCGCTACGCTTCTTCTGGGGCCTACAGATCCCTAAAAAATCTTTAGAGTTGCATTTTCGCTCAAATTAAATTCGTAGCTGGCAACCCCGGAATTTCCCATATGAACCGGCCATTTTGCGTATATTGTTCTCTTTTAATTTTCGGCTTCAGCAGGAGACTAGCACTTGGGAGATTGTTGCTGTTTTTTAAATAAATTAAAAATGTCATAAATTCCTGGGTTAAATGCAACAGCTTTCTCTTACTAACCTATTATTTAAGGATGCAGATCTGTCTAGGTAAACTAAGAAGATATTTAAGAAATTTATCTATTCGGCTGAAGTCGATGGATTCATATACTATCTGGTTGGGAGGAAGGCGTCATGTTCCACCTTCTCACTGAGTTCACCCTAACCCTAAATAGAACCCTAATGTAATAATGGACCAATAGTACAGGGCTACATATATTTTTACACTAAGATAGAATATATCGGAAGAGAAAAGGGTTAACTCTGACAATTGATAACTCAGGTTTTTTATATCTACCCTCCTTCTAGTTTTGACTAGGACGTCTAGATCCGATTATTTTTCTCGGAATTTTATTCAAATTTTTAATTTTTTTCCAAAAAAAAAATCTTTTGTGCTTTTAATCCACATCAATTTTTCGAAATGATCCACCCATACCGTACATGCCATCATTAATCATCTTGACGGGGCGCAAATGTTCCTCAACACCAAATTGTGAATTTTCCTGAAAGAACTGCCTATATTTGTCCCATGTTTTCGCATAATCTTCACACACATTCGACAAGCTGCCATTTTCGCCACCATAGTCCTCAGGTAAGTATTTCAAGGGAATTCTCTCCTTAAGATGTTCCAATTTTTTGCTACAAAAGAAAACCTGCAAAAAAATGAAATAATTAATTTCCTTTAAGTTATCGAACTCGTATTTACCCTCTGCCTTAATTTCTTGGATAGAAATGACATAAATAAATTACAAAATTGCTCTGCAAAGGCTGGCATGTTGATGAGGCCCATTGCCTTGACACGCAATGGCAGAGAGTTTTCCATGTAGGTGAGAGATTTCTTTAGAATGCTGGGATAAAATTGTAAAATATGACTGGCCGAAAAACATGACAAGTCCACTAAATAGATGACACCATTAATGCAGGCATAGGGATCATCGATCAAGAGCAGATCATGGAGTAGAACATCCAACAAGATGACATCTTCAATGGAGGAGCATAATTCGAGGACCACATTCATTCAGTGGTGTGGGGAGGGGGACAATGCAACTGAAAAAAAGAATAAATCTACAAATTGAAGGGGATTAAAAAGGAAAAAAGGCGTAATATTTACCCCATTTGAAATAATTTTCTAAGCTGCGGATCATCCACATTTGTTGGCCTAAGGAGTTCAGGATATTTAGATTTTAGTGCATAATAACTCTCAAGTTTCTCTTTGGCCCTTTCCAGACTAAATTTACAGCCTCTCAGGAATTGTACCAAAAATTGTGGATCTGTTCTGGCCTTAAGATGTGGTTGTTGTTGAATCCATAGCTCTAAGGCCTGCAAATCATTGGCCAATCTTGAGGGCACCTCACCCAGTTCTTCTATGGCCACTTTTTGTAATGCCTCTGGCAAGGCTTGCAGTTGAGACATATTAGGGGCTGTAAGAATGTTTATTATTATTATTATTATAAATATATAATTAAATAATTATTATTTTTGTTATTTTTATTATTAATAGTAATTTACACAAGGCTCAAGAGTACTACAGATAGAGAATGTCTAACATCACATGAATTATATTTCGACATGCACATAATCGAGGTGGTGTTATTAACCAGACTATATACATATCCCTGCAGAAGTCGACAACAATATATGTCAGCTGAAGTCGGGCGCAAGAAGCTATAACTTTTCTTGGATTACGACTCGACAATAAATTGTATTTTTTGTTGAAATTAAATTAGGCAGCTGAGAAGGCCAAAGGTGAGAGCTCATAATACATAAGGTCAAAATCGAACTAAGTCAACCTAAAACTCCTTCGTTCTTTGCTTTGTTCCTCTACGAAAAAGCCAGTCGATGTCTTATAAGGCAGTCAATAAAGGGTTTTATGTATTCCCACCTCAACTCTATCACAGTTCAAAGACACCTCCTAAGCAAGCGGAGATTACTACGGAGAAACTTTAATTGACATACTTAAACTGTTGAAAGTACAGAGAGTACAGTGAGATTAGCACTTGTTAATCCGCACAGTCTTAGGACAAGCAATACTAATTTTATCGGGCATTCTACCTATTGATTTAGTGGCAGAAGAGCGGTTGAAAATTTTTGAAGTTACATGTCTCATTATGAAGTCTCAGAAGTTGGTCAAATAAAAGAGAAAACACTCCAGAGAAATGGCAGAAATCGTGAGACGTATGGCAGATGGACAGCAATACTCATCCTAGACATAATAGCATGGAAAAGGCGAAATCAGGGATATGTAAATTATCACATAATATTTCCGGACATGGCAATCTCGGTAAGTAAATGTTTAACCATGGAAAGCGATTTGTATGAAGAAGCAGATATTGTAGATGACGTAGGAAATACATATTCTCATGAAGTCGTTGGAAAGACCTCGTCATCTCAGTCTTCACTGTCGTTGCAAGAATGGTAGCATACTAAAAAAAATTGGACTGTAATATCTAGATTCTGTGAGAAATTGTTAAAAATCCGAAAAGTTACTTACCCTTTAAGACCACTAAACGAGTAGAGAAGCTTAGGCTCAAGCAAGAAGAAACAAGTAAAAAAGTTGTAAGCTCGGCCGGGCCGAACTTTGAATGCCCTCCACCATTTTGAGCTCCCACCATTCCATCCACCATTCTCAAAAACAATAAAATCCAATAAAAATTCTATTAAAATCTTAAAAATATCGGTTGGAGTTCGTAATGGATACTACAGCCTAAGACAGAAAATTGTCTGTGAAGGTCCACGTCTTCGTATAGCCCCCATATATTCTGTATTTTGATGATTTTAGCGGCATTATTCACCGGAATTGTTTCAAATTTGGTATTTGAAGTTCGTAATGGATACTACAGCATATGACAGAAAATTGTCGGTGCAGGTCTACGTCTTCGTATAGCCCCCACGGTACCTACCTATATTCGGTATGATTTAAGCTACATTATTCACCGATTTTATTTATTTTAAGTTTCGCATTTGAATATTGTAATGGCTTATGCCAAAAGTATCTTATGCTGGTCCACGACCCTAATATAACAGCTACATTCGGTATTTTTAAGATTTTAACAGAATTTTTAACGGATTTAATTTTTTATACCCTCCACCATACTATGGAGGGTATATTAACTTTGTCATTCCGTTTGTTACTCCTCGAAATACTCATGTAAGGCCCAACAAAGTATATTTATTCTTGATCAGCGTAAAAGTCTATGTGATTTAGCGATGTCCGTCTGTGTGTCTGTTGTAATCACGCTATCTTTCGAATGTATCGAGATAGAAGGCTAAAATTTCGCAGACATGTTTATTTTGTCAGTAGGCAGGTTGAGTTCGTAAATGGGCCATGTAGGTCCACGTTTTCATATAGTCCCATACAACGGTACCCCCCCGATATTCGGTATTTTGATGATTTTAGCGACATTATTTAACGGAATTGTTTCAAATTTGGTATTTGAAGTTCCAAAGGGATACTACAATCTAAGACAGAAAATTGTCTGTGCAGGTCCACGTCTTCGTGTAGCCTCCATTTAACGGTACCTCCCGATATTCAGTATTTTGATGATTTTTAGCGACATTATTCACCTGAATTATTTCAAATTTGGTTTTTGAAGTTCGTAATGGTTACTACAGCCTATTACAAAAATTTTTGTATGCAGGTCCACGTTTTCGTATAACCTCCATATGTTTGCCTATTTTACACTTAACATGGCAACCCTAAAACCTAATGCGGTTTTCATTAAAGTGGTAGTTTTCGGAATTTTTTTTTGAAAATTTTCAAGTTTCTTGGATTATTAAAGGTTTGTCCCGGCCGAACTTAGCTGCTTTTTTACTTGTTTTTTTTTTTTTTTGAAAATTTCCAAATTTGATCCAAATTGTGGAGGGTATTCAAAGTTCGGCCCGGAGGAACTTACAGCTTTTTTAATTGTTTGTAACAACCGTTTTCCGAGGATGACGAAAAATCGCAATATTTGGCTTTAAGTGGCGTTGCCGGTATGCTGGCGTTTAGCGCGGCTATGGCTCGTCGGGTGAGGGGTGGTTCTTGCCACTTGAAGACCTTTTCGGTTGAACACAAAAAAAATATCATACCGGGCTTGCACGAATATCTAAAAGGGGAATATTATTAGAAGCCTGAAACATGCCTAAAAATACAAAAAAACTACACTTGTCTACCAAAAACTCAATCTAAAACTCACTTTAACCCAATTCTTTCCTCCGGAAACAGCTCTCTTGGCGGCTGTCCGACCAAGAGATAGCCCTCCCACCGAGAACACCTCTCGCCATGACGTCACCACTCCCTGACGTCCCAAATTTGACCCTTCACTTACCTCCGTTTAAACCATCCCTACCACCTTCTTAATGGCCTTAAGCCAACGACATCATCTTCATTTGGAAGTATACAATTTTATTACACCTATTGTACATTACATATTGATTTATACTATCAATCAATAAAAAAAGCAGGAAACGTAATTATTAATTCCATAAAGAAAATTAATTCCAACTCTAAGCTCCTTCTCTTTCTTTTTCCTTTTCAGGGTTCGATGGCGGGTATCAAGAGTTAGGACCACTGATGGCCGCCAATGGACAAGGTTCTTCCCAAAGAGTAAGTACGTAATAGTATGAAGTTTAGCTTTATAACTACATTCCCGGTTCAAGATTAAAAAAAATGATAATTTATTTTCCAATTCCAGGCCAGGACAAACAAAAGGCAGTATGTCGACACCACAAAAACAATCGACGAAAAAAAGGTGGATACCTAACCTCGAAATGAGCTCAATTCAACGAGGGATCCTGCACTGCAACACTAGGCGAGTAAATCTTAAATTAAACTTCTTTTGTTTACCCCTTTTTATTTAAAAATTGTACTTTTCTTTTCAGGAAAACCGCGGAATCTAATTATGTCGCCTCGTCGTCCGTCTGTCTGTCCGGAGTTTATAGTGACGTCTATAGGGAAGATACCAAGTCACGCTGGTATAGCAGTGACGGAAAATCTGCGCCTCCCTCGATGGATTGGATGTGCGATGGTGTGGCTCTTTACTCCAAAAATTCTGCCAGGACTTAATTTTTTAAGATTATTCTTACTTTTCGTTGTATTTATTAAGTTTTGTTTCAAGCTTAATTCAGTTTCGTTTTGTTTTAATTTTAATTCTTTTTTATTGTGTTTAAACTTAATTCAGTTTTGTTTTGTTTAAACTTAATTCCGTTTCAAGTCTTTCCTTTTTGTTTAAAATTTTGCCAAACTTTAAGATGTTTATTTAGTTTTTGTATAACTATTAAGAATACTTTCAGTTTTAGTTCTTAAATGTTCACATTTTAGCTTTTTAAATTTTACATTTTTGGGCTAAGATTGTTTAAAGCCTTTTTAGCAAAAAAAAACAAGTTTGGATTTTGTCTTCTTTGCATGTATTTTGTTGAACACATCAAATTAATAAATGTAATTCCTTTCACTTATGGAATTTATCGCCAAAAAAATGCCGGGTGTTTTACTTCGCTGGGAGCTGGGAGCCACGCATCCAATCTTCTTCGCTGATGAGATAAAAAGGAAAAAATTTCCTTACAATTTCTGCCAGGAAATTCTGGCTGCCATTTTCCTCGTTTAATTTGTCCATTTTCTTTTTAAATTATTCCCCCTTATTGACATTTAAGTCATTGGAATAAACAGCTGTTCCCTAATAATGGTTGACAACATTCTTCTTCTTCTTCTGGCTATCAATTATTTTCATGGTTACCCCTTTTTAAGGCGCACACCACAAAGCCAACTATCCTGCTGATATCCTTATCGAAGGATAGGGGGAAAAAAGTGCGACATTCGATATAAAAATAAAAAAAAATCATCGTGTATGATACGGCAATTGAAAAAAAAAATCGATGTTTGGCATCCCTAACAATCGTGGTTTGGCATCCCTAACACTCATTTTCTGATTTTCCAAAATAAAATTTAATTCCGAACTGATTTATTTATTACAGTGTAAACGCTCCATTTTCGTCTATACGAACCTGGTATAAAGTTTACGTCATACGCTACGCGTTATCGTTTAGTCTGACGTAACGTAACTATCGATAGTAGTGATGTTTATGAATGAAAACAATCGGAGTACGATTGTATTGTAAATTTTTGGCGGATTAGCACGCGGACGGACGGACAATTTTGGAGCTGCAGAAATTATTAAATTTTGGGTAAGTAAAGTGAAAAAAATTATAGTGAAATATTTAATAATTTAATAAAACAAGTGCCAGTGCCGGGTAAGTTATAATAATGTATGTAATTAAAGTGATTTAAGTGCAAAAGAAATGAATGAAAATTATCAGTGACATACAGTGCGGGTGTATGTGATAATAGTAAATGGCAAATAGTTGCATGAAAAATTAATCCGTATAAATCTTAGAAAATAATAAAGAAAATTAAAAGAATACAAGGAAATATAATAACAAAGTGGTTTAAATGAAACAATTAAAATTAATTTCCTGAAATTAATTTAATTTCCTAGCCCAAAAAAAAAATTAATGATTTCCCTTCAATGTGTGTGTGTGTGTGAGTGTAAGTAAAAGTTGCATTTACAATGAAAAATTGCACTCATTAAGAAAAAATGTGACTTTGGCGGAAACAATAAGTTCGAAATAAATTCGAAGTGAGTGAATAGTGAATAAAAATGGAACAGATAAAGAAAATATAGAATTAAGGAATGAGTGATAAGTGCGAATGAAATTAAAATGATAATGTTGCCAAAAGAAAAGAAAATTGAAATAGTGAAAACAAAACAAAATGCAAAAACGAATAAAGTGAAAAGTGAGGTGCAAAAGGAATAATTAATGATCATTGTCGGAAATTAATAATTACTAGTGAAAAATTAAGACAGACCTAAATTATGTGTGCAAATATTGTGTTTATTTTTTTTTCTTTAAAGACAAAAAGTGCGAAAAATTGAATTGAAATGAACAAAAAAAAATTAAAAAGTATTTTTTACTAGTTAAGAATTGTGCGAATCAATGTCTAAACAATGAATGAAAAAGAAAAGTGAATGAAAATGAAATTGAAAATAGTGTGAATTTAATGAAAATAAATTTTCTTTTAAGAATTTGGCTTAGGTAAAACTGAAGTGAAAAATTATGTGAAATATCCTGAATTTTGATATAAAAAATTAAATTTTAATAAAAAAAGAAAATTTTTACAGGAAAAAAAATAGAAAAAACTTATATAAATCGGACGGACGTAAAAAAAAAGCAACTATTGTGTCTATTTTTAATAACAAAATGTGAAAAAAAAAATTCAGTGCAATAAAAATTTTTGCAAGATTTTAAAGAAGAGAAAAAAAATTGAAGTGTCGTAAAAATGAAATAAAATAATAAGCAATGATATTAAAAAAATTATTGTGAATTAACGAATAAGTTACCGAAAATATTATATAAAATTGGGCTTCGGTGAATTTGATGTGACGAATAAAGTGAAATATTCTAAAATTTTAACGGAATTAAATTGAAAGAAATAAAAAAAATTACAAAAATAAATAAATTCTCTCTTCGTTTTAATTTAAATCATAGTCCACCGTTAGGACACAGAACTAATACTTATTTTCTTTTTCTTCTCTTTACAGATTTTTTTTTTGCACGAGTTTAGCCTGAAAGAAAGGTGAGTTGAGCATGGTGTCTACTTTTTCCGTAGGGGTACCATCAACTAGGACCCCCAGCTTTGGTCAGAAAGTTGGATACGACATTACTCCAAATATACCTAGGTGTGTTTGGTTTTGTCTTCCCGATTTCAGACTCTATCTTCATAATTCGATGACTGACAGCTCTGCGACCTTGTGTACAACACTCTTCTGCCTTGTGCCATGGATGCGTATGGGTATACAAAGGAAGAGTGCACAAATGGTCAAAGACAGTCATAAATTGACTGCTCAGGAATCGTTAACATATTGTTAGAGTCCGTAAATTTGGGATGCTTCTATCGTAATCCAGCGTATTCTTTCTGACCTCTGCTGTTGGTGTCTAGGAGAGTGGCCTCCTATGGAAACCAAGAAAAGTTTTCCATAATCTCACAAGACAACCCAAAAAGTTGCCCGAATTGGATATCTAATTCACAAAAGGTAAGTAGATATGGAAATGCTGAAAATTGTATAAACAAAAGATATTAATAAGTTATTTTTTATCTTTCCAGGCATTCATTACCTTTAGGCGGTGGAATTGGTCTGACCTGCAAAAACAGGAAATACAATGGATGGTAAGTCCGAGCAATCCTGTTCTACTTTTCTTCCAGCAGGTGTACCATCGCCTGGACCTTCAGCTTTAGCCAGAATGTCGGATACGATGGCTTACGAATGCACTGAGGTGTATTTGTTTCTTTTTGTCTACCGGCTTCCAGACTCTAGCGTCGTAAGGCGAGTGACGGACTGATCTGCGACCTCGTGTACAACAGTTCCCTGGCCCGTGCCATAGAGCAAACGGCTACTGCGGTACCTATCGCGAAAGGGGAATTGCACTAATGGTCAAGGACAGTCACTACGTGACTGCTCCGAAAGCGCAGACATCAGCTAGAGTCGGCAAACCCGGAGTGCTTTGATTCGTACTCTGACTTCGAAATTCTGACTTCTGCTGTTAGAGTCTAGGAGATTGGACGCCTGTTCGAATAAAAAAACAGGGTTCCGAACTACACCATCATCCAAAATTCTAAGCGAGACCTAAGTGGGACTACGGTCGGCGCTAAGATAAACGTAAGATGTAGTTTTAATTCTCTTTCGTAGTTTTTGTAATTTTGCTCTGGAAAATGAGAAAAATTATGAGAACTCTATTTCTTATAAACATAAAATTTTTAAAAAATTTCAGCCAAACCCCTTTGTAAGTATGGCATTTCATTTCTAATTTCTTTTCTTTCTTTTGAGATGTTCATTTCATTACATTTATTTTTCCAACCATATTACCTCATGACATTTCACTAATTCCTTCTTTTTCCTTTACTTTTATGGCTAAAAATTGGAGAATTGGGTTCAACCCTTACCCATACACTCAACTACACATCACTTATGAAGAGAAAGCTGCCCTACAGCTTGTATCAACTTAGGAATAATAAAGGACATTTCGTAAGTCGTAATTCAGGTTAGTCCTTTTAATATTATATCTTAAATAATACTAATGAAATTTGTTTTTTTTTTCCAATGCAGGTAGTACTTCAACTAAATTCGAACGGATTTCCCGGAACTCTTGGAAAATTCAGGTGAGTATTGGAGAAAAATGATGCAATTTTAGTTAAGCTAGATTTAGAATTCAATTTTACATACTTTTCGTGTAGACTTTGCGGATTAGTATTTCATCCTGAGATCTCCGCTTTAATTTAAAAAACTACACTTCAATTAATTAAAAAAAACACATGCTATCCTCATATATATATGCTTTAGACTTCGGTCGCTATATATATGCAAAAAAAAAAAAATAACCAAAAGAAAAATTAGATTAATCAATTATTAAGCATTTATTGCTTCAAATCCTTAGCGTGAAAAACGCCGAGGGGATGCCCTTTAAGATCTTCGACTTCATAAAGGCATTTCCCAACTGGCTTAACAATGCGACACTTGAAAAATTTCTTGTCAAGTTTAGCATTATAATTATTTTTAAAAACACTTTGCCTAAAACTTCTTCGGAAAACTTCTTGCCCTGGGATGAACTTGACCTGACGACTTCTAAGATTATACGACTTCTCATGTCTCAAGTATGCCTGGTGCAGACTATTTCTTATCTTTTCTCTGATAAGATCCTGTTTTACCGAGTTTGGAATGAGTGTTGTCTCGGGGTCATTAAGAAGTTTAAGCTTCCGGGCTAGTTTGTAAAGGCTGGCATGGTTAATCATGTTAACTCCAAAGAGCGCAAAATACGGGGTAGTTCCGATGGAACTATGTACAGAAGATCGCAGAGAACATTCTATCTCTGACAAATTTCGATCCCATTCTCGGTGATCTTCTCCCAAATACGCTCGAATTGCTGATAAAATTGATTGATTTACTCTCTCCGAGGCATTCGCTTGAGGAGAGTGAAAAGCGGTCTTTGTATGATTTATTCCAAAAAGCTTAACCATGTCTACAAATTCTTTGCTGATAAATTGTTTCCCGTTATCGGAGACAATTACTTCAGGGGTTCCAAATTTATGAAATACCTCACTGATTAAAAATTTCACTACGTTTTTGGAATTTGCTTTGGCCATGGCCTTTAATAGGACGAATTTTGAAAGGTGATCTACCACAATAAAAATAAAACTATTTCCTGTTTTGGTTCTAGGATAAGGACCTAAGAAGTCTATAAAAATTCGTTGGAAAGGTCTTTCGGTAATTGTTTCTGCTCCCATAGGTGGCCGAAGAGTAACATTAGCTGGCTTTGTTTCTTTGCAAACTACACAATCCTGAACAAAATTCCTAACTTGCGTATTCAAGTTTGGCCAAAAAAAATACTCTTTAATCCTACGAAGTGTTTTGTGGAAACCTCCATGAGATGTTTGGGGTGGGCAGTGTGCGTTTTCTATAATTTGCTGGGTCATTTCACTGGGTACCCATAACTTCCAAGCGAAATCTTCGTTGAGGGGAATACCATCATAGAACTGAGTTCGCTTATATACAAAACCCTCAACCACTTTTAAATGAGGAAGTTGTGAAGAATTGCTTTCAATCGTATCTATCAAGGTTAAGTATTCATCTGATTTAAAAGCTGGTGAATCAAGGTCGATTAACGACTTAACGTCCAGAGAAATCTCCTCCATATCATATCTAGATAGCGTATCGGGTACTACATTTTGTGTGCCTTTACGGTGTTCTATCTCAAAAGAATATCCCTGCAAGTGCAAACTCCATCTGGCTAACCTTCCGCAAAGATCCCTATGTGACATGAGCCATTTTAGACTACTGTGGTCAGTTATTACTGTAAAGGGCATTAACTCTATATATGGCCTAAACTTTTTAATGGCCATCACCACTGCCAAACATTCCCTCTCAGTAACAGAATAATTCCTCTGAGCAGAAGTTAACTTTTGCGAGAAATACGCTATCGGATGTTCACCCTCGTCATCTCTTTGAAACAATACAGCTCCTATTCCTAAGTCTGAAGCATCGCACTGCACGTAGAATCTTTTGGTAAAGTCCGGGTGTGTAAGCACGGGACTGCTTATAAGAGCCTGCTTCAACTTATCAAATGCTACCCTGGCCTCTTCTGTGAAACTGAATCTTTTTCCTTTTTTGAGGGTCTCGAAGATGGGAGCCGCAATGGTGGCAAAGTCGGCTATAAACCTCCTATACCACCCTGCGGTACCCATAAAACTTCTCACCTGTTTTATGGTTTTCGGATATGCAAATTTTACTATAGTTTCCACCTTCGCCGGATCAGTTTTCAGTTTGCCACCGCCAACAATGTATCCCAAATATTTAAGCTCTTTGAAACAGAACTTCGACTTGGATACATTGATGGTGAGCCCTGCTTTCGCCAAACAATCGGCTACTTGCTCTAACAACCGTAGGTGGGTATCAAAGTCGGGCGAAACTACCAACAGATCATCCAGGTAGACAAAAACTCTATCACGGATTGCGCTGGGGATCACTTTGTCCATTAAACGGCATAACCTTTGGGCCGCATTACACAGACCAAAAGGCATGACCGTAAAATGATAAAGTGGTCTTCCGGGCACTGTGAATGCAGTTTTCTCTCTACTAGACGGGTCCAGGGGTATTTGCCAAAACGCATCCTTGAGGTCGACACTGGAGATAAAATATGTGTCTCCCAACCGACTGAGCAAACCCTCTATATGCGGCAATGGATAGGCATCCTTGACCGTAAGCGCATTAAGTTTACGAGCATCCAAACATAACCGATTTTTCTCACCCCTTCGGACTAACGTAACGGGGTGACTCCATGGACTTTCGCTCTCCTCAATTACCCCCAGGCCAAGCATCCTATCCAATTCCGCGTACATGAGCTTTTGCACAGCCGGGGACACCGGATAATGTCGATCCTTCACCGGAGTTGCATCGCCAGTATCGATTGAGTGGACCTCAGCATTCGTTTTTCCCAAACCATACTTGGCAAAGCATGGAAATTTATCCTTCACAATTTGCAAACGCGAACGTTGCTCATCGGACAATATATGGGTTTTCACATCACTGATCTCATCGGCTTCGTCACAGAGGCTCACCTGATGGAGGGACAACCCGTCAATCTGAGCAAAGAGGTGAAAACTACGCATAAAATCCACTCCTAGAAAAAGTTCACGACTCAGAGAAGGCACTAGATAGAAAATGATAGGTTTCTGCTGCTTATTGAAATCGACCATTGTAGCCACTTTTCCAACGATTCGATGTGGACTACCATCAGCTGTCTTTATAAAAGAATGAAAATGGATTACATCCAATCCTGCTTTTCCTACAAAACTAAGGCAGTTCTTCCCCAAACAAGACACCGTAGCACCACTATCCAACAAACCTTCCAACTCCTGTCCGTTGATCGTAAGCTTTGTATATAGGCGAGTATCATCTCCCTCATACAATGTAGCCGATGCAATTTCTTTCCTAACTCTTTTTCTTCTCTTAAAGCGTTCTCTAGCTTTCCTCACTTTATTAGAAACCTCTCCAAAAATTCGTTCTTTAGCCTCATTATATTCCTTAATTCTAACATGGAGTGGTTTAATCTCCCTCAAATTCTTTACTGCTTCTGATTTCAATTTCTCTAAATTCGTGTTCTTCAATACCACTATCTTATCACTAAGGCTATAACTATTTGATTTCTCTGGGGCTATACCGGGGTTGACCTCACCTGCCCCGTTGGAGGTGGGCCCCGATACTTGTTTCCCTGACATTTAGGACAATCTAAAACTGTTACATTCTCCTGTCCACATTTGTAGCAAAACAACTTGCGCTTCTCCCTACAATCTATCCAGCTGTGTCCCCACACTCCGCAATTCCAACACTTATATTTCGCCGGTGTACTAATCGCATCTACTTCCATCTCTTCTGGTATGACTTCTTCTTGCTGCCAATCAAGCTCATGTAGCCTCTGAGGAACGTTATATCGCTGCTGATGTTGCCTCTGGCTCCATATCAAGTTTTCTGCCCTCTTAACTTGGCGATAAAACTCTCCTAGACTTCTTATCTGGGCTGAGAAAATCATTTGGGCTAAAGATGGCTTCAAGTTACCCCGCATTATCTCTACCATGTCGTGCTCTTGATAAGGCGTTTTCTGCTGGGTCCGAAGCTTCAGCACGGAATTATAAAAATCGTCGAACGTCTCATGAGGTAGTTGCCGTCTGTTCAGAATTTTCATTTGTATTTGGAACTCATTCTCATACTGCTGGTACTGGTTCAAAAGCGCAGTCTCAAGCTCGCTCCACGAACGAAAATTGACAAATTTCCTTTGGTTCCAATACCAATCCAAGGCTGGCTTGTCTAGAAGCTGGTGGAACTTCGTCAAGAATTCGTCTTCCGGGCAATTGAAATCCCTCTTCAACTGTCCAACACGAAATATAAATTCTTGGACATTCACTGTCTTCTCGGTGCCATCGAAACGGATACCCCACTTGTCCAAATTTAACCGTCCGCTGGACTCAGAGTAAAAACTGGCTGGAGGACGAAAACCATATGGATTGCCTCCTTCGGGCGGAAACTCCATGTTGCTAAAAAGTGGTGGTCTATATGCGGCAAATGCATGGGGTCCACACTGTGGTCCTTGTACTGGTGGTGGTACCGACAAATTAGGTTGTGGTGGTGGTTGTGTTACTTGACCAGCTGCTAAGGCACTGGGAATGGATGCTTGGCTGGGTATCTGCCCTTGGGCATAATTTGGTGCTGTATAACCTGCTGGAGGTGGCCGATATGACGGTATGGCATTAGGAACTCCCAGTAGACTCCGTACTTCCTCGCGCATTTCGCGCCGCGCTAATCCGACTGCAGTGTTAATAATTTCTAGCACTCCGGTACTGACTGCTGGCTGACCCGTAGGCACACCGGGTGCCAAAGATGGCTGTTGCAATCCAGTCAACACGCTGTAATTCGGGGAATGGACACTTCCATGTGACCAGAACGACGTGTTGAAAGAATTTGCGGCGTCTTGCAAAACCGACGGTATTGGAGGTGCTGTGGAAGAACTGGTAGGCATCGGTCCAGGCGTTGTAGTCGACACCGTATGCGTCGTTATGGGAACACTTCGAGTATAAGTGGTAACAGAAACAGTAGGAGCGGTCGTGACCACCGCACTGGCGACTACACTATTCTGACCTAAAATTGGCCTGCCAGTTGAGTCCCTATTTGTAGACCTAGTGCTGGGCATATTCCACTCTGTTGTTTCCTAACCTCTTATAAAACAAAATTCTTCCAAACTAAAAGAAAAATTAAGCTTTTGCCAAAAACTTCACTCAAATGAAAAAGAAAAATTCAAGGTATTTCTATGGAATTCAGGCAATACTTTGAGGTTGAAAAAAATATATTTATAGAACTTTAAGTACCAGTTTCAAATTTAATAAACTTAATTTCCTATTCCATAAAATTTAATTCGATTTAATTTTTAACACACTTTTTTACATTCACAGGCCCTTTGAAAATTGACACGGCGTATCAACCCTTCAAGCCGAAATTGACTGAAAAAAATAAATAAATGCTAAAGATAGGTGGTGGGATAAAAGGTAAACTTAAAGGTAAGTGAAGGTCAAATATACTGTTTCTAAAGGAATACCAATTTTAAACTGTTTTAAAATATTTTCTACAGGGTTTCGGTGAGTTCTACTGGAAAAAACTGAGGAATTTAACTGGAATATGGAATAGGCGGCTTTCCCCAGACCTTCCTAAGAAATTCCATGACAATACGGCCCCTGGTCAAAAACCAAGATTGTCGCAGGACCAAAGGAAAACTCCGGTATGTCTGCGGTCCGCTACCTAATTCCGGGTACTGGAATTGTATAAAAAAGGAAATACTACTAACCTAAACCTACAAATTCGATTGAGACTAACAATTCACATTCGTGTAGCAGCGCGTCACCTGCCATTTTATAGGCTGCTTGAACGGGTCTCCACAAATGAGAACTGTTCGTCCAGACGAATTTGTTATTTGAAATTTTAACTGTAGATAAATATGAAACAAAATTAGTAATACTAGTGCGATTAGACGTAAATGCAAATTAGCACGACTAAGCCACTAGAAAGGAACAAGTTTCATATTTGTTTTTGAAAAATAAATGATGTCTTCTCGCGTCTTCGATGAAGCATCGCGCCAGGGACTCTTAATGTAACCTAAACGGGTCTCATCGAAGATATACGGAAAACACATTTATACACTATCACTAACAACTATTACAAACTAACGACATGTTTCAGGCCCCACGTTCTGGGCGCCATTTTGTAACAACCGTTTTCCGAGGATGACGAAAAATCGCAATATTTGGCTTTAAGTGGCGTTGCCGGTATGCTGGCGTTTAGCGCGGCTATGGCTCGTCGGGTGAGGGGTGGTTCTTGCCACTTGAAGACCTTTTCGGTTGAACACAAAAAAAATATCATACCGGGCTTGCACGAATATCTAAAAGGGGAATATTATTAGAAGCCTGAAACATGCCTAAAAATACAAAAAAACTACACTTGTCTACCAAAAACTCAATCTAAAACTCACTTTAACCCAATTCTTTCCTCCGGAAACAGCTCTCTTGGCGGCTGTCCGACCAAGAGATAGCCCTCCCACCGAGAACACCTCTCGCCATGACGTCACCACTCCCTGACGTCCCAAATTTGACCCTTCACTTACCTCCGTTTAAACCATCCCTACCACCTTCTTAATGGCCTTAAGCCAACGACATCATCTTCATTTGGAAGTATACAATTTTATTACACCTATTGTACATTACATATTGATTTATACTATCAATCAATAAAAAAAGCAGGAAACGTAATTATTAATTCCATAAAGAAAATTAATTCCAACTCTAAGCTCCTTCTCTTTCTTTTTCCTTTTCAGGGTTCGATGGCGGGTATCAAGAGTTAGGACCACTGATGGCCGCCAATGGACAAGGTTCTTCCCAAAGAGTAAGTACGTAATAGTATGAAGTTTAGCTTTATAACTACATTCCCGGTTCAAGATTAAAAAAAATGATAATTTATTTTCCAATTCCAGGCCAGGACAAACAAAAGGCAGTATGTCGACACCACAAAAACAATCGACGAAAAAAAGGTGGATACCTAACCTCGAAATGAGCTCAATTCAACGAGGGATCCTGCACTGCAACACTAGGCGAGTAAATCTTAAATTAAACTTCTTTTGTTTACCCCTTTTTATTTAAAAATTGTACTTTTCTTTTCAGGAAAACCGCGGAATCTAATTATGTCGCCTCGTCGTCCGTCTGTCTGTCCGGAGTTTATAGTGACGTCTATAGGGAAGATACCAAGTCACGCTGGTATAGCAGTGACGGAAAATCTGCGCCTCCCTCGATGGATTGGATGTGCGATGGTGTGGCTCTTTACTCCAAAAATTCTGCCAGGACTTAATTTTTAAGATTATTCTTACTTTTCGTTGTATTTATTAAGTTTTGTTTCAAGCTTAATTCAGTTTCGTTTTGTTTTAATTTTAATTCTTTTTTATTGTGTTTAAACTTAATTCAGTTTTGTTTTGTTTAAACTTAATTCCGTTTCAAGTCTTTCCTTTTTGTTTAAAATTTTGCCAAACTTTAAGATGTTTATTTAGTTTTTGTATAACTATTAAGAATACTTTCAGTTTTAGTTCTTAAATGTTCACATTTTAGCTTTTTAAATTTTACATTTTTGGGCTAAGATTGTTTAAAGCCTTTTTAGCAAAAAAAAACAAGTTTGGATTTTGTCTTCTTTGCATGTATTTTGTTGAACACATCAAATTAATAAATGTAATTCCTTTCACTTATGGAATTTATCGCCAAAAAAATGCCGGGTGTTTTACTTCGCTGGGAGCTGGGAGCCACGCATCCAATCTTCTTCGCTGATGAGATAAAAAGGAAAAAATTTCCTTACAATTTCTGCCAGGAAATTCTGGCTGCCATTTTCCTCGTTTAATTTGTCCATTTTCTTTTTAAATTATTCCCCCTTATTGACATTTAAGTCATTGGAATAAACAGCTGTTCCCTAATAATGGTTGACAACATTCTTCTTCTTCTTCTGGCTATCAATTATTTTCATGGTTACCCCTTTTTAAGGCGCACACCACATGTTTTTCAATTGAAAAAAAAAATTATGTATCTGTACCTTAAGTAATGCGACAGTGTTGTCCGAGGCTCCCAAGGATCATCAGGTGAGTTTTATTGTTCGGTGTTATAATCAAGTCCGACATACCACGATGAGTGACGGCTTATATGCATAAACAGACTTTTCCAACTACACCGCAAAAAGTATTTGTACAACTATTACAATTGTTACTGAAAATAATTTGTAATGTAATTGTGATTGCCTTTTAATATTATTGTTGCTATTATTAATATCATTATTATTATTTTGAAATTTTTTGGATTCTGAACTCTGTTTTTTTTCTATTCTTTAATTTTACAATTGCTCCAGATGTCAATATTATTCATTTAATATATCTCTCAATATTGAATCCATTTAATATATCTCATTATTGACAATTGCTTCAAATTATTTTATTTTCCAAATTATATGTCCACTTCCCTTACTTGGATAATTACTTAATATTGTTTCATCTTGAACTCTGTTTTGTCCAGTCTTCTATTTTCAATTTTATGATTGTTCCAGCTGTCAATATTATCAGCTCCATATTAAATTCATTTAATATAGCTCATTATTTATTTAAATTAATTTTTTATTTTATATGTCAAATACCTTTATTTGATTAATAACTTATTATTGCAAGTCTCGCGGCGTTAATTATACCAAGCGTTCAATCTACCAGCACTGTAAATATCTGCTGCTGAACTAACATTCTGCATTATTTTACTATTTATAAATTGAAAACAAATGAACTCGTCTGTGGATTATCAGTGCGGGGTTTATTATAATGATGCGTATGTAATTGACCTACTAAAGCAGTCTGTATAGTAATGCGCACAGTGGTTTTCAAGTTGGAAAAGAATTTCTACAGGTCTACAGAACATAGAAGACCTTTTTGATGTCATTTTTTAAAATACCATCTGTGGTAATAAGTCTTTATGTTGTCAATTTAATTCTCTGTCCGGCTCGAAGTATCAAATGTAAAAATGGCTAAGGAATCCAAACTCGCTCTTTGGTTGTCAATTCAATTCTCTGTTTGGCTCGAAGGACCAAATGTAAAATGAGAATAGACACACTACCACTTCGTTCGGGTGTAGAATCAATTCTTTATCCGGCTCGAAGAATCAAATATCGGTTGTCAATTCTATTCTAGCTTTTATTTAAAAATATGTTTCTTAAGTACTTCTAAAACTTATCTAACTTAACCTAATCGTAGCCACACAAATATTCTTATCTATTCTAATATTGTACTAATCATACTGAAATTGGTGCCTTGTTTTTCATTCTAATTTTTTTTTTAATTCAAATATGTGAGTATTTTTGAATGTTAAGGTGAGAATACATAAAACGCTTTCTTGACTAAAAGAGCCTCGGGAAATATCATTAAACATAATCGAGGAAACACCGTTCGAGATATAGTTTTTATGGGAGAATTCAATCATACACGCTATGATTATAATTATAATTTAAAATTCAAAGGACTAAATATGTCGAAGCATTTGTATCTTTTAAATTCGGAATTGTTTTGCCCATTTGGTGCACAATTAATTTGAAATCGGATAAAGATATATATGGGAGCTATATCCAAATCGGAACCGATCTCGATAAAATTTGGCAAAGATATTTCTGAGCTGTGTTTGATATATATCCCTGAATATCGTTGTTACGGAGTGCTTATTACAGCTGTGGGTAACAAATAAAACAAATCGGATGAATAATATATATGGAAGCTATAGCTATATCTGAACCGATCTTCACCAAATTTGACATACTAGCTTCTAGACTAAATTCGATCCTAAGTGCCGAATTCCATCCTATTTGGACAAATATTAGACGTTTGGTGCACAATAAAAGGTAAATCGGACGAAGTTATATATGGGACCTATATCCAAATCTGAACCGATCTCGATAAAATTTAGCATAGGTATTTCTGAGCTGCATTTGATATATTTCCCCAAATATTGTTGTTACAGAGTGCACATTACGGCTACGGGGGACAAAAATAACAAATCGGATGAACAATATATAAGGGAGCTATTGCTATATCTAAACCGATTTCTATTAAATTTGGCATACTTATTTTCAGGTCTAATTTGGTTGTATGTGCAAAATTCCATACTATTCGGACTGATATTACACGTTTGGTGCACAATAAAAGGTAAATCGGACGAAGTTATATATGGGAGCTATAACCAAATCTGAACCGATCTCGATAAAATTTAGCATAGGTATTTCTGAGCTGCATTTGATATATTTCCCCAAATATTGTTGTTACAGAGTGCACATTACGGCTGCGGGGGACAAAAATAACAAATCGGATGAACAATATATAAGGGAGCTATTGCTATATCTAAACCGATTTCTATCAAATTTGGCATACTTATTTTCAGGCCTAATTTGGTTGTATGTGCAAAATTCCATACTATTCGGACTGATATTACACGTTTGGTGCACAATCCAAGGCAAATCGGACGAAGATATATATGGGAGCTATATCCAAATTTTTACCGATTTTCTCCAATTTCAATAGGGTTCGTCCTTGGGTCAAACAAAAGATCTTTGCAAAATTTCATCTGGATCGGGCAATAAATGCGACCTGTACTTTGTTTACAAAAATACATGGACAGACAGACGGACGGACGGACGGACATGCATAAATCGACTCAGAATGTGATTCTATGCAGATCGTCAAAAGGAACTATGGGTCTATCTCGTTTCCTTCTGCCTGTTACAAACAAATGCACAAAGACATAATACCCTGACCACCTTGTGGTGTAGGGTATAAAAACCACAAGGCTTTGTGTAGGTGTTATCAATTCAATTCTCTATCGGGCTCGAAGTATCAAATTCAAAAATGGGTAAGGAATCCAATCTCGCTCTTTGGTTGTCAATTCAATTCTCTGTCTGGCTCGAAGGACCAAATGTAAAATGAGAATAGACACACTACCACTTCGCTCGGGAGTAGAATCAATTATTGAAGAATCAAATATAAAGTGAGAAGAGAATCTAACCTCACTCTTCGGTTGTGAATTTTAGTCTAGTACTTCTAGACTAGAGTACTTCTAAAACTACACTAACTTAACCCAATCGTAGCCACACAATTATTTTGTATATTCTTATATTGAATGGAGAACATTGTATTGCCTTTTTATACCCTCCACCATAATATGTAGGGTATATAAAGTTTGTCATTCCGTTTGTAACACCTCGAAATATACATTTTAAACCCCACAAAGTATATTTTTCTTGATCAGCATAAAATTTTATGTCGATTTAGCAATGTCCGTCCATCTGTCCGCTTGTGGAAATCGCTCTAGCTTCCGAACGAAATGAAGTAAATTGATAAAAATTTACTAAATGTGTATTATGCCTGCAGGACTTTTGGTATTGAAAATGGGCCATGCAGGCCCACGGCTTCGTATAGCTTCCATATAATGGTACCCCCGATATTCGGTATTTTGATTATTTTACCAACATTATTTACCGGAACTATTTCAAATTTAGTATTTGAAGTTCGTAATGAATACTACAGCCCATGACAGAAAATGGTCTGTGCAGGTCCACGTCTTCGTATAGCCCCAATATATCGATACCCCCTGATATTCCATGTTTTGACGATTTTAGCGACATTATTTACCGGAATTATTTCAAATTTTGTATTTCAAGTTCGTAATGGATACTACAGCCTATGCCAGAAAATTGTCTGTGCAGGTCCACGTCGTCGTATAGACCCTAATATATGGCTACATTCGGTAATTTTAAGATTTTAACAGAATTTTTAATGGATTTTAATTTTTTGAAAATTTCCAAATTTGTACCAAATAGAGGGTATTCAAAGTTCGTCCCGGCCGAACTAGCAGCTTTTTTACTTGTTCTAGTAACAAATAGTAACCAAATTTCTTAAAACTTTTTGATTTTTTTTTTTAATTTTTTGTACAAAATAGTACTAGTCATACTGAAATTATTGCCTTGTTTTTAAATCCATAATTTTTAAAAAAACTTGTGATTATGTTTGAATGTTAAGGTGAGAATATATAAAATGGTTTTTTGGCTGGCTTAAGTCATCGGCTGGCTTCTTCGTAGAGGAACAAAAGTTTTAGGTTGACTTAGTTCGATTTTGGCCCTATGTACCTTTGTTATTTTCTGAACACTTAAGCCATTCAAAAAGCGTTTTATGTATTCTCACCATTAGCTGCCGAAAAATTCAAATTGGAAAAGACATGGACAGATTTTGACTGATCATGATATCCAAGGCCTACAGTACAAAGTTTTGTCAGAAAATCAGCAATAATGTTTCAAATAGAGTCTGGACTTCCAAAATTAGTCAACGCACTAGGAGAGCCTTGGCAAGTATCATTAAATATAATCGAGATATATAGATATAGCTTTAAAGTGGTCGGAAACAATTGGAAAACTCGTGAAACGAGAGTGGTTACAAATATTATAAGGTAAGTGTAAGATTATCCCGGTATTTCGAAGTCAACTTGATAATTTACAGATTTGTTTAGGCGGAGGAAAGGCCAGTTTCTTACCGCGCTTCCATTTCCAAAAAAAAGACATATATGATTCACTAAAGAAAGACGATCTTGAGTATAACGACAATGGGATTATCTTTTGCGTCGAATCAAAGTTCGAACTTGCAGTTAAGTTTTCAGCTAGTGCTATGGTGTGGGAATGCATGTCCTAAAAAAATAAGTCGATCACCTATATTTCATAGATGGAATCGAAAATGTCGAAAAAATGTATGAACATCTCAAAGAAGCGTAGGGTGAACGAGTATAAATTATGGACCAATATTGAACTAAGTTAACCTAAACCTCCTTCGTTATGTTTTTCGAAGAAGCCAGTCCATGACTTAAGCCAGCAAAAAAAGCACTTCATGTAGCATCTTAAGATTAACTCGGTATTTCGAAATCGAATTGATAATTTGCAAATTTGTTTAGGCGAAGTCATTGCTTTCCGCTCTTGAAATGAAAAAGTGCATATTATGGACTAAAGAGAGATGGTCCTGGCTACAACAGTAATTAGACAGTACTATCTTTAGCGAAATTTGGGATTCCATAATCACAGAAGACTGCCGAAAGTTAGGTATTCAAATCATATCAAGGTCCTAGATTGGCCATTTAATTGTAATCAAAGTCCCAGATTTCAGTCCAGACTTTAATCCAATAGAACATTTTGTGGGCCGTTATTAAAAGAAAACTTCGAAATAAACCACCACGGATAGTTGACGAAATGAAGGCCAAAATTCAGGATATTTGGGACTCGATAACCCCAGAAGGCTACTAAAATTAATAAATATCAAAAAAAGCGGGTCGAGGTCATCTACAAAAACAAAGGTGGGGTAACGTATATTTCGGGGTTTTTAGCTATAATTTGTGATCAGTTTTTTAAAGAGGAAAAATGGCATACTTTAAAATGGCCATAACTCCGTAAATATTAGCATATAAACTATTTTTTTTATTAATAAGCTCAATTCCAACTACTATTATCGAAAGAATTGACGAGTTTCTAACTTTTTTATTTCAATCCACATCTAGTTTCCTAAAAGAGCCACCCAATCCGAACATATCATCAAAATCAATTGGATTTCCTGGACGTAGAGCTTCAATGGTTCCATAGTTGACATTGTTTTGAAAATATGTGCGATATTCATCCCATTTTTTATTAAATTCCGAGGATATTTTATCCAGCTGACCATTTAGCCCACCATATTCTTGGGGAAAATATTTTTGCGGCATGGTGGCATAGAGACTTTGAAAATCTTTGCCACAAATGAAGACCTGAAAAAATTATTATTTTTTAATTATAGAAATAATTTTTTTATTATTTCTAAAGAGTTGCAACCACTTACCCTCCTCCTCAGCTTCTCGCTCATAAAGGATAAAATCAATTTCAGCAGCTGTTCGGTTAATTTTGTGATATTTAGACAATAAATAGCCTTGACACGCAGTGGCAAAGTGTTCTCGTAATAGGTGACAATTTTCTTTATAAATGGGGGTGTTAATTGCAGCAAATGTCCCGCCGTAACTTGGGACATATCCACAAGATATATTGTACCACAAATACAGGCATGGGGATCGTCCATCATTAGCACTTGGGGTATGGCATTAATGGAACGGAAAACGGTTTCGATGTTCACTGTTTTGGGGGAATAATTGAATCGAAACAGCATTATGCGTGGACCGGAGTCATTGAGAGGTAACGGCAGGGGTAAGAGGGATCTTAGGAGAAGAATAATATATTGTGTCACTTTTACAAAAATAATTGTATGGCGGATTCCCCCTCCTCAACTTACCCCACATTGTGATGCTTGCGAAAAATGGCCTCATCCACATCTGTTACAGAAAATATTTCAGGATATTTTGTCATGAGACTATAGTAACGATCCAGCTTCTCTTTTGCCCTTTCCTGGCTGTATTTACAACCCCGTAGAAATTGTATGAGAAATTGATCATCCTGACAGGTCCTCAGATGGGGTTGTTGTCCAATCCACTGCTTAAAGTTTTCCAAGTCTGTTGGTATTCGATCGGGAATTTCTCCCAATTCGAGTTGAGCGATTTTTTGTAAAGGCTTACTCAAAGGTTTGATGTTCAGCATTTTGGGTAGTGTTGTTGTTGTCGTCGTCAATTGCAAGTATTTACTGAACTGAACTTTATTATTATTTGGTATTGGAACTAGTTTTAATATTTGCAATTATGTTTTTATTTAAAACTTTAAAATATGAATACCCTACATGACGGATGGGTGGTATACTCGGTTTTTCGTAACGTTCATTAATTTAAGACGCTAAAATTCTTGATCCGCTTAAAATTCTGGACTCTTTTGAGTACGTTAACTCTGAATGATGCCCGATTTCAGTTATATAAAGCTATAATTTGGTATTTGGGGTTCTCATTAAATTCTTCAACCCAGACCTATAAAATATTTCGAAATTGACCGCTGTTTCGGAAATGCTGCATTCAGACATAGTTTCTTATTCCTCAAATTTTCTCATGGTGGAGAGTATCGAACGTTCGTCTCGGCCAAACCTAATGCCTTTTTTGCTAGGTATTTATGTGTATCTCTGTCCAGCCTAAGCGTTGATTTATGACAACTAAAGTTCAATGGGTAGCCAGTTGGTGACCATGAAACCCGAGCACCTAAAAGTTAGTATTTAAAATAATTGTTGTCATACTTTGTTGTTGTACGCATCGTTTAGTCGTGTTTAATAAACATTTAATTAAATGAGTATTATTTTCAATAAATTCTTATCTTTCTTTCTAAATATAACATGTGGTTTGAATCTCCTGCTGAGGCGTTTTCTATGGTAGCTTGTCATTTAAGGCCTGTTACTGTTTTCTATACTGATTGGAGTGTGAAAATCAATACTCATAGTGGCCGGGCCATATGTTTGAAGAACGCTTCTGGAAAATGCAAAGGTGAGAATAGATAAAACGCTTTTTTTGACTGGTTAAAGTCATCGGATGGTTTCTTCGTAAAAGAAAGAAGTAAAAAAATGTAAGTGAATACCCTCCACCATTTGGAACAAATTTGGTAATTTTCAAAAAAAAAAAAAAAAAAAAAAAACAAGTAAGCAAAGGCTACAGTCGAGCGGGGCCGACCGTTGAATACCCTACAACACTATAATAAACGATACTGTTTATATAGGCGAGATACTCGAAAGAATTCCACAAGATATCGTGACAAATAATAAAAGAAACCATCAGGTTTCGTTCTCTAATTTTCGAATAATAGCAACTTAAACTAATTTGCTCATTTCCAATTTATTGGTAGATGTTGCACGTAAATGGTCTTCCTAGATCTGGAACCAATATTTCCCAAAGACCTATAATCTCTCAGAAGTGGCAAAAGAATAACATTTATTATTGGTTTTTGACTGAAACGCATCTATATGAGATACAGACATTTGACTATATTCTTTTACGAAATCAGCGTTAACGAAATAGTCAGAAGTGCGTCTTTCCTGTAATTGTGAATTCTCCAAAAAGATCGGGCCATAAATGCGATCTGTATATGATATCCTGATATCCTAACTACTTAGTTTTGTTAGCTGTAGAAATATTACCAAATGTTTAATTCAAAATGAAAATATGCCAAAAATATGACAAAATTGAAAAAATATGAGAAAATTTTACAAAATCAATATTTTCATCTTTAGAGAGATATTTTTATGCGATTTTTTTAGACGTTTTTCTTTCCTGCCAAGAGGCCATTCTGAATTAATGAGAACTGTAGAAATCAGTTCAGCCGTTCTCGACATATGAGAGATCTTTCAAGCATATCTTCCTTGATAGACATATATATCGCACATATTTTGCTATATATCCGATTTGTTGGATATTAACATCAATGTAAAGGTCAGAAGTAACCTTGTCATGGCTTCGTGATTTCGCAGGGATTTAAAATATTCGCGGTTTAATGAAAAATGTTGAATTTTTTCAACACAAAATATATGGTCTATTTTACCCGCTAAATATTATCCGATGACCACCCACATTGATAGGCTTCTTCCCCGCCCTAAACTCTAGCTACATACGAAATTTCGTCGTCGATTGGTCTATAATTGCGACCTGTATAGCTACTGCAAAATCCGATATTTTTTCAGTATTATATAAATATTATGCGATCATCTCCAAAAGAAATAGGGTTCTATTCTGACCCTAGCCCAACCTCCATTTTAAATTTCGTGAAGATCGGACCATAATTGCGACCTGTAGAGTGATTACAAATTAACATGGACAGACGGACAGACGGACGGACGGACATACATAGCTAGATCGACTCAGCTCGGCGAGCTAGGAAGATCCATATATACTTTCTTATATGGGAAACCAATATTTCGAGGTGTTACATAAATTCTGGCCCAATCAAACTTATAATACCCCCAACACATAGTGTTGTAGGGTATAAAAATAAAATAAAATCCGTTAAAAATTCTGTTTAAGTCTTTAAAATACTGAATGTAGTCGTATATTAGGGTCTATATGAGGACGTGGACCTGCATAGGCAACTTTTGTCATAAGCTATTACAATATTCAAATGCGAAACATGAAAAAAATTATCTTTATAATGTAGCTAAAATCATCAAAATGCCGAATATCGGGAAGTACCGTAATATGGGGGCTATACGAAGACGTGGACCTGCACAGACAATTTTCTGTCATAGGCTGTAGTATTCATTACGAACTTCGACTACCAAATTTGAAACAATTCCGGTGAATAATGTCGCTAAAATCAACAAAGTACCGAATATCGGGAGGTACCGTTGTATGGGGACTATACGAAGTCGTGGACATGCACAGACAATTTTCTGTCATAGGCTGTAGTATTCACTTCAAACTTCAAATACCAAATTTGAACAATTTTTGGTCTTAGGCTGTAGTATCCATTTTGAACTTCAAATACCAAATTTGAAACTATTCCGGTAAATAATGTCGCTAAAATCATCAAAATACCGAATATCTGGAGGTACCATTATACACATGTATACTACATGACGCATTTTCAATACCAAAAGTCCTGCAGACATAATAGACATTTGAGTAAAATTTTATCAACCTACTTCATTTCGCTCGGAAGCTAGAGTGATTTCCACAGACGGATAGACGTACAGGATGGATAAGTCGACATAGAATTTTATGCTGCTTATCTCGCTTTCTTAGAGCCTTCTGTTTTTCAAATCTTGAATCCTTTGTGGGGCAGGTATCAGAAGGAATGGCCCGATCTCTACCATCTTTGTTACAGATCTTGTGTTAATGGAAATATTGCGATGTGCCAACTCAGTATGGAATCGGAAATTAATTTCTTGTTTTATGAGCTTCGTGAGTATTCAAAATGTTGACCCTTTGTGGGGGAGATACCAGAAAGAGTGGACCGATATATTCGATCTTCACATCAGACCTTGGGTTAATAAAAATATTGAGATGTGTGTAATATGAGGAGAACAGAATGCTTATTTCGGATTTTATAATCGTTCTGGTTATTGAAAACTTTGACCCTTTGTGGGGGAGGTACCAGGAGGAATAGTCCGATCTCTACCATCTTTATAAAGGACCTTGTGTTGATGGAAATATTGAGATGTACCAAGTCTGAATGAAATCGGATGTTAATTTCGTTTTTTATGAGCTTAATGAATATTCAAAATTTTTACTCTTTGTGGGGGAGGTACCAAAAGGAGTGGGCCGACATATTCCATCTTCACATCATACTTTGCGTTCATAAAATATCGTGATGTGTGAAATTTGAAGACAATCGGACTCTTTTATCATATTTTATAAGAGTTATAATTATTCAAAAATTTGACCCTGTGTGGGGAGGTACTTGATGGAGTGGACCGATTTTATCCATTTCCGCACCTGACATGACACTGATACAAATATTAGGATTCGAAAAGTTGGAGCAAAATTGGATTATCCTTTCTCTTTTTGTGCAACAAAATATTTTCTTTGAAAATGTTGGCTTTTTGTGGGGGAAGTACCAGATAAAGCCCATTTCTGAATTCGATCTAAGTTTGATAATAATATTACGATGTACCAAGTTTGGACCAAAACCAAAATATTACCTTCGAGAGTCATCGTGAGCACCAGTCAACAGGCGGACGAACATGAGACAGATCGACTCCAAGTGTCCTGAAACGGATTTGGTCCATAGAGACCTATGGTACAAATCCGTTATTTCTATGACTCACGTTTTGGCCGTATCAAATGATATATACACTCGGTAGCCATATGGCTGAGGGTATAATTAAATACCTTGTACAGAACAAACGGAATGTGCTAGCATTCTTTAATTTGGAATAAGACTCACTGATGGAGCGCAGGATAGATATACCAAAGGGATTGTGGAAATTCGTACTTAAGGGTTACGAATAGTTCTAAAATGGTAATAAACTTCTAAAATGCTACCATTTGGTGTTAGATGAACGGATGGAGGCAAAGACTTGAAATTTAGTATGAGAATAACGGTTGGAGGGCAAGTTTAAAACATAAAACGTGACTTTTGAAATGTGTACTAAATATGCGAACTGTACTAAATGGTACTAAATTTGCAACAGTTTGGTTTAGAGTGTACGGATAAAGCTGGGATTTTGAAATTTGGTATTGAGGTCTCTGAGCGTGGTAGGTTTGTGATAAAGAAGTGATTTTGTGTACTAAATGTTCACGAAATGTACTAAATAGTTCTATATTTGGTACAATTTGGTTTTGGGTGAACATATAGTGCCTGAAATGTGAAATTTGATATTAGGGTCGCTATTCATATGTAGCCTGGACATATGGAGGTGGTTTCGTGAAAGTGTTTTAAAATTGTTCGAAAAGCGTAAAATGGTGCCAAATTTGGTATGGTATTGGGTGAAGGGATAGAGCTGAAATCTTGAAACTTAATATTGAGGTCTCTGTTGGTCTCTTGCATTGAGATATGAATGTGGTTTTGGAAATGTGTACTATAATTGTACGAAGAGGTACTAAATTTGGTATTAGCTGAAGGGATATGGCTGGAATTTTCAAATTTGATTTTGAGGTCTATGTTTGCATCTGGAAATGAGATATGGAGGTGTTTTCGGGAATGTGTCCTACAATTGTACTAAAAGTACAAAATGGTACTAAATTTGGTATTGGGTGAAGGAATAGGGCTGAAATCTTGAAATTAGATAAAGATGTCACTGTTGGGGTATGTGGTTACGATATGGAGGTGGTTTTGGAAATGTGTACTATAATTGTACGAAAAGTACTAAATAGTACTAAATTCGGTATTGGGTGAAGGCATAGGGCTGGAATACTCAAAGTTGATATTGAGGTTCTCTTTGGTATCTGCAATTGGAAATTTATACTATAATTGTACAAAAAGTACTAAATGGTACTAAATTTTGTATTGGGTGAAAAGATAGAGATAAAATCCTAAAATTTGGTATTTAGATTACTGATGGTATCTGGAATTGAGACATGGAGGTGGTTTCGGAAATTTGTATTATATTTGTACGAAAATTACTAAACCGTACTAAATTTGATATTGGGTGAAGGGATAGAGTTGAAATCCTGGAATTTGATGTAGATATCCCTGTTGGTCTCTGAACGTACGAAAATTGCAAAATGCCACAAAATGTGCCATTGGTTAAAGGGATAGAGCTGAATTTTGAAATTTTATATTTCGGTCACTGTTGGTTTCTAGGGTGAAGACGTTCAAATAGTTTTGGACCGAACAATTGAATGTGGATCCCTTGTACATGGGTTTTACTAACATACTCCTCGGTAAACTTCGTGATAAACAATTTTGAAGATTTTTTGGTATAAATGGTAAAGCTTTTCCTATTATTCTTTCCGAAAAAGGAAAAACTCAAATAATTTATGAAAACTTGAAAGCCTGAAAATTAAGTACGATGTGTGAAGTTCTGAATATAAAATGTTGTTCAAACTGAATAAATTGGGCATTTTGAAAGGCCTAACATGAACTACATCTCAAATTTTAAGGCGGATTTTAATGAAAATAAAAAAAGACAAAAACATTAAAAAATTGAAATTGATGTTAACCCCGTAACTACAGGTACTATACCAGAAAGTGGATCGACATGACCCATTTTTAAGCCAATGATTCTTAAAGTAATCTAAAGTTGTTTATAAATTTTAAGTTCAATATTAAATGTTGCGAAGAATATCTCAAAATATTGTGGTTCCTTGACCATATAAATAAGTCAAGGCTATATAAATGCGTTTAAAATGTTTGGCCTAAGAACCCGTAACCTTTTGGGGTTTTGATCTGTAGAACGAGTTAAATGAAAAAATGAGAAAAATATTAAAAAAATATATCGGAATTTCACCTTTAATTATAGAGACTATAACAGAATGTGGTTCGACCTGACCCATTTTTAATCTAATTTAAGCTTAACTACATACAGAGGTCAAGGCTATATTAAAGTCTTTAAAATGTCTGGTCAAAGAACACGAAACTCTTTTGGGCTTTTGATCTACAGACCGAGTTAAATCCACTTGGAATTTTTCACAGACCAGACTGTATTGCACAGTGAAACTATAAGACAATTTTCGGAAAGATTGCTAAAATTGTTTAAAATATTTTTCATCTTTTTATAGAACAAGAAACCAGGACTGGTTTATTCATGAGTTCAGTAAAAGAGATTGAACCAAGTGATACATTTTGAGAGTTGTTGGAATAAATTGTGGGTTTTATAAAGATTCAAACTTATTATTAAATAGTTACTTAACATATATATTTCTACGGGTATTTCCATGTACATTATTACCTCTACATTAGATTCTAAATTCTAGTTACGGTTTTTTTGGTATTAGTTCTTTAAAATAAATTCTATAACCTAGGATTTAATCCACATCAAGTTTGCGAAATGAACCTCCCGCAACGCCCAACTCCCCGCCAAAGTCTAAAATCTTGCCCAAACGCAAACGTTCATTGGTACCATAGTAGGCATTTTCTCGGAAAAAGTCACGATGTTGATCCCAGATTTTGTTGTTATCCTCAACTAATTGGGCGAGGGAACCATTCTCTCCGCCATATTCCTGGGGCAGGTATTTACGTGGCACAGCCGAAGATATATCATTGAAATTACGGCCGCATATGAAAATCTAAATAAAATTGAAGGAAAGGAAATAGAGAAACATTGGAAACATTTTCTCTAATATTTTACTCACCCTATTTCGTATTTTCTCGGGAAAATAGGGAAACACAAGTCTCTGCAGATACTCTGCAGCCGGTGAAAGATTTATGACCGTAAACGATTTGATACGCATTGGCAGAGTATTTTCGAAAAATTGCACAAATTTCTTGAGATGAGTGGGTGTCAGGAGCATGGCATGTTGTAGGGTTAACTTGGAAAAATCCAGAATATAACTGATGCCATGTATGCAGGCATAGGGATCCGATACCATTGCTATTTCATGCAGAGCTGTGATATATTGACTGACCTGTTCCACGGTGAAATCTTGGGCGCCATAATTACAGCGATAGAAAATTATACGTGGACCCGAGTCGTTCAGGGGTATTGGGAGGGAGACCAAGGTTCTGGCGATATGAATATATATTAAAACCTATGATTTCCATAGGAAAATCTCCAATTCAGCCTGGCTGAATGGGGGTTTCCATAGGAAATTTTCGATTCAACCTGGCTGAATGGGATTTTCCCCATAGGAAAATCTCCAATTTAGCCTGGCTGAATGGGGTTTTCTCTATAGGAAAATCTCCAATTCAGCCTGGCTGAATAGGGGTTTTCCCTATAGAAATCTCCAATTCAACCTGGCTGAATATGGGTTTTCCCTATAGGAAAATCTCCAATTCAGCTTGGCTGAATAGGGGTTTTCCCTAAAGGAAAATCTCCAATTCAGCCTTGCTGAATGGGCTTTTTCCTACAGGAAAATCTCCAATTCAGCATGGCAGAATGGGGTTTTCCCTATAGGAAAATCTCCAATTCAGCCTGGCTGAATATGGGTTTTCCCTATAGGAAAATCTCCAATTCAGCCTGGGGTTTTCCCTATAGGAAAATCTCCAATTCAACCTGGCTGAATAGGGGTTTTCCCTATAGGAAAATCTCCAATTCAGGCTGGCTGAATAGGGGTTTTCCCTATAGGAAAATCTCCAATTCAGCCTGGCTGAATAGGGGTTTTCCCTATAGGAAAATCTCCAATTCAGCCTGGCTGAATGGGGTTTTTCCCTATAGGAAAATCTCCAATTCAGCCTGTCGAAATGGTGGTTTTCCCTATTGGAAATCTTCAATTCATCCTGGCTGAATGAGATTTTCCGTAGGCAAAATTCAATTCACTTACCCCGTGTGATGAAATTTCCGAAACACAGCACTATCCACATCGGTAATCCTAAACAGTTCGCCACATTTCGTCTTCATGGCATAGAAAACATCCAATTTTTGTTTGGCTTTCTCCAGACTGTATTTACAGCCTCTGAGAAATTGAATAAGGAATTGATCATCTGTGCGCGCCTTGAGATGGGGCTGTTTCTCAATCCATGATCTCAAGGCATGTAGATCGTCAGATATCCTTGATGGCCGCTCACCCAGTTCCGTTATGGCAACCTTTTGTAGATCTTCGTTGAGAGCTCTAAACTGTAGCATGTCGTTGGGTGAAAGTTAGCAAGGCAACTGATACAGTTCTCAGGTGGCTGGACAATAATAAATAGAATATTTTTCCAATTCAGAAATGCAACTCCAAATCCAATTACTTGTTGGCAAGGTGGATTTGCATTGACAGAAAACCGCGTACCCTCATTGACAGTCCAACTGGTTTGCCTTTCAAACTTTGTCTAATTATTGTAATTTCATCAATTAACTAAAGAACTGTTTTTCTTTTTGCATTTCTTCCGCTGCTTTTCCCCTGCGAGCCAGCTGTTACAAGGAAGTCAAATCAGCGTTACTTTCTTTTAATGGCAAATAATGAGACCAATAATATGTGTCTTTAACAAAATGTCAACACCGATTTCAATTTGTTTTTTTTTTTCAATAACCGGTTCAAGCTCGTTGGAGCAACTAATTAAACGCTCACGCGCACATATTCATGTTAATTTGTAATATTAATGAAAAGGTATAATTTATTTATCTTGGGGTCAAAATTTCCTATTCAGCCAGGTTGAATAGCAATTTTACCATGGAAAGCCTCATTAGGCTGAGCTTAATTGAAGCTTTCGTGCAGAAACTCATATTCGCACATAGTGTTTCCTATGGGAACCACTATTAAACCAGACTGAATTAAATTCTGAACCTTAAGTTCATTGCCAAGGTATCTGCACTTAATTACGTACTTCCTTTCTTCTTTTTAAGAAACAACTTCGAGTGTAATCTCTGATTCGATTTTTCCATAACCTTAAAATTTATTCAATAAAAAAAACACATTCCAACAAAAACAAAAATATATCTCCAAACACTAATCTACTTCGATTTTTCTAAATGAACCGCCAATGGCAACATCGCCACCAAAATTCATTTTCTTGCCCACACGCAAATGTTCATCAGTTCCATAGTCGGCATTCTCCTTGAAATATTCACGATGGTCATCCCACACTTTATTGAAACCCACATAGAGTTGATTCACGGAGCCATTTTCACCGCCATATTCAAGGGGGAAATATTTCTTGGGGATTTCCTCTTCGATCGCACTCAAGTCACTGCCGCAGAGGAAGACCTGAAGAGACAAAATAAATATATTTAAAAAAATATTTTTTTTTAACAAAAAGCGTTATTCTGCCATGGAAAATCCAAAATTTCCTTTGGAAAAATTCACTTTAAACAAGGGAAAACTCTCTATACAGCCAGGCTGTATAGAAGAAGTTTTCCACTGGGAAAACACTGTCTATACAGCCAGGCTGTATAGAAGAAGTTTTCCACTGGGAAAACACTCTCTATACAGCCAGGCTGTATAGAAGAAGTTTTCCACTGGGAAAACACTCTCTATACAGCCAGGCTGTATAGAAGAAGTTTTCCACTGGGAAAACACTCTCTATACAGCCAGGCTGTATAGAAGAAGTTTTCCCCAATGGAAAACTCTCACTATACAGCCAGGCTGTATAGAAGTAGTTTTCCATTGGGAAAACTCTCACTATACAGCCAGGCTGTATGGAAGTAGTTTTCAATTGGGGAAAACTCTCTCTATACAGCCAGGCTGTATAGAAGTAGTTTTCCATAGGGGAAAACTCTCTCTATACAGCCAGGCTGTATAGAAGTAGTTTTCCATAGGGGAAAACTCTCTCTATACAGCCAGGATGTATAGAAAAAGTTTTCCCAGCTGTATAGAAGTAGTTTTCCCCTGTGTAGAGAGAGTTTTCCAAATGGAAAACTACTTCTATACAGCCTGACTGTATAGAGAGTTTTCCAAATGGAAAACTACTTCTATACAGCCTGACTGTATAGAGAGTTTTCCAAATGGAAAACTACTTCTATACAGCCTGACTGTATAGAGAGTTTTTCCAATGAAAAACTATTTTTCCCAATGGAAAACAACTTCTATACAGCCTGGCTGTATAGAGAGTTTTTCCAATGGAAAACTACTACTATACAGCTTGGCAGTATAGAGAGAGTTTTCCCAATGGAAAACTACTTCTATTCAGCATGGCTGTATAGAGAGTTTTCCCATGGGAAAACTACTTCTATACAGCCTGGCTTTATAGAGAGTTTTCCCAATGGAAAACTACTTCTATTCAGCCTGGTTGTATAGAGAGTTTTCCCAATGGAAAACTACTTCTATACAGCCTGGTTGTATAGAGAGTTTTCCCAATGGAAAACTACTTCTATACAACCTGTGAGTATAGAGAGTTTTCCCAATGGAAAACAACTTCTATACAGCCTGGCTGTATAAAAGTTGTTTTCCATTGGGAAAACAACTTCTATACAGCCTGGCTGTATAGAGAGTTTTCCCAATGGAAAACAACTTTTATACGGCCTGGATGTATAGAGATTTTTCCCAATGGAAAACTACTTCTATACAGCCTGGTTGTATAGAGAGAGTTTTCCCAATGGAAAACTACTACTATACAGCCTGGCTGTATATCTCTCTCTCTCTATACTCTCTATACAGTCAGGCTGCATAGAAGTAGTTTTCCATTGGGAAAACTCCTCTATACAGCCAGGCTGTATAGAAGAAGTTTTCCATTGGGAAAACTCCTCTATACAGCCAGGCTGTATAGAAGAAGTTTTCCCCTGGGAAAACCTTCTTGAAGAAATTTTCCCATGGGAAACGCTTCTATTTAGCCATGTTTTGGGGAACATCAATTCCAGAATTTTCAACCCACCCTATTTTTGATTTTTTCCGGTGCATATTCGACCAACATCTTCAGGGCATGTAGAGCATAGGGAGCCAGGTTTATGCAGCAAATACCCTTGATACGGAAAGGTAATGTCTTCACGTAGTAATCAATCATTTTCTTGACCAAATTTGGGGTGAGAGACATAACGTGGGACGTCGTGGCCTTGGCAAAATCAAGAACATAAAATACACCATTGATGCAGGCCTGTGGGTCGGTGACCATTAGGACATCAGAAACAGCGACACCATAGCATAAAACTTGTTCGATGGAGAAATCGTTGGGACCATAGGTGTAATGATTGAAGAGAATACGTGGTCCATTGTCGTGTAGGGGGGTGGGTAGAACGCAATAGGATCTTTAAGGAAGAAAAAATATTAGCAGTTGCTTATTATGACGTAAAAGCCATGACAGAATGAAAGCCTTATACGTTATTTCATGTCATGCTTCCCTTTCTGACTGTTTTTATCGATGACCTGTGACATGAAAATTTGATGATGCGTTCATTCTGTCTTGGCCTTAAGAGTGTGTGTGAAAAGTGCGCCTACCCCACATTATGGAAACGTCGAAAGTCCGGATCGTCAACATCGGTGACCCTCAACAGTTCCGGATATTTCGTTTTCAGGGCATAATAATTATCGATTTTCTCCTTGGCCTTTTCCAAACTAAATTTACAGCCACGCAAGAATTGTATGAGAAATTGCTCATCGGTACGGGCCCTCAAATGCGGCTGTTTTTTAATCCAATCCTTGAGAGCTTGTAAATCTTCGGGCACTCTCGATGTGACCTCACCCAATTCGGTGATGGCCACCTTTTTTTGTTCTTCCGTCAGCGGTAGTATTGCGACCATCTTCTAAGTTTCACTTTAAAATTAGAACTAATTCTAGAGTGGCAATTCATTGACACAACTAACTTTAGGCTCGTCATCGCTGAGTGGTTGGCAAATAGTACAGGTTTTCGAATTTAAGTCATTTGCATATTATGGAAAAGAGATGGTGACCGATGAAATATGGATGCTTTATTTTGTAATAAAAAAAGTTTAATATCCAATTTTTAGTGTTCCATAAAAGTTGGAATTCAAAACCAGTTAAAATATCACACCAAGCATGTACGGGCATTATTTACAATACAATGCTTGGATTAAAGAGATATGGGAGTTAAACGGTGTAATAAAATTCTCAAAGATGAGCAGATAGGAAGGAATGACCTCTTTCGTGTAAATTGAAGGTCGGTCAATGAGTTAATTTTGTGATTTTATTCAAAATCAGGCGGAACTGAAATCGAGCTAGATGTAATCATATTCAGAGGTATTAAATATAGATTCTCCCACATTTGGATTAAAAATTCAAATTATTACTCAGACAGTTAGACTAGAAGATTTCCCAAAGAAAACCATCTTCAGGTTGGCAAAAATTGAAAATTTAAAAAAAACAAAAAAAAAACAAAAAAAATAAAATAATAATAAAATAAATAAATAAAAAATAAATAAATAAATAAACAATAGATAAATAAAATAAAAAAATTAAATTAAAAAAAGAATAAAATAAAAAAAATAAAAAAGCTGTATGTTCGGCCGGACAGAACTTTGAATACACTCCACCATTTGCAACGAATTTGGCAATTTTCAAAAAATAAAATCAGTTAAAAATTCTGTTAAAATCTTAAAAATACTGAATGTAGATGTCATATTAGGGTCTATACGACGACATGGACCTGCATAGGTAACATTTGTCATAAGCCATTACAATATTCAAATGCGAAGCTTAAAAGAACCGGTAATAATAAAATCATCAAAATACCGAATGTAGGGAGGTACCGTTATATGGGGGCTATACGAAGACGTGGACCCGTACAGACAGTTTTCTGTCTTAGGCTATAGTATCTATTACGAACTTCAAATACCAAATTCGAACTTCAAATACCAAATTTGAAACGATTCTGGTGAATTATGTCGCTAAAATCATCAAAGTACAAAATATTGGGAGGTACCGTTGTATGGGGGCTGTACGAAGACGTGGACCTTGACAATTTTCCGTCTTAAGCTATAGTATCTATTAAGAACTTCTAATACCAAATTTGAAATAAATCCGGTGAATAAAGTCGTTAAAATCATGAAAATACCGAATATCGGGAGGTTCCGTTATATGAGGTCTATACGAAGAACTGCTCAGACAATTTTATGTCTTAGGCTGTAGTATTCATTTCAAACTTCAAATTTGAAAGAATTCCGGTGAATAATGTCGCTAAAATCACCAAAGAACCGAATATCCAGAGGTACCGTTATTTGGGGGCTATACGAAGACGTAGACCTGCACAGACAATCTTCTGTCCTAGGCTTTAGTATACATTACGAACTTCAAATACCCAATTTGAAACATTTCCGGAGAATAATGTGGCTAAAATCATCAAAAAACCGAATATCGGGAGGTACCGTTATTTGGGGGCTATACGAAGACGTGGAGCTGCACAGACAATTTTCTGTCTTAGGCTGTAGTATCCATTACGAATTTTAAATACCAAATTTTAAATAATTCCGGTGAAAAATATAAAAATATCGGGAGGTACCATTATATGAGGGCAATACCAAAACGTGGACCTACATGACCCATTTTCAATACCAAAAGTCCTGCAGACATAATATACATATGAGTAAAATTTTATCAACCTTCTTCATTTCGTTCGGAGGCTGGAGCAATTTCCACAGAATCGGACAGACGGACGGACATCACTAAATCGACATTGAATTTTATGCTGATCAAGAATATATATATACTTCGTGGGTTCTAAAATGTATATTTCGAGGTGTTACAAACGGAATGACAAACTTGATATACCCTCCACATGGTGAAAAAAAATAGAAGACACGCGTCTCGGCGTTTTCAGAAGTTTACATCGCTAAGTAACCCGAAAAAGGGGGACCATTTTACCTTCTCCTCCAACTTTTTTGGAAATTTTTGGATTATCATACCTTGAAATCCGCAAATTTTAGGTGCACAAGTGCATAAATTTACAGATAACAATACGAAGATTGTTTGGGTACACAATTTTAACCCTCAAGCGAGTCGAAAAAATTGGTCTTGTTGGTCCTTTATTAAAAATATCGTTAAAACTCCCCTGAAAACTCCCTTCGTAGTTAGACAAAATGTTCTACAAAATTATTCGTCATAAAATTCTACTTTAGGCCCCAGAAGAAATCATACCTGAACGCCAGGAATTAAATACTAAAAACGCTTTTAAGGGTTAAAAAAGTACCTTATGTGAGTTTGTGCAAAATACTACTACAAGGCTTTAGAAGGATGACTTCAGAGACAAAATCATTCCACATCAAATTCCTCTATAAGTCACCAAGCAAAAGAAATCTCTATTTCCATTATATATTAAGAAAATATTAGAATCAATGTGGCCAACAAAAACGCGAAATATTTGCAAACAAATTTTGAGCTATTTTTCTGGCCTTTTTTCAATTTTATGCATGAAAGTAACATAAAATTGCAGTTTTAGCAGAAAGTTTAAAAAGGAGAAATATTCTTCACAATATTTCACTATATCTCTCACAATAAACCATATATCTAGTTTTTAAGTAAATTACATTCGAAATCTACCTACTACTAGTGCAAAATTATGGCTGAAGCCATACTTCATGTGAGTTTATAAAAAATCTCCAACAAAGCATCATTTTAGCAGTATAACGTCAAAGACAAAATTATTCTTCATTAAATTTTACTATAAGTCACCAAGCAAAAGAAATCTCTCTTTTCATTACATATCAAGAAAATATTAGAATCAATGTTGCCAATAAACACGCGAAAGAATTTCCTATTTTTGGTCAAATTCTTTCTTCGCCTTTTTTCGAGTTGATGCATGAAAGTGACATAAAAATACATTTTTGGCAGAAAGTGCCAAAGGAAGAAACATTCCTCACCAAATTTCACTACATATTTTTGAAAGAATCATTTCCCTAGTTATGATTGATTTCAAGGAAATCACATTTCAATTATAGACATTACAAGTGAAAACTATGTATTAACGTTTTTACTTCGAATTTAACACGATTCCATTCGTGGTCAAAATTTCCCATAAAACTTGATTTTTCGGGAAAAGTGTCAATGGAGGAAATGTTCAAGATTAAATTTCATTATGTGTTTCTGAACAAACGAAATTGGTATACTTAGTGTGTACCATAAAAATTTTGGTTTGTAAGCCACAAAAAAAATTAATTTATTAAAAACTTATTTCATGGTTAAAGCCATACTTCATGTGAATTTATGCAAAAATCTCCATCATAGCATCATTTTAGCAGGATGACATCAAAGGAAAAATTATTCTTCATCAAATTTCACTATAAGTCCCCAAATAAAGGAAATCTCTATTTCAATTATTTATCAAGAAAATATCTGCATCAAAGTTGACAAAAAAAAAACCGAAAATATTTTCTACATTTTTGATTAATTTTTTCTCGTTTTCTCCATTCGATGCATGAAAGTAACATAAAATTTCGTTTTTTGTAGAAAGCTCCAAAGGAAGAAATATTTTGCACAAAATTTCACTATAAATCTTCGAAAGAACCATAGCTCTAGGTAAGATAGGTTTCAAGAAAATTACATTCGAAATATATTCATAACAAGTGAAAACTACGTGTTGACGTTTTTTACTGCAAATTTGACGTCATTCCACTGTAAGACAAAATCTCCCTGAAAACTTAGTTGTTTTGAGAAACTCTCAGAGGAGGAAATATTCTAGATCAAATTTTATCATAGGTCTCGGAAGAAAATAAATTTGTATACTCAATATGTACCATGGAAAAATATCATCAATTCACTGCATTGCGAAATTGTAAATTTGTCGAAAATAACACATATTTTTCTCTTGGTATGTATAAATTTCGAATAAATATTATTTAAAAATTATTAATCATAGATATATGGTTTATTTTGCGATTATCAGTAAAATTTTGTGTAGAATATTTCTGTTTTTGATACTTTCTCCCTTCAACGAAATTTTATGTTATTTTCTATGTTCAACATAGAATTTCCGAATTATTTTTATGGACAAATTGATGCCAACATTTCCTTGATTTACAATGAAAATAGAGATTTCTTTTCTTTGGTGACTTATAGTAAAATGTAATGAGGTGTAATCTTGCCTTTGAAGTCATCCATCTAGAATGATGCTTTGCAGGAAATTTTTGCATAAACTCACTTTAGGCTTTAACCCTAAAATGAGTTTTTAACATATATGAATTCCTGGCGTTTAGATAAGATCTAGACTCTTAAATTCTTTGAGAACCTATAGTAGAATTTTGTTTTATGGGATTTTGTTCCTCCATATTATGAGAAAAGGGCTAAAGAGAACACTTTGGTGACACGCTTGAGTTTTAAAATTTTTGACCAAAATAATCCTCGTATTGTTACCTGTTATATTGCAAAGGCACTGTATACCTAATATGAACGAACTTCAAAGAATATTATTTCAAAAACTTCAAAAAATACGGAAGAGGTGGGAGCTCCCGCTCTTCTAATTGGGTTACTTTTCGATGTAAACTTTGAAAACGGCAATACAGGTGTCCTCTCTTTTTAAATCTACTTTCACAATCTGTTGGGTTTTTCGTCCGATTATGGAATTTTGTCGCACAGTGTAATTGAGTTTATTTACAATGTTACAAAATTTTATGTTTCAAAATGTTAATTTAATTGTCCTATAAATTTTTTTTAAATTTTCGTTTGATTCCGTTCCCCCATCTTGATTTATCTCCCAATTTACACGTGGATACAATGTCCGGAAATATATATTTTGGAATAAATTTGTATACAACTGCTTTCAATACATTATTAGTGAATAGATTAAAATTTGAAAACAGGTTCGGGTTAACAACCCATAAAATGAGATTCAATGTTTACAAATGTCAACTGGCAGTGGAAAACTGGATTGGTGTCTGGTTGAATTCAGACGTTGGGGGGATTGTGATACACTACAAAGTTGTTGGTATCATTTTGATTAGCTTCCTAGACAAGCAAAAAAAATTGCGTGAGTGGTAATAAGTAAAAGCTTCCATTTTGAGTCAAATAAAAAGTAATAATTTTTAGATGGAATATTACGTCTCATATGCGGCCAAATAATTCGGTAAAGTGAATATAAAAACATATTTCATACCAAGTTCCCAGTACTTTTCTGCGTCCTAATACGACTATGGTTTAACGGATTAAGTAAACCCAGTGGATTTGAATTGCCAATTTCATTGCAAAAAATATTTTTCTTAAGTACTACAAAAACAAATCTAACTTAACCTAATCGAAGCCATACAATTAGTTTTATCTATTCTATATTAAATAGAGAGCTTTCTGAGATTGTTTGTCCCTTCATTCAAGTCCTTATGAAAATAAGCTTGAATCTTGGCATGTTATGCACTCGTTTGGTAAAATTGTGATGAGAAATGAATTTGCTGACTTAATCTTATATTGAGAATAACCTAGTGTTGCCAAGGTCTATTCTTCTGTGGTGTTCTAGATCTGGACGAGTATCTCTACCTAAGAATTGATTCCGACTGTTTTTAAAAGCTGGGAAGTGGAAAAGAAGATGTTATAAGGTTTCCCACCATGCTCTACGGGTACTAGAGTCCGTACAATCTATTATGCGTTCGTGAGCCAGGTGGCCCGTAATTTACACCCGGTTGTAAAAGTGGGAAAGGATATATATCCGTATGGTTGGATGGTAGATTCGATTCCACTTTTTAATTAAAGCTACTCTAACTTAATCAAATCGCAGCCACACAATTATTCATATTTATTCCATATTGAATGGAAAACAGCTGCTGTTTGTCTCTTCATTGTAATGGTCTTGGCAATCTACTGAAGGACAAACGCCACAATTGCTAATTTTTTTAAAATTTTAATGAATGAAAACAAAAATGTCGGAAATAGTGTCATATTTTAGAAAAACTTTAGATGTTTTCGAATTGATCACCTTTGGCACAAATTATGGCCTTCAAAGGGTCAATGAAACCGTCACACGCTACCCGAATGTTGCTCCGCGGTATTTTGGCCCATTCCCGGCGAAGCGCTTGCTTGAGGCAATCGACACTTTGGTATATACTCCAGACACAATAGTCCAACGGATTGGTATCCAGAGATTTTGGTGGCCATTGTGAGCTGGAAATGAAGCGAGGAACTTCATTTTGTAACCATTCTTGGGTGGTGCGTGCTGTGTGCGATGGTGTTGAGTTTTGTTGGAATGTCGAAGGTCTGCGGCCTAAATGTTTGCGTGTCTAAGGCCTTAATACACCCTCCAGAATATTTTAGCTATAATATTCGGCATTAATTCTGGGGCCACGGTCGATTAATTCGAGTGGAGTTCGACCATCGGCTGTCATGGCGGCCCACTCCATCACCATTACCACAGTCGGCGCTTGAGTTCTGGTGGCCAACTTTGGCAAGTAAACACAATCATTTTGTTTGTTTACAAATTGCTGGACAACAATTGTTTTCTCTTCGGAGAAAACCAAATTCGGCAGTTCACAACTTTCGGCCAAGCGAAGCAACTCTTTATCTCTTTTGAGTCTAATTTCTGTCTGTTGCGGTGTAAATTCTTACACTTTTTTGAATTTCAATGGCTTTACCCCGAACTTATTTTTCAATATTTGCCGAATGGAATATTGCGATATGTTCAGCTCACGAGCCATTTTTCGGACACTGCGATGCGGGTTTCGATCGAGTCGCTTCTTTACATTTCGAATCACTTCTGCTGATGTTGCTGTTTTCTTCCGTCCACTTCCATGAAGTCGGGCTCCGCTACCAGTATCACGGTAACGAGCGATGGAACGAGACACAAAAGATTTATTCACATTTAAATGCTGGAGTGCTTTAACGATAGCCACTTGTGGTTTTCCAGCCAAATATACAACGGAATTCCCCGATATTCGATATTTTGACGATTTTAGAGACATTATTCACCGGAGTTGTTTCAAATTTCGTATTTAAAGTTCGTAATGCGAAGTACAGTCTATGACAGAAAATTGTCTGTGCAAGTCCACGTCTTTATATAGCACCCAAATAATGGTACCTCCCTATTTTCGGTATTTTGGTCATTTAAGCTACATTATTCACAGGAATTGTTTAAAATTTGGGATTTAAAGTTCGTAATGAATACTACAGCCTTTAACACAAAATTGTCTGGGTAGGTCCACGTCTTCGTATAGCCCTCATATAACGGTACTTCCCGATGTTCGATATTTTTGTGATCTTGGTTACATTATTCACCGGAACCGTTTCAAATTTGGCATTTAAAGTTCGCAATGGATACTACAGCCTAAGGAAGAAAATTGTCTGTGCAAGTCCACGCCTTCGTATAGCCCCCATATAACGGTACCTCCCGATATATTGTTTATTTTGATGATTTTAGCGACATTATTCACCGGAATCGTTTCAAATTTGGTATTTGAAGGTCGTAACATATATTACAACCTATGACCGAAAGTTGTCTGCGCAGGTGTCAGTACTTCCCCATATTCGGTATTTGGACGATTTTAGGAACTAAATTCGCCGAAATTGTTCGAAATTTCGTATTTAAAGTTCCTAATAGGTACTACATCCTGTAACAGAAAATTGTCTATGCAGCTCGAGGCCTTCGTATAGGCCCGATATAACGGAACCTCCCCATATTCGGTATGTTGATTTGATTTTAGCTACATAATTTAGCGGATTTTTTTTTAAGTTTCGTATTTGACTTGGCTTATGTCAAAAGTTGCTTGTGCATGTCCACGTCTTCGTATAGAATCCAATATTATGGCTATATTCGGTATTTTTGAGATTGTAACAGAATTTTTTACAGATTTTATTTTTTTTTAAACATTTCCAAATTCATTCCAAATGATGGAGGGTATTCAAAGTTTGGCCCGGCCGAATTTACTGCGTTTTTACTTGTTTAAATTTTTTTATGGTCTAAGTGTCGCATCCCATGATAGCACACATTCATTGCTCTCGACAGGATTCCCAGTATTTCTCATAGTAAGGAGAATTATTAGTAAGGGGTAGCAGGGATCTAAGAGCAACATCAAAATTATTATTTTATTTTGGAAATCTTTACTATTTTCTCCTTAAACTTACCCTGGATTGATCATTTTCCGAAAGCCCAGATCATCAATGTTGGTTAGACAAAACATTTTGGGAAATTTTGTCTTTATCACACACGTATAGGTTAGCTTTTGCTTGGCCTTTTCCAAACTGTATTTTGAGCCTCTTAGGAATTGTATTAGATACTGATCGTCGGTGCGAACTCTCAAATGTGGTTGCAGCTCTATCCATTCTCGAAAATCTTCCAAATATTTATCAATTCTTGATGGTACCTCACCCAGCTCGGCGATGGCAATTTTTTGTAATTCTGCTGGAAGGGGTTTTATCTGGGGCATATTGCAGGTGGATGAGTAATGAAATTTTGTATTTTCACTTGAAATATCCGATTGGTTTAGAATTGTCGGTTACATTGATTATTTGACTATACTTTGGAGCTACCTGAAATGCAGTAAGGCCATTTTGTACAGTGCATCTCCATTTATTGGTAAATAAATAAGTCATTCTATACAATTTTTTGGTAAGTGCTAATTAGGTGATATATATGTACCGGTTTTAAACAGTAGTGTTCATAATGATAGCACAACATACGTTTATACAAATTACAAGTTATTTGTTTTTGATGGCAAAATTTTGATGGCAAATATATGAAAAAGTCTTTTTACTGAATTAAGTCATCGGTTGGCTTTTTCGTAAAAGAGCGACGTGTAGAGTGGACGAGTATAAATTATGAATCTAAAACTTCCAATTAGGAAGGATGGGGTTATATTTCTCCATTTCACCACCTTTGTCTACAAATTATGAGACATTGTGAACACTTTGTCTATAAGTTTTATTTATCTCCGAATACGAATAAGCAGTTCAGTTTTTGCCTGTGGTCGATTTATTAATTCAAGGCTTATTACTAACATATGTATGCAGGTTAAATGGCTTAACCTAATTATTCTATAACTAAACATGCATTTATATAACGCCAACTTTACATTAACAACAAGTAAAAAAGCTATAAGTCAGCCGGGCCGAACTTTGAATACCATCCACCATTTGGAAAGAATTTGGTATTTAAAAAAAATAATAATAATAATAATAATAATAATAATAACAATAATAATAATAATAATAATAATAATAATAATAATAATAATAATAATAATAATAATAATAATAATAATAATAATAATAATAATAATAATAATAATAATATATATAAATATATAATAATAATATATATAATATAAATAATAATAATAATAATAATAATAATAATAATAATAATAATAATAATAATAATAATAATAATAATAATAATAATAATAATAATAATAATAATAATAATAATAATAATAATAATAATAATAATAATAATAATAAAAATAATAATAATAATAATAATAATAATAATAATAATAATAATAATAATAATAATAATAACAATAATAATAATAATAATAAAATCATCAAAATATCGTATATGGAGGTACCGTTATATCGGAGCTGTGCGAAGACCTGGACCAGCATAGACAATTTTTTGTCATAGGCTGTAGCATGCATTACGAACTTCAAATACGACATCTCAAACAATTTCGGTGGATAATGTACCTAAACTCGTCAAAATACCGGATATAGGGAGGTACTGATATATGGGGCCACTACGAAAACCTGAACCTGCATAGCGACAATTTTCTGTCACAGACTGTAGTTCCCATTACGAACTTCAAATGCCAAATTTGGAACAATTCCGGTGAATAATGACGCGAAAATCATCAAAATTCCGAAATTAGGGAGGTACCGTTATATTGGGGCTATACCAAGACGTGGATCTGTACGGTCAATTTTCAGTCACAGGCTGTAGTACCCATTACGAACTTCAAGTATTAAATTTGAAAAAATTCCGGTGAATAATGTGGCAAAAAATCATCAAAATACCAAATATTCTGAGGTACCGTTATATGGGGGCTATACGAAGACGTGAACCTGCACAGACAATTTTCTGTCTTTGGCTGCAGTATCCATTATGAACTTCTAATACCAAATTTGAAACAATTTCGGTGAATAATGTCACTAGAATCATGAAAATACCGAATATTGGGAGATACCGTTACATAGGGGCTATACGAAAACGTGGACCAGCATACAAACATTTTTGTCATAGGCTGTAGTACCCATTACGAACTTCAAATACGAAATTCGAAATAATTCCGGTGAATAATGTTGCTAAAATCATGAAAATACTAAATATCGGGAGGTACCGTTATATGGGGGCTCGACTTGATCGGCACCCGCGTCGCAGTGGCCGAAAAATGGCCCGTGAGCTGAACATATCGCAATATTCCATTAGGCAAATATTGAAAAATGAGCTCGGTGTAGAGCCACTGAAATTCCAAATAGAAATATAGATTCGAAAGAGCTAAAAAATTGCTTTGCTTGGCCGAAAGTGGTGAACTTCCGAATTTGGTTTTCTCCGATGAGAAAATATTCGTTGTCCACCAGTTTGTAAACAAAAAAAAAAAAAATGATCGTGTTTACTTGCCAAAGAGGTCAGCTGAAAATGTGCACCTACGGTTGGCCACCAGAACTCAAGCGCCGGTCATGGAGATGGTGTGGGCCGCCATAACAGCCGATGTTCGCTCTCCGTTCGTATTAATCGACCGTGGCATCACAATATATGCCGAATATTTCGCGAAAGCATTTTGGCCGCAGGCCTTGGACATTCCAACAGGACTCAGCACCATCGTACCCAGCACGCGCCACCCAAGAATGGTTACAAAATGAGTTTTCTCGCTTCATTTCCAGCGCTCAATGGTCACCAAAATCTCCGGATACCAATCCGTTGGCCTATTGCGTCTGAAGCATTTTGTTAAGCAAAGTTGGCACTAAAAAACACCAAAACGTCGATCATTTTGAAGCAGGTGTGTTTGGCCATCCGAAGCGAAAATATTAAAATTAGACTCATCGGCAGATGTAATGTTCTCCCATAAGCTTGAGTCTTTTGTTAAAGGTTTTTTGGCAAATTTTAGTCGCTCTTTTTGATCCTTTTTATTTACAAAAGTCTTTTTTTCTGGCTACTCTTCAATGAAGATCGAGGTTACTGGATAGTATCGGTTCTGCACGATATATTAAGCTAATCAACTTGATGCGGATAAGTTAAATTGTTAATTTAACTGTAAATATATTATTTTCATTTTTTTTTTTCAAATATTTGAAAATATATAATTTTTTCCAAGAAAATTCTGTAAAAAATTTAAGTTCTAAGTACATGTGTCCTCTAAATACTATATTTTAAGACATTGACTGCTATTATTTTCGACATCGATGCACAATTTTTGTTTACATTTAATATTTTTTGCTTTACAAAATTCAGTCAGAATTTAAAAAACTCTGGCATTTATTGGGGGGGGGGTTTTAATTGATTCATTGCTTTAAAATAATTAACGGCGAATATAATATACCCTCTAGTGGAGAAAAATTAAATTTATTTTATTACAATAAGAACGTGTGATTTCAAGTTCCGAAGCAATTTCATGTGAGAACTTAAGCAGAACCTTATCATTTATACACCTATAGGTCATTTCGATATAATTCTGGAAAGGAAACCCAGTAAAGGTAGCCCCAACACATGGCATTATTCAGAATTTTTTTTATGCATTTGGAATTTCTTGCGCAAATTTTGGCATTTAAATCTTGTTGTAGAAACCTGTTCCGCTGTTTATATGGGTCAATGTTTTAAAGTCGGCAACCATGTTACAAAATGTAAAATCAAACAAGGGCATGTGCCCTTAAAAAAAATTTAAAATGAAAAAAAAAATAAAAGATTTAAATTAAATAATATATAATTAAAATATTAAATAATTTTCAAAGTAATTCATAAAAAAGAGATCATTAACCGAATGTTTGTTTTCGATTGAGTAATTATCATATTGTAAATAAATTTGTTGCCATGGAATATTTTCAAAGTAATATAACAATAATATTTGTTTCGTTTCTTCAAAGGAATATTAATAATTTGAATAAAACCGTTGAGATTAAGCTACGTTTACATATCATAAATAATGTGTTTATTTCAAAACATTGACTAATGATTTATTATTTATATAATTTAGAAAGTAATCCGAATTGCCTTTAATAAAATTTAATTTTGTATTTAATAAAATCGTGGTCATATAAACCAAGAGATGTCTTTGTACCTTGAGGGCAAAACATTAAAAACCAATAAGGAAAAGTCAAAAGTCGGTCGGGGCCGACTATATCATACCCTACACCACTGTGCATATTTAGTACACCTCCCGTAACATAAGAATTTACTTCAAGTAGATCATACCACCTATCAATATTTGGCTTTAGAACAGTTATAGTTTGCTGTAGAGTGCATGATATAACTTCGAGAAGGATTATAATAAAACAAGTAAGAAATCTCTAAGTTCGGCCTCCACCATTTGGAGCGAATTCGGAAATTCTCAAAAACAATAAAATCCGTTTAAAATTCTGAAAAAATCTTAAAAATACCGAATGTAGCTGTTATTTTAGGGTCTATACGACGACATGGACCTGCATAGGTAACTTTTGTCATTGGCCATTACCATATTCGAATGCGAAACTTGTAAAGAAATTCGGTGAATAATGTAGCTAAAATCATCAAAATACCGAATATCGGGAGGTACCGTTATATGGGGGCTATACGAAGACGTGGACCTGCACAGACAATTTCTTATCTTAGGCTGTAGTATTCATCACGAACTCCAAATACCAAATTTGAAGCAATTCCGATGAATAATGTCGCTAAAATCAGCAAAATACCGAATATCGGGAAGTACCGTTATATGGGGGCTATAAGAAGACTTGGACCTGCACAGAGAATCTCCAGTTATAAGCTGTAGTATCCATTACAAACAATAAATATCAGAATTGAAACTTTTCCGGTGAATAATGTCGCTAAAATCATCAAAATACCGAATATCGGGAGGTACCGTTATATGGGGGCTATACCAAAACGTGGACCTACACGGCCCATTTTATACCAATACCAAAAGTCCTGCAGACATAATATACATGTGAGTAAAATTTTATCAATCTACTTCATTTCGTTCGGAAGCTAGAGTGATCTCCGCAGAATCGGACGGACGGACGAACATCACTAAATCGACATAGAATTTTACGCCGATCAAAAATATATATACATTTTGTTTGGTCTAATGTGTTACAAACGGAATAACATACTTAATATACGCTCCATACTATGGTGGAGGGTATAAAAATATATATTGGAGCCGACTTGCACAAAATGGAAACTCCATTTGGGCTGATATTAGCCATTATTTGCACAATAAACCTGAAATCTGATTAAGGATTTATATTGGAGTTATATCCAAATCTTAGCCGTTCTCGATAAAATTTGGCAAAGGTATTTCGGAGATTTATAAGATATCTGGTACCAAATATCATTGTTGTCGAATACATATTATGAATGTGAGGGACTTAAACATCAAAACAGAGCTATAGTTATATCTAAACCGATTTTCTCCAAATTTGATGTACTTGCTTCTAGACTGAATTCTGTCGGATGTAGCAAAATTCAGGACTTTTGGACAGATATTGGCCACATTCGTGCAGAATTAACCCGAAATCGGTTGAGATAAAAAAACTGCATCAAAGTCAAACGCCATATTTTTTTTTCAATTTTATTGAATGAAAGCAACAAATGTCGGAAATTGCATCAAATTTTAGAATAAGTTTAGATTTGTTCGAATTGGTCACCTTTGGCACGAATTATGGCCTTCAAACGACCAATGAAACCTTCACACCCTACCCGAATGTTGCTCTGCGGTATTTTGGCTCATTTCCGGCGAAGCGCTTGCTTGAGGTGATCGACACTTTGAATCTTTTAGTGCCAACCTTGCTTTCCAAAATACTCCAGGCACAATAGTCCAACGGATTGGTTTCCGGATATTTTGGTTGCCATTGTACGCTGGAAATGAACCTCATTTGTAACCATTCTTGGGTTGCGCGTGCTGATTGCGATGGTGCTGAGTCCTGTTGGAATGTCCAAGGTCAGCGGCCAAAATGTTTGCGTGCCCAAGGCTTTAATACACCCTCCAGAATACTTTCGCGATAATATTCGGTATTTATTCTGATGCCACGGTCGATTAATACGAGCGGAAAGTGGATATCGGCTGTTATGGCGGCCCACACCATCACCATGGCCGGCGCTTGAGTTCTGGTGGCCACCCGAAGGTGCACATTTTCAGCAGACCTCTTTGGCAAATAAACACGATCATTTTGTTGGTTCACAAACTGCTGGACTACGAGTGTTTTCTCATCGGAGAAAACTAAATTCGGCAGTTCACCACTTTCGGCCAAGCGAAGCAACTCTTTAGCTCTTTTGAGTCTATTTTCTTTCCGTTGCGGTGTAAGTTCTTGCACTTTTTGGAATTTCAATGGCTTTACCCCGAGTTTATTTTTCAATATTTGCCGAATGGAACAATGCGATATGTTCGAGTCATTATTCGGCCACTGTGATGCTGGTTTCGATCCAGTCGCTTCTTTACTTTTCGAACCATTTCTGTTGATGTTGCTGCTGGAATGCTCTAACGATAGCCCCGCTTGTGGTTTTCCAGGCAAATATATAGAAATCACACTATCACTCTTGATGGAATTCGAATAACTTTTTTCTGGAAAATTCTCACCAAAATGCTTTTGTACGCTTGTAAACAATATAATAAGCTGTCACTGGAATAATTTTAACAGCTGTTGGACTAGTAGCTTAGAAATGACAGCAGTCTACAATTGGTTGCAGTTTTTTAATCTCTCCCTTATAGGCCTGCGTTTTTGTTTGGCCCCCATATAAAGTACCTCCCGATATTCGGCATTTTGATGATTTTTGCCACATTTTCCATGCATTTGTCTAAAAATTGTTATTTGTTGGTCATAACGGGTCTAAGCTCCGGTGGCGAAACATTGTATGTATAGGTCCACGTTTTTGTATAGTTCCCATATAACGGTACCACCCGCTATTTGGTATTTTGATGATTTTTGCCACATTTTTCCACGGATTTGTTTAAAAATTGGTATATGTAGTTCTTAATGGCTTCTAGCTCCGGATATTCAGCATTTTAATAATTTTTGCCACAATTTTTCACGGATTTGTCTAAAAATTGGTTTATGTAGAATATTGAATATGTTTTAACGTTTTCCTATAGCACGCTGATATTCGGTATTTTGATAATCCTAGTCACTTTTACCCAAGATATTTGGAACCGTCCATGGCCCTATGTGCTAGGTTACTGTACAAATTCAAAATTTATAAAGAAATAAAATAAAATAACATATGACAATAAGACCATTTGGAATCTTTGGATGGAGAATATATGTTTTTTATAGGGTCTTAAACGATTTATTTGATTAGTTACAAACTAAATGACTAAGTTCATGTACCTACCATACTATACCAAATGGTGGGTATAAAAATATTCATCCACTTCTCCAAGGTATTTTTTTTTAGCACAATTCAACACGCATGGGTTGTTGAGAATTGAAAACATTGCTGTGGTGAAAATATAAATTTAGTACATAGCAGAGACACATGTGATCGACACTTATCCAATTCAACAACCTATTGGGTTAATGTAAAAAGGTAGTTCACACTCCGAGCTTTGAATTTTTTTTTGGTAATGAAAATAAGTCATAAATTTTAATTTATGTTATTCTGGGTAGTTTTTTTGTTACAATTTCATGGTAGAAGTACAGGTATCCACGCCTGGGAACATTGATATGTCAAACATTTTAAAAAGGTTTTTTTTTCAACAATATGTAGATTTTAATATGTTTTCTTATACGACGCTAAAACTTCAGTCCTATAAGACTATCCGAAATTAACTCTTCGAGCTTGGCTCAGTCTACTCAAGACGCAGGTTGATGCGAAGCACTTTCTTCTCTTTTGCGGTTTTGATAGAGCCTAGGGAATCAAAACTCATAATTGTTTCTGTGGAAAAGAGGGAAAGACTATGAGTTTTGTTAAATGAACAGATGCCAAGACATCAACAAGATTTCGGTCGTTCCGGAACGAGATTGAAATATATAGTGTAGGATATTTTTTTTCCTCTAACACCTTCTGCCTAAATTGAAATTTTATTTTAATTTCAGGCGTCAAATCAAAAAAAAAAAAAAAAAAAAACGGATCAAAAAATTATAAAATATTTTCGGTTGATTCAAATATATTTTTTCTGATATACAATGGAATTAGAAAAATATTTCCTTTGGTGACTTATAGTGAAATTTGATGAGGAATATTTTTGTCTTTAACGTCATCCTATTACAATAATGTTTTGTAGGAGATTTTTGTAAAAACTCACATAAAGTACGACTTTAACCCTAAAATAATTTTTTAATATTTTTTAAATTGCTGACATTAAGTTAAGATTTAGACTTTTGACGTCGACTAGGACCTATAGTTGAATTTTATGACAAATTATTTTGACTTGCAACGATCCCGTTTAAAGGGAGTTTTAAACCATATTTTGAAAAAAGAACCAAAAATACCCCTCTGTTGAATCGCTTGAGGGTTAAAATGTTTGACCTAAATAATTCCCATATAGTTATCTCTAATATTGCCAAACACACTATATACCTAAAATCAACGGATCGCAAGGGATCTTCATCCGAAAATTTCAACAAAATGTGGAAGAGGGGTAACTTGTCTCCTCTCTACGATGCAAACTTTCAAAACACCAATACAAAAGTTTTCTATTTTTAGTTCTAATTTTATATTTTGCTGGATGTTCCTTTAATTATTGAAAAAAATATTTAAGGCATTTATCTTCAAAATCGATTAGAATCAATCTACTGCCAGTTTCCGGAAAGAACCACCCACGCCAAATAGGCCATCCAAATCCAGAGGCTGTCCTTGGCGCAGCTTCTCATCCGTGCCATATTGGGAATTCTCCTTGAAATATTCCTTGTAAGAATCCCATATTTTATTATATTCCCGGGCTGCCTCTTCACAAGAGCTATTCTCACCGCCAAAGTCACGGGGTAAATAGGCGGCTGGTATGTGTTGGATCCATTCCTTTTTGTCTTGGCCTAAAATTGTTATCTGAAAAAAGAGAATTCAAAAATTTGCTTTTTTTCCTCTCCTCTCTTATTTTTTGTCTTACCCTCTGTTTAAGTTTCTCGGAGAAGAATAACAGCAATGCCTTGAGGAACTGCTGAGCGGCCGGTGAGGTATTCAAATAATAGATGTGTTTGACTCTATAGGGCATGGATTTTTCCAAAAATGATAAAAGTTTCATGCAAAAATTCGGAGTCATTTGCAGGAAATGACTGCCAGTGGCTAGCTCAAAGTCCACAAGGTAAATTATGCCATTGATACAGGCATAGGGATCATTGTAAATCATCACCTCATGCATGGCGGCCCCCGGTAAGAAGACATCATCAATACTGTATTCCGCTGCGTTGTAACTGAAACGGAAGACCACAATGCGTGGGCCGTTTTCGTTCAGGGGTTTGGGTAAAGCAATGTAGCAGCTAAGGGGACAATATTAAAAAATATGACATTTTTTGTTGTTTTTGGGAAAAGGAGGCACCATTTCTTAGCTTACCCCATATTATGTATGGTCCGAAATTTCCCATCATCCACATCGATGGACCCAAACATCGAAGGATATTTGGTCTTCAGCGAATAGAATAGGTCAATTTTTTCCTTTGCCCTTTCCAGACTATATTTACAGCCCCTCAAGAATTGTATTAAAAATTGATCATCGGTTCGAGCCCTTAAATGCGGTTCGGCTTGTATCCATAATTTAAGAGCTTGCAAATCATCAGCTATTCGAGCAGGCACTTCGCCCAATTCATCGATGGCAAGTTTTTGTAATTCAGCGTTCAGTGGTTTTATTTGTGCCATGGCTCAGTTTGAAATTAATACTGAAACATTTGTCACTGGAGATTTGGAAAGCAACTGGTTAGTTATAAATTAAATTAAATTGAAATCAGGTTAACAACTGATTTTTCGGCTTGTTTGGATGATTTAGAGTTGTCATGAACTCAAAGGAGGTACATGATAAATAAATGAGACATTTCAGAAGTATTTTACAAAATAAATGAAACAAGAAAAAACACTGTAAATTGAGCCAGGCCGAACTTTGAATTACCTCCACCATTTGGAACGAATTTTGCAATTTTCAAAAAAAAAAAATTCCGTTCAAATCTTAAAAATTCCGAATGTAGTCGTTATATTAGGGTCTATACGACGACGTGGACCTGCATCATCAAAATTATCAAAATACCGAATATAAATACCAAATCAGAAACAATCTCGATGAATAACGTATCTAAATTCAACAAATTACCGAATATCGGGAGGTACCCTTATATAGGGGCAGTACGAAGTCGTGGACATGCACATTAAATTTTCTGTCATAGGCTGTAGTATCCATTACGAACTTCAAATACAAAATTTTGAAAGAATTCCTGTGAATAATGTCGCTAATGTCATGAAAATACCGAATATCGGGAGGTACCGTTATATGGGGGCTATGCAAAAAAACGTGGACCTGCACAGACAATTTTCTGTCACAGGCTGAAGTGTCCATTACGAACTTCAAATATCAAATTTGAAACAATTCCGGTGAATAATGTCGCTAAAATAATCAGAATACCGAATATCGGGAGGTACCGTTATATGGCAGCTATACCAAAACGTGGACCTACAAAGCCTATTTTCAATACTAAAATTCCCGCAGACATAAAATACATTTGAGTAAAATTTTATCAACCTACTTCATTTCGTTCGGAAGCTAGAGTTATTTTCACAGACGGATAGACGAACGGACATTGCTAGCACGACATAGAATTTTATGCTGATCAAGAATACAGGGTGAGATAAAAAACTGCAACAAAGTCAAACACCATTATTTTTACATATTCTTTAAATTTTATTGAGTGAAAGCAAAAGATGTCTGAGGGTATACATCTGTCGGCAAAACTGACTGAAAATTTTTATACCCTCCACCATAGTTTGGAGGGTATATTAAGTTTGTCGTTTCATTTGTAACACCTCGAAATATTCATTTTAGACCCCGCGAAGTATATATATTCTCGATCGGCATAAAATTCTATGTCGATTTAACGATGACCGTCCGTCTGTGGAAATCACTCTAGCTTCCGAACGAAATGAAGTTGGTTGATAAAATTTTACTTAAATGTGTATTATGTCTGCAGGACTTTTGGAATTGAAAATGGGTCATGTAGGTCCACTTCTATAGACCCATAGTTCCTTTTGATGATCTGCATAGAATCACATTCTGAGTCGATTTATGCATGTCCGTCCGTCCGTCCGTCTGTCCGTCTGTCCATGTATTTTTGTACAGAAAGTACAGTTCGCATTTATTGCCCTATTCTGATGAAATTTTGCACAAATCATTTGTTTGGCCCAAGGACGAACCCTATTGAAATTGGCGATAATCGGTCAAAATTTAGATATAGCTCCCATATATATCTTCGTCCGATTTGCCTTTTATTGTGCACCAAACGTGTAATATCAGTCCGAATAGTATGTAGTTTTGCACGTACAATCAGATTGGACCTGAAAATAAGTATGCCAAATTTGATCGAAATCGGTTCAGATATAGCTATAGCTCCCATATATATTGTTCATCCGATTTGTTATTTTTGTCCTCCGAAGCCGTAATATGCACTCTGTAACAACAATATTTGGGGAAATATATCAAATACAGCTCAGAAATACATTTGCTAAATTTTATCGAGATCGGTTCAGATTTGGATATAGCTCCCATATATAACTTCGTCCGATTTACCTTGGATTGTGCACCAAACGTCTAATATTTGCCCAAATTGGATGAAATTTGGCACTTACGACCGAATTTAGTCTAGAAGCTAGTATGTCAAATTTGGTGAAGATCGGTTCAGATATAGCTATAGCTCCCATATATACTGTTCATCCGATTTGTTACCCACAGCCGTAACAACGATATTCAGGGAAATATATCAAATACAGCTCAGAAATATCTTTGCCAAATTTTATCGAGGTCGGTTCCGATTTGGATATAGCTCCCATATATATTTTTATCCGATTTCAAATTAATTGTGCACCAAATGGGCAATACAAGTCCGAATTTAAAAGATACAAATGCTTCGGCATATTTAGTTCTTTGAACCTTAAATTATAATTATAATCCTAGCGTGTATGATTGAATTCTCCCATAAAAACTTTTAATTGTTTTGCGCAGCTCTACTAAATTTGCAAAGTGGTGTAGGGTATCATAAAGTCGGTCCCGCCCGACTTTAAGACTTTCTTTACTGTTTTTTTTTTTAAGTTTCACATTTGAATATTGTAATGGCTTATGAAAAAGTTACCTACGCAGGTCCATGTCGTCATACAGACCTTAATATAACGACTACGTTTGGTATTTTTAAGATTTTAATAGAATTTTTTGCGGATGTTATTTATTTATTTTTTTTGAAAATTTCCAAATACGTTCCAAATGGTGGAGGGTATTCAAAGTTCGGCCCTGCCGAACTTACAGCTTTTTTACCTGTTTTTTTATACAATTTCCCATATATACATGTGTTTTTATTTTTGCGAACACATGCATGCATCTCAGAGTAATTACCTTTACTTATTTATAACATACACCGATTTCGGGTTTTTAATTAGCATAATTTTTGATATTTCAATGCCAAAATTTGTTAGCTGTCTGAAAAAAAAGGCATTAAGCTATACCACAGACATCACTGCATCTGCCTGGGCCTTTCTCAAAAAACGTGATTGGATAGTCCGACGGTGGTGGAATATTTTATGAGAAATTATTTAGTTTATGGGTCGATAAGGAAAACGAATGAATATCACAACCGGAATTGCATTGTGACGCACTTCATGACCGATTTAGATTTAAATGATTCACTGGCAGGTACAGCCGAACTTGATCGGCCAAAAATGAAAAAAAAAAAAATCTCAATGAACGTAAAAAACAAAACCAGATAGCCAATTTAATTATACTAATATGGTAATGCTTAATTCTTCATTTAATCAACAATAAGCTGCCTAAAAGAACCACCAACACCAAATAGACCATCGATATCGAGTGGCTTGCCGGGACGCAGGGTTTCATCGGTACCACAATTGACATTCTCCTGGAAGAATTCACGGCAGCTATCCCATTTCTTGTTAAAATCCAACACCAATTCCTCAAGGCTGGGTAAATTTCCGCCATAATCTTTGGGCAGACACTGGGGCGAGAGATCCTTCAGCATTTCCGTTAAATCATCGCCCATGACATGGACCTATAAACAAAGACTAAATTTAATTTTTTTTTTCTAAAAAAACCAAAATTACTCACCCTTTCTCTCAGTTTTTGGGAAAAGAAAGGAAATAAAATCTTAAAAAACTGTTGAGCGGCGCCCGACGTATTTATATAATAAACCGATTTGATGCGCAGAGGCATTGATTTTTCCAAAAATGAAACAAGTTTCTTACAAAAATTGGGTGTCATTTGAAGAAAATGACTGGCGGTGGCTTCTTTAAAGTCCACAATGTAAACAATGCCGCAGATGCAGGCATAGGGATCCTGGGCCAGTAGTATTTCATGTAGAGCACAGGCAGGACGGAAAATATCCTCCACACTATATTTATTTGTGGGATAACAATAGCGCCCAAGGACAATTCGTGGTCCAACACCATTTACCGGATTGGGTAAGGCCAGAAAGGTCCTATAGCAATAAAAAATGGTAAAATTTTCGAAAATATTAATTCCAAAAACCTACCCCAATTTACAGACTTGTCGAAATCGTTCATCATCCACATTGCAGAGATTCAACATTTCAGGGTACTTGGATTTCAGCGAATAATACAAATCCAATTTGGTCTTGGCCTTTTCCATGCTATATTTCGAGCCTCTCAAAAATTGCAAAAGGAATTGATCATCATCGCGATATTTCAAATGTGGTTGATGTTGCAGCCACAAACGTATGGCTGCCAAATCTTCGTGGATTCTTGAGGGTACCTCGCCCAACTCTTCGTTGGCAATTTTTTGCAATTCTTCATTCAGCGTTGAGAAGTTCTTCATTTTAATGTTGTCGATGAACTAAAGGCTCATAAAACCACAACTTCGTGGTCGAACTTGAATTTTTGAAAAAATTGTGTGAAAAATTTAACTGCAGTTAAATGCAAACATTGCACTGCACTGTGTGACGTAGATACGAAAAATTATTTTCGTAATAAATAAAAAAGTAAAGTTATTAAATAAAGATATATATTTTGAAAATGTAAAATTTGTTGTTTTTATCAGGAGATGAAAACCGGATAATGTTGAAAGCATTTAAAAAAAAATAAATAAAAAAGCGCTCAAAATAAAAACAAGTAAAAAAGCTGAAAGTTCGACCGGGACGAACCTTGAATACCCTTCACCATTTGGAAAAAAGGTGGCAATTTTCAAAAAACACAAAATCCGTTAAAAATTCTGTTAAAATCTGCAACTTTTGTCATAAGCAATTACAATATTCAAATGCGAAACTTGAAAAAAATTGGGTGGATTGTAGCTAAAATCATCCAAATACTGAATATAGGGAGGTACCCGAATATCGGGAAGTACCGTTATACGAAAACGTAGACCTATGCATAAAATGTTGCGCTACCGGAGCTAGGGCCCACTATGACCTACAAATAGCAATTTTTAGACAAATCCGTCAAAAAAATCATTAAAATTCCGAATATCGGGAGGTACCGATGCATGGGAGCTATGCAAAAAACGTGGATCTATACATACAATGTTTCGCCACCGAAGCTAGAGCCAATTGCGAACAACAAATACCAATTTTTAGACAAATCCGTGGGAAAATGTGGCAATAATCATCAAAATACCGAATATCGGGAGGTACCGTCACATAGGAGCTATACTAAAATGTGGAGCTATAAATACAATGTTCCGCCACCGGAGCTAGAATCCATTGCGAACTACAAATACCAATTTTTGGACAAATCCGTGAAAAAATGTGGAGAAAATCATCCAAAAATACCGAATATAGGGAGCTACCTTTATATGGAGGCTATTCCAAAACGTGAACCGATATACAGGCGGTATTTTGGGCCATTCCCGGCGAAGCGCTAGCTTGGTATATCTTAGTGCCAACCTTGCTTTCCAAAATACTCCAGACACAATAGTTCATTGGATTGGTATCCGGAGATTTTGGTAGCCATGGTGCACTGGAAATGAAGCGAGGAACCTCATTGTGTAACCATTCTTGGGTGGCGAGTGCTGAGTGCGATGGTGCTGATTCCTGTTGGAATATCCAAGGTCTGTGGCCAAAATGTTTACGTACCCAAGGCTTTAATACACCCTCCAGAATATTTTCGCGATAATATTCGGCATTTATTCTGATGCCACGATTCCTGTTGGAATATCCAAGGTCTGTGGCCAAAATGTTTACGTACCCAAGGCTTTAATACACCCTCCAGAATATTTTCGCGATAATATTCGGCATTTATTCTGATGCCACGATCGATTAATACCAGCGGAGAGCGTCCATCGGCTGTTATGGCGGCCCACACAATCACCATGGTCGGCGCTTGAGTTCTGGTGGCCAACCGAAGGTGCTCATTTTCAGCTGACCTCTTTGGCAAGTAAACACGATCATTTTGTTTGTTTAAAAACTGCTGGACAACGAATGTTTTTCATCTGAGAAAACCAAATTCGGCAGTTCACCACTTTCAGCCAAGCGAAGCAACTCTTTAGCTCTTTTGAGTCTATTTTCTTTCTGTTGCGGTATAAGTTCTTGCACCATTTGGAGTTTCAATGGCTTTACCCCGAGCTTATTTTGCAATATTTGCCGAATGGAATATTGCAATATGTTCAGCTCACGAGTCATTTTTCGGCCACTTCGAAGCGGGTTTCGATCAAGTCGCTTCTTTACTTTTCGGGCTACGCTACAGTACCACGGTAACCAGCGATTATGCGAGACACAAAAGATTTATTCACATTTGAATGCTGGAGTGCTCTAACGAAAGACACTTTGGGTTTTCCAGCCAAATATAAAGAAATCACACTATCACGCTTGGATTCCATCACGAATAACTTTTTTTCTGGAAAATTCTCACCAAAATACTTTTGTGCGCTTGTAAACAATATAATGAGATATCACTGGTATAATTTTAATAGCTGTCGGACAAGTGGCTTAGAAATGACAGCAGTCTGAAGTTGGTTGCAGTTTTTTCTTCTCACCCTGTACTTTGTTGGGTCTAAAATTAATCTTTCGATGAGTTGCAAACGGAAAGACGAACTTTATATACTCTCCGTACTATGTATGGCGGAGGGTGTAAAAATATTGATAGCTATCTTAAAATAAAGTGGGGTCTTTATGATTAAAAACTTCCTTTGAACAGGATCCTAGCAAGTACAAATATTCTATATAAAACACCATTTTGACAATACGCATGAAATCAGTTGCTCTTTGTAGCATTATTTAATAGATAGGCTAACTTTAATTCAATTCAACGAAAATATATCGACAAATGATGGCATTTTATCATTTAGGTAGCATTTTATTGTGAATTAATTAGGCCTCTAACTTCTTTCGCAGTAAAACAGTTCTTGCATTAAATTTTACAATTCTTGTCGCTGGCTGGGAAACCACAGTGTACCCGGTACAGTGCATGGTTTGAAAACCAGTTTAGCTGTCGTCACCGACAACATAGATCGGATTAATTCTTCACCGCCGATTATGAGTAACTTTGAACTTAACAACAAAAAATCTGCTTAATTCCACGGTCTAAATGCAAACAAAAACTTTAAATGGACATTACAATTGTTTCATACGTTAATTAAACTAGTTATTGGCAAAATGTTAAGACATTCAGAGTGATTTATGCACTTTTGGATGCGTGAATATTTATTTCTTCTCTTCTTGATGGTTTATTGGGCAATGGACTGGCAATTAATGCAGGTCAATAAAAAGATGAAGCGCATATTACAACATTTTAAAAAATAATGGCTAGTTATACCTTCGGCCATATGACTAGAGAGGGTATATATCATTTAATATGACCAAAACGTGCCTCATCGAATAACGAGTTACAATTATCAAAATGTTGACTCTATGTGGGCGTCCATTTTCACACCTTATGTAGCACTGATGGGAATATTAGAATTATCAAAGTTGGAGCAAAATCGGATTATCCTTTAATTCCTGTGCAGTGAAATATTTTTTTTTTTGAAATTTCGACCTTTTGTGGGGTAGGTACCAGATGGAGTGGACCGATATTGCCCATCCCCGAACTCAATCTAAGTTTGATATTAATATTACGATGTACCAAATCGGATACTCCCTTCAAGAGTTATCGTGGGCACCAACCAGCCAGACAGACGAACGGACGAACATAGCTAGATCGCTTTCAAATATCCTGAAGCGGATTTGGTCCACAGAGACCTAGGGTCTAAAATCGTTATTTTGATGAGGCTCGTTTTGGCCGTATCAAATGATAACCATATGGCTGAGGGTATGTAAAAATATTGACTGGCGCCCAACGTATTAATGTAATAGACCTATTTGAAGCGCAAGGACATTGATTTTTCCAAAAATTAAAAGAAGTTTTATAGAAAAGTTGGTTGAAGTAAATAAATAGCAGTGACTTCTCTAAAGTCAACAATATGAACAGGCATAGGGATTCTGGGATAATAGTTAGCACAGGCTGTCGGGAAATATCCTTCCTCTGTGGATTATTTTCCTCTAATTATTAATTCGTAGGTTTTCAATCGATTTAAGTTTTATTTAAGATTTTGATTATTAATCTCGTTTTGTTAAGTTCATGAATAAAATTCGGGGGGTTTGAATTTATTCCACAGTCTTTGTTAATCTCATAGAAAACGATTTCTTGACATTTTTTATCGTCATTTATCTCAACTTGAAGGTCAATACTGGAGAGATCGTCTTGAATTTATCATTTACAACATATCCCATAGACAAATATTTTTTTTTTGCTTCTCTTCTTCAATCTTGCCACTTCACCCTATGTCCGAAATTGCAGTCGGCATTTAGATTCATCTGAACAAAAAACAAAACATTTTATTTGCAGTTTATAGCTGAAAGTTGGAGACTCTGACGCCATCTACACGTCAATAAAAAAATGCGAAAAACTTACACCCACGCATTGCTATTCTCCACTCGATGGAGTATAAATGCGTTGGATTTCTCTGAACTTCTAAAACCTCATTTAATCAATTATTTCTTTCAATTCTTAATTTATTTATCAATTTTTCAATACCTTTCCAGATTTCCAGTGTTATTGGCGCCATATATGCGGACATCTCTTAAAATCCTTATTTCGATGAGGCACATTTTGTCCGTATCAAATGATATATACGCTCTCAAGCCATATGGCTTAGGTAATAAAAAAATATTCAGCGGCGCCCAACGTATTTATATAATGGATCTATTTCATACGAAAGGATGAATGACAGTAATTTATTTAAGGTCGACAATGCAAACAGGCATCCCTATCTGGGATAATGGTTATCCAAAATTTCAGTTGGTTATCCAAAATTCCAGTATTGATCTGTACAACAACAATACTTTTTATTTGCAGTCTATAGATGAAAGTTGGAGACTCTGACGCCATCTACACGTCAATGAGAAAATATGTAAAACTTACATTTCTCTCTCCTCTCGATATAGAATTAATGCGTTGGATTTCTTTGGAATTCTTCTAAAACCTTATTTAATTAATTATTTCTTTCAATCCTAAATTTATTTCTCAATTCTTAAATACATTTCCAGTTCTCCAGTATTACAGGCGCCATCTACACGTTGATTAAATACAGTTCATATAGATGCCGTAATTACTCTTCTCCTCTAGATGTAGTTTATGGTTATACCCCATAAACAGAGATTATGGGGTACAAAGATTACCTTGTACACCAGGCAATCTTTGGACAGACACTGTTCTTGTACTTTTTGGAATTTCAATGGCTTTACCCCGAGCTCATTTTTCTTCAATATTTGCCGAATGGAATATTGCGATATGTTCAGCTCACGAGCAATTTTTCGGCCACTGCGACGCGGGTTTCGATCAAGTCGCTTCTTTACTTTTCGAACCATTTTTGCTGATGTTGCTTGTTTGCTTCCGTCCACTTCCTTGACGTCGAGCTACGCTACCAGTATCACTATAACGAGCGATGGTACGAGACACCAAAGATTTATTCACAGTTAAATGCTGGATTGCTCTAACGATAGTCACTTGTGGTTTTCCAGCTAAATATAAAGAAATCACATTATCACGCTTGAATTCCATCACGAATAACTTTTTTTCTGGAAAATTATCACCAAATCTTGAACCTATGTGATACTGGAAGAATGGTCCGATCTCTACCATCTTTCTAACAGATCTTGTGTTGGTGGAAATACTGAGATGTGCCAAGTCTGAATGGAATCGAAAGTTAATATCGCATTTTATGAGCTTCAAGGATATTGAAAATGTTGACCCTTTGTACCTCCCCACAAGGAGTGCACCACTGTACCCCATTTTCACACCAAACCTTGGTTTAATGAAAATATTGGGATTGTAATTGGGATATAATTTGAGGACAATCGGTCGCTTACATCACATGTGATAAGAGTTATAATTATTCAAAATGTTGACCCTTTGTGGGGGAGGTACTTGATGGTTTGACGGTTATTATCCATTTTCACCCCCGACACAGCACTGATGGAAATATTTGGATTTGGAAAGATGGAGCAAAATCGGATTATCCTTTCTCTTTCTGTGCATAAAATATATATTTTTTGAAAATTTCGTCTTTTTGTGGGGGAGGTACCACAAGGAGCGGATCGATATATTCCATCCTAACACCAGACCTTGGGTTAATAAAAATATTGTGATGTGTGTAATTTGAAGACAATCGGACTCTTACATCACATTGGATAAGAATTATAATTATTCAAAATTTTCACCCTTTGTGGGGGAGGTACTTGATAGGTTAACCGTTATTGTCCAGTTTCACATCTGACCCAGCACTGATAAAAATATTAGGATTTGGAAAGTTGGAGCAAAATTGGACCATTTTCTCTCTTTCTGTGCATAATATATATATATTTTTTTGAAAATTTCGACCTTTTGTGGGGTAGGTACCACAAAGAGCGGATCGATATATTCCATCTTAACACCAGACCTTGGATTACTAAAAATATTGTGATATGTGTGATTTGAAGACAATCGGACTCTCGCATCAAATTTTATAAGAGTTGTAATTGTTCAAAATTTTGATCCTTTGTGGGGGAGGTACTTGATGGAGTCGACCGATATTGTCCATTTTCGCACTGACTTAGCACTGAAGTAAATATTAGGATTTACAAAGTCTTTCTGTGCATAAAATATATATATTTTTTTAAATGTCGACCTTTTTTCGGGAAGATACCAGATGGAGTGAGCCGATATTGCCCATCTCCGAACTCAATTTAAGTTTGATAATAATATTACGATGTACCAAGTTTAAATCAAAATGGGCACGGACGGACGTCGCTACATCGACTCGAAATATCCTGAAACGGATTTGGTCCAAAGAGATCTAGGATCTAAAATCTTTATTTTGATGAGTCTCGTTTTGGCTGTACTAAATGATATATACCCTCTCTCAGTATATAAAATATTGAGTGGCGCCCAATGTATTTATATAAGAAATTTATTTAATGCTAAGGACATTGAGATTTCCAAAAATGGACAAATAAAAAAACAGCTAAGTTCGGCCTGGCAAATCAATTTTTTACTTCTTTTCTTCAATCTTGCCTCTTTGCTTCGACTTATGTCCAAAATCGGCAGTCGGCATTTAGATTCATCTGTACAACAACAATACATTTTATTTGCAGTCTATAGCTGAAAGTTGGAGACTCTGACGCCATCTACACGTTAATGAGAAAATACGTCAAACTTACATCCAACCATTGCTATTCTCCTCCTGATGGAGTATAAATGTGGTGGACTTCTCTGAACTTCTAAAACCTCATTTAATCAATTATTTATTTCCATTCTAAATTTATTTCTCAATTCTTAAATACATTTCAAGATTTCCAGTGTTATTGGCGCCATCTACACATCAATTCATTACTTATATAGTAACTACCAAAGAGATAAAACTATAAAGACTGGACAAAATGCATATGGGCTCTAATTTTTCTGTCAGGTAATAGATGGCAGGCGACATAACAGAAATGCATTGGAAATTTTAGAAAAATATGTTATTCCGATATCGCCGAAAAATGGCGGAAATACGCGGAAAAAAATATCAGGTATGATAGACATGCTTTCAAAAATCTATTCCAGAGCATTGAATCGATAAAATCAACAACAACCCTTAAAAAGCGTCAGCTCTGTTAAATTATAATAGAATGCTATGTCACGATATCGTGACAAAACATATTTTTCCACTACCAACGCCATCTATTAAAGAAAAGTGAAAATGTAATGTCGCATCTTGTTATATTATATGTCTTTGTAATTACTATTCTCCTCTAGATGAAATTTGTGGTTCTACTCCATCTAGAGGAAAATACTAATGACGGTATAAACTTATTTTTTATTGACGTGTAGATGGCGCCGGCTGAATGGAAGTGAATTAGGTGTTTATAAATTTCTAATCAACTTCCAATTTTCGAAATGAACCACCACAACCAAATAAATCATCGCCAGCTGAAGATTTACCAAGACGCAAAGATTCATCGGTACCATATTTGGCGTTCTCTTTGAAATACTCTCTATACTCATCCAGTTTGGCGTTCATGGCCTTTATATGATCCTCCATTGAACCATTTGCACCTCCGTAATACTCCGGCAGATACTTGAGAGGTATGTGTTGTTTTAACTCCTCCACGTTGGCGCATAAGATAATCTGAAACAAATTATAATAATATTAATTATGAAAATATGTTGTGTTGGAAACGGCTTACCCTTTGACGTAATTTTTCAGAGAATATTGGTAGTAACATTTTGAAAAAACTATGCGCCATTGACGGCACATTTACAAAGTAAATGGCCTTAATGCGCAAAGGCAGAGATTTTTCAACATATGTCACGGTTGTTTTGAGGAATAGTGGACTTGCTTGCAGCAGGTGGGCCATAGTCACCTTGGACATATCAATTATGGACATGATACCAGATACACAAGCATATGGATCATCAATGAACATTAGTTCAGAAATGGCAATGCCGGGATGGATAATTTCTTCCAATGTGAAGTCATTGGGACTATAATTAAAATGACCCACAATCAAACGACATCCGTTGTCATTTAAGGGTTGCGGTAATGGCAGAAAACAGCTGAACGCAAATAAAAACAAAAAACAATAAAAATCGGGAAATTTTGAAAATATATGGAGATATTTTGATTTCCTTACCCTAAACGACACATGCGACGCAATTGCCGATCATCTACATCATAAACGCCGAACATCTGGGGAAATTTCGTTTTCAGCGTATAGTAAAGATCGATTTTCACTTTGGCTCTTTCCATGCTATATTTACAGCCTCGTAGAAATTGTATCAGAAATTGATCATCGGTACGGGCCTTCAAATGGGGTTGTTGTTCAATCCATAATTTAAATGACTCCAAGTCTTCGGCAATTCTGGAGGGAACTTCATTTAGTTCCTCAGTGGCAATTTTTTGCAGTGCTGAATCGAATGGTTTTATCTCGACCATGTTTCGTTTTCAAAATTTTATTTATAACTGAATACGTGTCTCAGTTAGTCAATTAGATTTGAGATAATTGAAAGGTATTTGATTTTGAAACAAGTTCTTCATTAAAAAAAATAAAATTGAATATTAAAAATATAATTTTTATATAATTGTGAGGTGTATTTTTATACCCTCCACCGTAATATGGAGGGTATATTAGCTTTGTCATCCGGTTTGTAACTCCTCGAAATATTCATAATAGACCCTACAAAAAATATATATTCTGGATCAGCGTAAAATTCCAAGACGATCAGGCTATGTCCGTCTGTCTGTCCGCCGGTCTGTCGTAATCGCTCTATCTTTCGAACGAATTGAGATAGAAGGCTAAAATTGTACATACATATGTAGTTGATCAGAGGGCAGGTTAAGTTCGTAAATGGGCCATGTCGGTCCACGTCTTCGTATAGCCTAGATATGACGGTACCTCCCAGTATTCGGTATTTTCATGATTTTAGCAGCGTTATTTACCGGAATTATTTGAAATTTCATATTTAAAGTTCGTAATGGGTACTACAGCCTATGACAGAAATTTTTGTATGCAGGTTTACGTCTTCGTATAGCATCTATATAACGGTACCTGCCGATATTCGGTATTTTGATGATTTGTGCGACATTATTCACCGGAATTGTTTCAAATTTGGTATTTGAAATTTGTAATGAATACTACAGCCTATGACAGAAAATTGTCTGTGCAGGTTCACGTCTTCGTATAGCCCCCATATAACGGTACCTCCCGATATTCGGTATTTTGATGATTTTAGCGACATTATTTACCGGAATTGTTTCAAATTTGGTATTTGAAGTTCGTAATGGGTACTACAGACTAAGACAGAAAATTGTCTGTGCAGGTCCACGTCTTCGTATAGATCCCATAAAACCGTACCTCCCGATATTCGGTGTTTTGATGATTTTTGCCACATTTTTCCACGGATATTTCTAAGAATTTGTATTTGTAGATCGTTATGGGCTCTAGCTCTGATGGCGTAGATTGTATGTATAGCTCCACGTTTTCGTATGGCCTCCATATAACGGTACCACGCCATATCCGGAATTTTGATGGTTTTAGCCACAATTTTCCACCAATTTGCCTTAAAATTGGTATTTGCAGTTCATAATGGGTTCTAGCTTCAGTGGAGAAACATTGTACATATAGGTCCAAGTTTTCGTATAGGCCCCATATAACGGTAGCCTCCGATATTCGGTATTTTGATGATTTTTGCCACATTTTTCCACGAACTTGTCTAAAAATTGGTATTTATAGGTCATTGGCATAGTAGGTCGTAGCTCCGGTGGCACAACAGTGGTTATGTAGGTCTACGTGTTCGTGTTGTGATAGTTTTAGCCACATTTTGCTACCGATTTGTCTAAAAACTGGTATTTGTAAATCTTTATGGTTTCTAGCTCGAGTGGCAGAACAAGGGATATAAAGATTCACATTTTCGTATAGCCTCCATATAACCGTATCTCCCGATATTCGGTATTTTGATTATTTTTGCCACATTTTTTTACGAACTGGTCTAAAAATTGTTATTTGTAGTTCTTAATGGGTTCTCACTCCGGTGACGGAACATTGAATATCTAGGTCCATGTTTTCTTATAGCTCACATATAACGGTACCCACCGATATTCGGTATTTAATAATTCTGGTCACATTTACCACCGATTTTTTTAAAATTTGGTATTTAAGACTCGCAACAGATAACAATCCATTGAAGCATAAAATTATTTATAGAGGTTCCCGTTTTGGTATGGCCCCATACAACGGCCTCAACCACTTTATGGTTTTTTGAAAAGTTTAACAACATTGTCTAAACGGTCTTACTGGTATATGCAGTTTAAGGTGGAACACGTTTGAGTTCAGATACTTTTATATAAAAATGTTTTCTTTACCCAGTTGGTGGAGGGTATTAAAAATTCGGCCCGCCCTAAATTAATGTTTTTTACTTGTTTTTTTTTTATAAAAAAATTATAAATTTTCATTATTTTCTGATGTCATTTGTATTACACTAATATTCATAAACTAATCAACATTCAATTTACGGAATGAACCCTCAATACCGAACATGCTATCAAAATCAATGGCTTTGCCGGGACGTAACTTTTCATCGGTACCATATTGGGCATTATTTTTGAAGTATTCACTATATTGCTGTAGTTTCTTCTCCCATTCGGCCTGGATTTCATCGATTGAGCCATTTTCACCGCCATATTCTTTGGGCAAATATTTCAAGGGAATTTCCTTAATCAAGGCATCCATTTTGTTGCCGTGCACAAATAACTGAAATAAAAACAACAGATTCATAAAATAAATGAAATTTCAAATTCTCTCTGTACTCACTCTCTTCTGTTGCTTTTCGGACATCATGGGTTTGATCATATTGAAGACGGGTTCAAATCCAGCTGGTGTCTTAATAAAATGTGATGCCTTTGGCCTCAGGGGTATAGCCTCTTCCGAGAATACTGTCATTTTCTTCATTAGCGATGGTGTGAATTGCAGAAAGTGAGCCATTGTGGCCTTTTCGAAATCACCAATAAATACAACACCATTTACATTGGCATAATCATCATCGAGTATGAGAATTTCCTGTAAGGCGCTGGCAACTTGCATCACCTCTTCGGCAGAGTACTTTTCTGTGGAATACAGACCGCTGCGCATGATGGCAATTCTGGGACCATTGTCATTTAGAGGTGTTGGCAGATACAACCACATGCTGAAAAATTTGGAGAAAAAAATTAGTATTTGAAATCTATTACCAGCTAACAACTTTTTTTTCTAATGCTCTTTCCGATATTTTTCCGAAAACACTCTCAGAATCTTGGGCAATCTCACACAATTTTTTTCCGAGTTCGTTCCAAATTCGACATCAAAATCGGAAACTTGTGCAGAATTATTTTCGGAATTCGGAAAAAAATGTTTGCTGGGTTTCTATCTCCAAGTTTTTTATTTCAATTTTCCTGCAGCCTTTAAAGAGTTCGCACGCATTGTCGGCATGCAATTAAACGAGATTACATACATTTGTGGAAAATATTGGTATTAAACGAGAGAGAGAGAGAGAGAGAGAGAGGAAGAGAGACCTCTATCATAGACAAATTAAGATATAGACAACGAAAAGTTAGTTTGGTCTTTTTTTCCAGGTGGCTCTCATCATGTTTTGCATAGTCAACATGCTCATTTACGCGTTCAAGCCACTCGACTTCGAAAACACATTTTATCGTTTTTCAAGAATTTCACTGGAATATTCCCATATTTTTCGATGTCATCACGTACTTTTCACATTTCTTTTATTATGAAATAATTTTCAACTGACAAATATCCTACAGTTTTTGTTATTTTTAACGTTTTATAATTGAGTGACTTCAATATTCCCACTCAAACCCCTGAAACGATATAGGCGACATCTGCTGATTCGATTTTTTTCGAAGATAAACGGTGAGAGCATTTCGTTGTCTATATTTTCATTTGTCTATGAGAGGCAAGGAAAAAATGTGAGATTTGCAAAAAAGAGATATGAGAAATATGCAAAAATTGAGATACTTAACCAGAGAGCAGGGAAATAGACAGAAAAAAAAAAAACAATAAATAAAAACCTTAAAAGGAATTAACATAAAAAAGCATGTGCATAGAGGTCACTGAACTGTCATTCAAAATAGTAGAGAAAACAAGACAAGATAGGAAATGGAATAAACCTATTATTGAACTGCCTTCAAAAACGGTAGTTGGTATGAAAAATAAATAGATACCCAATGTGAACATATAAAGAAGGTAAAGAAAATGTGCGATAAGTAAAAAAGCAGCTAGGTTCATTCGGACCGAACTTTTTATACCCTCCATCATTCGGACCGAACTTTTTATACCATCCACCATTTGGAAGGAACTTCACAAATTTCGGCCAGACCGAATTTTTTATACCCTCCACCATTCGGAAGGAAGTAGAAATTTTTCAAAAAAAAAAAAAAAAAAAAACAAAATCCGTCGGAAAATATCGCTCAAATAAAAATCCTTATATGGGGGCTATACGAAGACGTTGGGCTGGATAAGTAATTTTCTGTTATAGGTAGTAGTAACGATTCCGAACATATAAAGGCACCTCCTGATATTCGCTATTTTGATGATTTTAGCGACATTATTCAGCGGAATTGTTTCAAATTTGGTATTTCAAGTTTGTAATGGATACAACAGCCTAAAACAGAAAATTTTCTGTGCAGGTCTAGGTGTTCGTATAGCCCCCGTACAACGGTACCCTCCAATATTCGGTATTTTAATGATTTTAGCGACATTATTCACCGGAATTGTTTCAAATTTACTACTTGTCTAAGACAGAAAATTGTCTGTGCAGGTCCACGTCTTCGTATAGCCCACATAAAACGGTACCTTCCGACATTCGGTATTTTGACGATTTTAGCGACATTATTCTTCGAAATTGTATCAAATTTGGTATTTGAAGTTCGTAATGGATACTACAGCCTAAGACAGAAAGTTGTCTGTGCAGGTCCACGTCTTCGTATAGCCCACATGCAACGGTACCCTTCGATATTCGTTATTTTGACGATTTTAGGGAATTGTTTAAAACTTGCTACTTGAAGTTCGTAATGAATACTACAGCCTATGACAGAAAATTTTCTGTGCACGTCCACGTCTTCGTATAGCCCCCATATAACGGTACCTCCCGATATTCGGTATTTTGAAGATTTTAGCGACATTATTCACCGGAGTTATTTCAAATTTCGTATTTAGAATTCGCAATGAGTACGATAGCCTATGAAAAAAATTGCGTATGCAGACCCACGTCTTCCATATAACGGTACCTCACAATATTCGGTATTTGGATGATTTTAGCGACATTATTCACCGAAGTTCTTTTAAATTTCGTATTTGAAGTTCATAATGGGAACTACAGTCTGCGACAGAAAATTTTCTATGCAGGTCGAGGTCTTCGTAAAGCCACCATGTAACGGCAGTTCCCTATTTTGATGATTTAAGCGACATTATTCACGGAATTCTTTTCAAGTTTGAATTTTGTAATGGCCTATGACAAAATTTGTCTATGTCTTCGTATAGACCCCAATATGACGCCGACTTCCTATATTCGGTATTTTTAAGATTTTAACGGATTTTTTTGTTTTTTTGGAAACTTCCAAATTCGTATCAGCGTCAACAACAGTGTTTACCATCCGATTGAATCGGTTAAATTTTGATTTATCTGACCAGATAACACGTTTCCAGTCTGCCTGTCGTCCAATTTTTATGCTCTCTTCATTAGCGCCTTTTGGTTCTTCACTGATAATGCCGGTTTATTTTTTTTTTAATTCTAGCCCTATAAACTTTCGGAAGCAGAGAACTCAAATGTTTTTTCTTAAGAATCCAGCTGGATCAAGATATAGAAAAATTACAGAATTGTCTCACTTTCCAATAGTGACCTTTCAATGGCTTTATCTTCCCATGGAAGACCGGATATTGCTGTAAATATAGCCTTAAAAAATACAACATTTCTTCTAAAGGCTTCTTAAATTTATTTTACTTCCTTCTATAAATTCTTTGACATTCTACAAAAGTAGAAATCTTTTCTTTCTAAAATAGAATTATGCGTACTTACCCCAGACGGAAAATCTCCATAAACTTTGGATCATTGACATCTGTGGCTGAGAAAATTTCCGGGAACTTTGTTTTCAATGTGAAAAATTTATCAATTTTCGATTTGGCCCGTTCCAAAGAGTATTTGCAGCCGCGAAGAAATGCCACCAAAAATTGATCATCTGTATTGGCCTTTAAGTGAGGCTGTTGACGAATCCATTCCTTGAGGGCTGCCAAATCGTCGGCCAAACGTGAGGGGACCTCTCCCAAGGCTTCGGCATTTTTTTGCAGCACCTCATTCAATGGTCTTACGTTGGCCATGTTTTAACACCAGCTATCGATTATAAACTAAATTTTCAATTATTCTGAATTGCCATTTGAGTGGCTTTATTCTTTTGGAACTTCTCTGCCTGCAGGCGAACTATAATAAAATGCTAGTTAGTTATCAATGAAATAAAGCATAGTTTGATAATAGACGATAAGATTTTGGACATTGTCAAGGTATTGGAAATTTGCAAAGAAGGTTTTTTTGGAATGAAAATAAAACTTTGTTCAATATTTTTGGCATTTTTTTGGTTTCTTTTTTATCAATATCTACGTTTGGGCGTAATAAGTTTGTCCGAATATAATCTAATTGTTTGATTAAATTAAAGTTTATTTCGTCATGATTTAGCATTTTTTTCTGTTCTTCTCAGACATTTTTTTTGAAAACAAGTAAAAAAGCTGTAAGTTCGGCCGGGCAGAATTTTTAATACCCTCCTCTAATTTTCAAAAAAAAAAAAAAAAATAATAATAATAATAAAATCCTTAAAAAATTCTGTTCATATCTTAAAAATACCGAATGTAGCCGTTATATGCGTGGACCTACATGGCCCATTTTCAATACCAAAAGTCCTGCCGACATAATATACATTTGAGTAAAATTTTATCAATCAAAGCAGACAACGATAAATCTACATAGAATTTTATGTAATTTATATATAATTTTTATAGCCTTCACCATACTATGGAGGGTATATTAACTTTGTCATTCCGTTTGTAACCCAACAAAGTATATATATTCTTGAACAGCGTAAAATTGTAAGTCGATTTAGCCATGTCCGTCTGTCTGTCTGTTGTAATCACGCTATCTTTCAAACGAATTGAGATAGAAGGCTATATTCGGTATTTTGATGATTTTAGCGACATTATTCACCGGAATTGTTTTGAATTTGGTATTTGAGATTCGTAATGGATACTACAGCCTGTGACAGAAAATTGTCTGTGCAGGTCTGGGTCTTCGTATAGCCACCATACAACGGTACCCCCCGATTTTCGATATTTTGATGAATTTAGCGGCATTATTTACCGGAATTGTTTCAAATAACCCATTTGAATTTCGTAATAGATATTACAGCCTACGACAGAAAATTGTCTCTGCTGGTCCACGTCATTGTATAGCCCCCATATAACGGTACCTCCCGATATTCGGTATTTTGATGATTTTAGTGACATTATTTACTGGAATTGTTTCAAATTTGGTATTTGAAGTTCGTAATAGAAACTTCGGCTGAGGACAGAAAATGGGCTATGTAGGTCCACGTATTCGTATAGACCCCATATATCAGCACCCCCCAATATTAGGAATTGTGACGATTATAGGTACAATACTCACCGAATTTGTTTGAGATGTCGTATTTGAATTTCGTAATGGATACTACAGCCTACAACAGAAAATTGTCTCTGCAGGTCCACGTCTTCGTATAGCCCCCATATAACGGTACCTCCCGATATTCGGTATTTTGATGATTTTTGCGACATTATTCACCGGAAATGTTTCAAATTTGGTATTTATAATCTGAATGAATACTGCAGCCTAAGACAGAAAATTTGTCTGGGCAAATCCACGCCTTCATATAGCCCCCATATAACGGTACCTCCCGATATTCGGTATTTTGATGATTTTAGCGACATTATTCAAAGGAATTGTTTCAAATTTGGTATTTAAAGTTCGAAATGGATACTACAGCCTAAGACAGAAAATTGTCTGTGCAGGTCCGCGTCTTCGTATAGCCCGCATATAACGGCACCCCCCAATATTCGGTCTTGTGATGATTTTAGCGTCATTATTCACCGGAATTGTTTCAAATTTGGTATTTGAAGTTCGTAATGGATACTACAGCCTAAGACAGAAAATTGTCTGTAAAGGTTCTCGTTTTCGTATAGTCCCCATATAACGGTACCTCCCGATATTCGGTACTTTGATGATTTTAGCGTTATTATTCACCGTAGTGGGTTCAAATTACGTATTTAGAGTTCGTAATGGATACTGCAGCCTAAGGCTGAAAATTGTCTGTGCAGGTCCACGTCTTCGTATAGCACCCATATAACACCGATATTCGATATTTTGATGATTTTAGCGTCATTATTCATCGTAGTGGGTTCAAATTACGTATTTAGAGTTCATAATGGGAACTACAGTCTGCGACAGAAAATTGTCTATGCAGGTCCAGGTCTTTGTATAGGCCCCATATATCAGTACCTCCCTATATTCGGTATTTTGTCGGAAGAATGTGCAGAACATGATGGACTATCCGCATTCGTACATCGTGCACAGTATGTTTGGGATCATTGTAAAAACTTTCTACAAGACCATACTTTCCCGCACTTTATAATGCAGGATGAGATGAAAAAACTGCAAAAAGGCCAAACGCCAAAATTATTTTTAAATTTTATTGAACGAAAGCAAAAAATGTCGGAAAAAGCCTAAAATTTTAGAATAAGTTTAGATTTGTATGAATTGGTCGCCTTTGGCACGAATTATGACCTTCAAACGGCCAATGAAACCGCCACACGCTGCCCAAATGTTGCTCTGTGGTATTTTAGCCCATTCCCGGCGAAGCGCTTGCTTGAGGTGATCGATACTTTAGTATTTTTTAGTGCCAACCTTGATTTCCAAAATTCTCCAGACACAATAGTCCAACGGATTGGTATCCGGTGATTTTGGTGGCTATTGTGCGCTGGAAATAAAGCGAGAAATCTCATTTTGTAACCATTCTTTGGTGGCGCGTGCTGAGTCCTGTTGGAAAGTCCAAGATCTGCGGCCAAAATGATTGCGTGCCCAAGGCCTTAATACAACCTCCAGAATATTTTCGCCATATTTTTCGGCATTTATTTTGATGCCACGGTCGATTAATACGAGCGGAGAGCGAACATCGGCTGTTATGTCGGCCCACACAATCACCATGACCGGCGCTTGAGTTCTGATAGCCTACCGAAGGTGCACATTTTTAGCTGACCTCTTTGGCAAGTAAACACGATTGTTTCGTTTGTTTAAGAACTGCTGGACAACGAATGTGACCTCTCCTCCACCATGTTTGACCGTGTGGATCTCATTATTTTCTAACGCGGTTTTTGGTCGTCTTTAAACACAAATTCTTCCATTCGACTGAAAAATATTAAATTTACTCTCGTCTGAGAAGATCACTCAATCCCAAAAGCTCACTAGCTTGTTTTGTACTTTTTTGCGAAGCCAAAGGTCTTAGGCTTTATTTAATTCGCTTGTGAGAGGTGTTTTCTCTTGCATTTTTTGTGCTATTACCGGCACAATAAAGAGTCCTACGCACCGTTTTTGGAGTCTTCACGAAATCTTCTACTGTAAAAAACGCACAGAAAAATCTAAAATATATCCAAGATATCTCCCAAACCGAAGAAACCTCTTTTACGGCCCATAATCGAACGCAAAATTAAATTTTTCTTTTAAAACATTTTATAGCCACAATGAAAAAGCTGTTTTTTCCAAATTAGATGATGAAATGTACTCGCTTCGTTATACCCCATATTGACCATACTAAAATTTGTTAAATTGATTTCTACAACAACAACAACCGTTAAATGTTATCAAAAACATATTTTGTATTTTCATAAGTTTGTATGTACGACCGATAACAAATCAGATAATAATTTTTGCCTAAAAAAATATAAATTAAAATATAGCTTAGCGTTTAGTTAACATAGTTCAGTTGAAGAGCATGGCCAACATAAGACCACTGAATGCGGAATTACAAAAAGTTGCCGCCGAATTGGGAGAGGTACCCTCGCGATTGGCTGATGACTTGGCAGCCCTCAAGGAATGGATACGCCAACAGCCACATTTGAGAGCCAATACAGATGATCAATTTTTGGTGGCCTTTTTGCGCGGCTGTAAATATTCATTGGAACGGGCTAAAGCGAAAATAGATCGTTATTTCACATTAAAAAGTAAATTTCCGGAATTGTTTGGTTCCATTGATGTGGATAATCCCAGGGTTAGGGAACTTTTACATACAGGGTAAGTTAACGGGAAAAATTGAAAAGAATTCAAAATTAAGAAAATTAACTTTTCTTTCAGAACATGGCTATACCTACCGAATCCCTTGAATGATAATGGCCCACGCATTGGCATTATGCGCAGTGGTCTCTATCCCGTTGACAAATTCTCTGCCGAAGAAGTTATGCATGTGGCCCATGCCCTGCAGGAAATAAGTCTGCTAGAAGATGACCATGCCATACTGCAGGGTGTCATATTTATTGGTGATTTTGAAAAGGCCACCATGGCTCATATGATGCAAATGACACCATCGCTGATGAAAAAGATGACCGTACATTCCGAAAAGGCTGTGCCGTTGCGGCCTAAGGCCCAGCATTTTATTAATACCATTGCAGGATTTGAGCCCATATTCAATATGGTCAAGCCCATGATGTCGGCCAAACAACAAAAAAGGGTAGGTTAAATAAATTTTGTGGAGGGAAGTGGTTTTTTATGGCACATTTTTTTTAAATGCAGTTATATGTCCATGGCCATAAAATGGATTCCCTTACCAAGGAAATTCCCCTGAAATACTTGCCCAAAGAATATGGCGGTGAAAATGGTTCGGTGGAGGAAATAATTGCCGAGTGGGATAAGAAATTAGATCAATATCGGGACTACTTTAAGCGCAGCGCCGAATGGGGTACGGATGAGAGATTGCGTCCCGGCAAAGCCATTGATTTTGAAAGTCTTTTCGGCATTGATGGTTCCTTCCGTAAATTGGATGTTGATTGATTTAATGATGACATATTCAATGATATTTTTAAGAGTATTCGCAATTTTTGATAGTAAAATTGTTTTTGATTTAAGGAAAGTTTTGAACTTTTATTTAATGAAAACAGAGCACGTAAATAATGAAAAGTGAAGATCCTATTTCCACACAAAGGAGTTAATCCCTAGATAGATAAGGTTTGCGATAACTTAAGTCGGCGCTGTTGCCTGGTTGCACCAGGAATTTTTTTGATAGAGAAGGAGCTCCATCGCATAAAAAAGTTCCACACGAAAATAGCATAGCTGGGATTAAACGAACTAAATTAAATACTCTGGCAAAAAAAAGCAGGCAGCTTCGGAATGTCGAGCAAACAGCAGAGGTGCTGCTGTAGAGTTGTTCGAGGCTTTCTGTGGTTTAAAAAGCCATCCACAATCTACATCGGAGAACTTTCGGAGATACATCTCTACGATAAAGGTTGGTGATCCACTAATTCGAACTTCCGATAGTATAAAATACCTGCGAATCACCCTGCAGGACAGATTAAACTTCTATCGTGACCTGGACTATGTGGTATCAAAAGCCAAAACAAGGTGAATTACGCCTACCAGAGGCTACTTCGGATGCGAGGAAGACTGTCGTTGAATGTAAAACTGCTTATATACTATTACTTTGCTGCATGGGCTGATATATCTTCGGCTTAAATGGAAAGAATAGGGATATGGGAAAGATGGATATTGGCATCATGTTTAGGAATGAGATCAACAATTGTTGACAATGGGATTTACAGACAACCGTCAATAAAAATCTATAGAATTCTGCCGGATAGACGTTTTTTAGAGCAAAGATTCCGAAGATGTACCACTACGATCAAGTTTGGTGACCAAGCCTGGTGCTGCACGCCTGATTCGACTTCTGCCGTCACGCGGACTATGTGTTGTCCAAATACAAAAAAATGAATTGCGTCTACAACAGATTATTCCGGATGCGAGGAGAACTGTCGCCGAATGTAAAACTGCATTTATACAAGCAAGATATTCCGCCAATAATAACCTATTCCTTCGCTGCTTGGGCTGATATTTCTTCGGCTTAAATGGAAAGTATAAGTATATGGGAATGAAAGACTTTGGCTTCGTGTTTAGGAATGAGGCCAACAATTAATCACAACGGGATTTACAGACAACCGTCCAAAAGAATCATCTATTGCTCTATAAAATTCAGCCGGAAAGACATCTTCTGGAGCGAAGAACTTTCGGAGATATATGACTACGATCAAGTTTGGTGACCAACTAATTGCAACTTTGGTTAGGATAAAATATTTGGGATTCATGCTGCACAACAGATTCGACTGCTGACGTCACGTGAACTATGTGCTGTCAAAAGAAAAAAAAAGGAATTACGTCTATAAAATTCCAGATGCGATACAGATAACCTCCCAAAAGTAGCATCCAAAACTCTATAGAATTCAGCCGGACAGATGTCTTCTAGAGCAGAGAACTTCCGGAGATATATCCCTACGATCAAGTCTGGTGACCAACTAATTGGAACTTCCGATTGATTGGAATACCTAGGAACGACAGGTTCGACTTCTGCCGTATGTGCTACCAAATGCCAAAAGGATGAATTACGCCTAGCAGTGGCTATTCTGAACCGGAGGAGAACTGTTGCCGAATAGTTATCCGGCCAATAATAACGTATTCCATTGCCGACTGGGCTAATATAAAATAAAGATGAAAAAGAAAAGAAGGATCTTGGCATCGTGTTTAGGAATTAGGCAAACAATTGAGTTTGAAGTCGACCGCTCAACAGGACCATTTATAACTCTATATAATTCACTCGGATCGAAGTCTTCATGATGAGGAATGCACTTAACTTCCTAGAAAGAAGCCAAAACGTAGAAAATAGGATAATGGAATTCCTAGAATACGAAAAAGCGTCTAGCAGCTCAACAAAATAACGCGTCTAAGGAGTGCTCTACGATGATGAACGCATAATGTACTACCATCGGAGATATCACAGATTTGACACCGTCTACAACACAGTTCAGTAATAATATAATTGTACATTGCTTAGTTTACGGCAATTTTTGCTATATATTCCCAAAATAAACCAGGGTAGCTATGGTATTTTCAACATTATTGCCTTAAGTAAAACGATGCAGAAGGCACCATATACCTGGTCAAAAATCATTTCAGGCTACGCGGGACACTTTTTCTATATATTCAAGAAATAGACAAGGGTAGCCCCATCCAAGCTGTAATACTCTTTGTTCACGGGTAAGCGAACATGTTTTTATAATAAAAGAGAATAGGAGAAAAATAATCTACAGCTCACGCTCCAACAACTCACGCAACATACGTCACGGATGGTTTCAAGATCAAAATGGCTATAATTGCAATTGGTCTGGACTTCACCAAAACCTTTGACACGGTATGGCAACATGGCATTTTATACAAATAAACCTGTCGCATGGTAGCAAGCTTTCTCCAGGATAGAGTCTTTCGGGCAAGAAAAACAACAGGTAAAATGGCTGGGGTTTGTAAGCGACATTCCTGGGCCGCTTGAAGGAGGAAGACTACTTATGTACGCCGATAGCATAAAGACTAAACACGGTTAGTCCATCCAAAGTTTAATACGGATAAGTGAACATGGTTTTATAACACAAGAGAATAAGGGGGCTATCTAGTGTTGAGGAAATAGATTTTTTTTGTTAAAAATCGATCATTTAATACAGTGGTCTAATTACCGCATACGATATCGAGAAGTTACGATATCGTAATCTTATTTTTGGATGACGGCGTTCGATATCGAGTACTTGACATGGAAGTGTAGAATGCAACCAATCGAGTTTTTGCCCCCGTCTATTTTTGTATCGTATGCGACAACTTAAAGTGTTATAATTCTGATTGGAGCATAATTTGTGCATTAATTCAAAAACAAAATGTAAGTATCTTTAAAAATATTACATAATTGAATATTTATTATGATTTCAAATGTTGTAGGTCAATCTCAAAGAAAATAAACTTCCAGCAAAAAATTATTTTGACCGATTTTATGACAGACCATCCTGATTTGGCCAAGAACACACTTTCAAATGTTGTATTTTGACACAAAAGCTTCTTTGCATTTTGCCGACTCTTCCAACCGAAATGTTATTTTTTTATCACAACTTCTCCATTTAAAAGTTCGGTCTGCGGTTTTGCACAAAGCACTTTGGCTCAAACCAACCAAAAAGTCGTTCCCGACACAGTGCTGGAAGTTGCCGCTAGCCACAAGTGATAGTGTAGCTGCTAACTGTAGAGTAGGTGGTACCGCTGTTGACATATGGCCAGTACAGTGCAGTTCTGACAAAATATATTTAAAAGCTTCCTTTGAAACACGAAAGCGTTGTTTAAACCTTCAATTCATGTCGATACGATTCTGTATTCGATAGCGGATGCCGTAATTAGGCCCCAGTTCACATTAAATAAGATAAGAAAATGCGGCGCACAGACCTACGATTCATTAGAAATAAATAAAATTGAATTTTCCGTTTGCTACATGTGGTATGTTTGAGTTAGATTACAAGTTGTAACCTAGACCACAAACTGATAGGTATGTGCAGCATGTTTGTTTGCCACATATAAGACAATGCATGTACTACTTTCCATTAGATTTATGGCGGTGTAGGTCATATGCATGTGTACTTTAAGTTTCTCCCTCTCCCCCTCTCTTTACACTTGATGCCAAGTAAGGTCAAGTCATATTATCATAAGTAGTTCTTAAGAAACATTTTTAATAAATAAATCATGTCTTACAACCACTCAACAATGAAAGACGTTTCATGTCTTCAAAAAAGGTTCCGGTTTAACGCTCGACTTTTCCTTACTCCATTATAATATAAATCACTTTTCTAAAGTATTATTTTTTTCAAAATTATTTTTTTAATACAAATAAATAAATTCTCTCACTCATTGCAAAATTAAAAAGAAAACCACAAACTCACTCTAAAATATCTTTAAAAATATCATCAATTAGTCAATCGACATCCAATTTACGGAAGGAACCATCAATACCGAAGAGACTTTCAAAATCAATAGCCTTTCCGGGACGCAACTTCTCGTCGGTACCCCATTCGGCACTGCGCTTAAAGTAATCCCTGTATTGGTCCAATTTCTTATCCCATTCGGCAATAATTTCCTCCACCGAACCGTTTTCACCGCCATATTCTTTGGGCAAGTATTTGACGGGGATTTCTTTGGTAAGGGAATCCATTTTGCTGCCATGAACAAATAACTAAAAAGGAAATTTTAATTCAGAATAATTTCCAAAAAAGTCTTATTTCCAACCCACCCTTTTTTGTTGCTTGGCCGACATCATGGGTTTGACCATATTGAATATGGGTTCAAATCCTGCAATGGTATTAATAAAATGCTGGGCCTTGGGTCGCAATGGCACAGCCTCCTCGGAGTGAACTGTCATTTTCTTCATCAGTGATGGTGTCATTTGCATCATATGGGCCATGGTGGAGTTTTTAAAATCACCAATAAATACAGCACCTTGCAAAATGGCATAATCATCTTCCAGCATTATTATTTCTTGCATGGCATTGACTAATCTCACAACTTCTTCAATGGGGTACTTATCAGCTGAATACATTCCGCTGCGCATTATGCCAATGCGGGGACCGTTGCCGTGCAAAGGTGTGGGCAAAAATAACCATGTTCTGGAAACACAATAAAATTCTTCTTGTTTAAAATATAAATTATTTTATATTAGGCAATTATCTTACCCTGTGTGCAGCAGTTCCCTCACCCTGGGATCATCCACATCAATGGGACCAAAAAGTTCTGGGAATTTACTCTTCAATGTAAAGTAACGATCTATTTTAGATTTTGTCTTTTCCATGCTATATTTACAGCCCCGCAAAAAGGCAACCAAAAATTGATCATCTGTATTGGCTCTTAAATGTGGCTGTTGGCCAATCCATTCCTTGAGCGACGCCAAGTCATCAGCCAAACGGGAGGGAACTTCTCCCAAATCGGCTGCTACTTTTTGTAAATCTGCATTGAGGGGTCTTACGTTGGCCATGTTGTTCTTCTATGGTTCACTACTGCAACTGAACTGATTACATTCAAAGTTAAGCTATATTCTAGACGCTATTTGTAGTCACAAATATTATCTGATTTGTTATCGGTCGTATATGTGAAAAATACAAAATTTACTCTGATAACTAGCGATTGGTGTTGTTGGTGCTGTAGTTCAAATCAATTCAATAAACATAGTTATTATAGAATACAGGGTATATCATTATTAAAAATTTCATCATCTATTTGGGAAAAAAAGTTCATAAACGAAGCTATAAAAAATGGTTTTGGCAAATTTATTATCTTAAGGCAGTTGCTTGGATTATGGATTGTAAGGAGAACAGCTGGCAACTCTTGCATTTATGTTACAAATGTAAGTGATAGATTTTAATCTAATTTGAAAATCTACTGTATATAGATGAGAAAATAAAAATACGAGCGAGTAAGAGGTCTGTCAAAGGCTCTGTAAATAAGGCTGGTGCAACCCTCATCCTTTTCCTCACAATGTTGTTTAATCGCTGCCTCAACATCGGTCATTTTCCAATAGCCTAGAAGGGGTTCTAGTGGTACCAATTCCTAAGCACGTAGCAGAAGCTAACCTGAGGGGGAGTTATAGACCCATATCTCTGTTACCGAACCTACTGCGCCGAATCATCGAAGGGAGGAGTAGTATTAAAGGACTGCAAATTCAGATACAGAGCAAAACACTCTAAACCCATGCCCTAACTGATTTACAACTTTCGTCACAAATGGTTTCAAGACCAAAATGGAAACAATTTGAATTGGTCTGGACTTCACCAAAGCCTTTGATACGGTATGGCAGTATGGTATTTTGTAAAAAATGCAATCGTTTGGATTGGATGGACAAACATGTCGCATGGTAGCAAGTTTCCTCCAGAATAGAGTCTTTCGTGTTAAAGTTGATGACAAACTGACTGAACGACTGGTAAAATGTCTGGCCTTCTTCACCGATCACTGATGAGACCGATCATGTACAACATGTTGTAAGCGACATCCCTGGACTGCCTGAAGGAGGATTACTGCCAATATACGTAGATGACATTTTATTGGAGCTACAAGGTCGCACAGTGGAAAAAAGATTGAATGCGTACATGAATACGCTCCACAACTACTCCATCAAATGAGGACTAAACCTGACGAAGGCAAACCACAGTCTACAGCAAAGAGCTTCCGGACATACATCCATAAATACAATCAAGGTTGGCTAACAACTAATTAGAACATCCGTTAGGATGAAATGAGTTATCCTGCGGGACAGATTTGTCTTCTGCCCTCAGAATAAGAATATAAGAAAGAAAAATCTTGGCATCGTGTTTAGGAATGAGGCCAACAATTGAATTTATAGACGACCGCCCAAAAAGAACATTTATAACTTTATAGAATTCAGCCGGATTACAAGGACAGCTAATGTACGCCGATGACATTTAATTGCCGCTTTGAGGTCGTTTCGGAAGTACAGTCGAAAGAAGATTGAATGTGAACATGAATACCCTGCAGCATATGGGGACTTAATTTCAACGTTGGAAAGTGCAAATCTGTTGTTTACAAAGCAAATAACAGTCGACAGCAAAAAGCTTCCTGATATACATCCCTACGATAAAGATTGGTGGCCAATTAATTGGAACTTCCGATAGAATGAAATACCTGGGAACCATCCTGTACAAGAGATTCGTCTTTAGCTATGACTATGTACTGTTAAAAGCCTAAAATATGAATTACGCCTACCAGAAGCTATTCAGGATGCAAGTAGGACTTTCGCCTGATGTAAAATTGATTATCTATCCAGCCTATAATAACATATTCCTTTGCCGCCTGGGCTGATATAACTTCGGCTTAAATGACAAGAATAAGGATATGGGAAAGAAGGATCTTGGCATCGTGTTTAGGAAAGAGAAAAACAATTGATTACAACGGAATTTACAGACAACCGCCCAAGAGGAACATCTATAACATTATCGATCGATCGATGTCTTCTATAGCATAGAAAATACACCCCTACGATCAAGGTTGTTGACCAACTAATTTGAACTTCCGATAGGATGAAATACCTGGGAATCAACCTGAACGACAAATCCGACTTCTGCTGTCACGAGGACTGCGTGCTGCCAAAGACCAAAAAAAAAATTAATCGGTCTACCAGAGGCTATTGCGGATGCGAGAAGCTCTTTCGCTGGACGCAAAACTGCTATTCCGGAAGCAAGTAGGACTGTTGCCTGATGTAAAATTGATTATCTATCCGGCCTATAATAACCTATTCCTTTGCCGCCTGGGCTAATATAACTTCTGCTTAAATGAAAAGAATAAGGATATGGGAAAGAAGGATCTTGGCATCGTGTTTAGGAATGAGAAAAACAATTGATTACAACGGAATTTACAGACAACCGCCCAAGAGGAACATCTATTACATTATCGATCGATCGATGTCTTCTAGAGCATAGAAAATACACCCCTACGATCAAGGTTGTTGACCAACTAATTGGAACTTCCGATAGGATGAAATACCTGGGAATCAACCTGAACGACAAATCCGACTTCTGCTGTCACGAGAACTACGTGCTGCCAAGGACCAAAAAAAATTAATCCGTCTACCAGAGGCTATTGCGGATGCGAGGAGGTATGAGACCAACAATTGATGATAATGGAATTTACAGACAGTTCAATAAAACAACTATAACTCTATAGTATTCAGTCGGATCGACGTCTTCGTGATAGGGAATGTGCTTAACTTCCTAGAGAGAAGCCAAGACCTAAAAAATAGGATAGTAGAACACTTCCTGGAATATGAAGAGAAACAAAGAAAGGACCTTCTACCCCCTCTTAGCTAAAATTATGCGGCGAAAACAGGAACATTTATAACTCTATGGAATTCAGCATAATTGGCGTCTTCATGATGACGTATGTAGTGGAAGGTGTGAGCACATAAGCAGCTTGAATTCTTCGCATATCATATTTTGTGAAAGATCATAAAGAAAGCCAAGAAAATAGGATAGTGGAACAATTCCTGGAATATGAATAGGTATTCCCCAAGTTTCTGCAGAACGCATATCTGCTAAAACTACGCTACGCTAGTGCTCTACGATGCTGGCCGCTTAATATTCTACGATTTGACACTGACTCTGAGCCTGTCTACATACATACAGCTCAGTAATACTAAAGACTTAAATAATTTAATGATTGCTTAGCATTACAATATCAAGATTTATTAAAAATGTTGAAGTAATTTCCGATAAAGAAACACACTTCATACTTTCAAATTATTTATCTTTATTAAATCAACACCTTAATCCACATCTAATTTACGGAAAGAGCCTTCAATACCAAACATGCTATTGAAATCGATGGCCTTGCCGGGACGCAATTTCTCATCGGTGCCATATTCGGCATTCTTCTTAAAGTATTCGGCATATTGATCCATTTTCTTTTCCCATTCCTGCATCATTTCATCCACGGAGCTATTTTCACCGCCATATTCCTTGGGCAAATATTTCAAAGGGATTTCCTTGGTCAATGAATCCAGTTTGTTGCCATGAACAAATAACTGCAAAATCATGCAAATAAAAACAAGTACAAATATACCAAAATACATACACATGGCCTATTTGCGATATCAACTATCGATCGCAATGACCTTGCCAATAATGGGCCATAAAACAGAAAACTTACCCGACTTTGTTGTTTAGCCGATAACATGGGTTTCACCATATTGAATATGGGTTCGAATCCAGAGGGTGTGTTAATAAAATGACTTGCTTTGGGACGCAAGGGAATAGCTTCTTCGGAGAACACGGTGGCTTTTTTCATCAGCGAGGGCGTCCATTGGAACATGTGAGCCATGGTGGCCTTACCAAAATCTCCAATGAATATTATGCCATGGATATTGGCATAGTCATCTTCGAGGAGAGCAATTTCTTGCATGGCATGGGAGACAGCCATTACCTCTTCCATGGTATACTTTTCCGGGGGATACAAGCTGGAGCGCATAATGCAAATGCGGGGACCGTTACCATTTAATGGTTCGGGGAGGTACATGAACATGCTAGGAAAATACAAATTAATTATAAAAAACTATTTCCTAAAATTCCTTTTTATACCCACCCCAGTTTCAAAATTTCCCGAAACCTCGGATCCTTGACATCGGTGACATTAAACATTTCGGGAAATTTACTCTTCAACGTAAAGAATTTATCAATTTTTGATTTCGTTTTCTCCAAGCTATATTTACAGCCTCGCAGGAAGGCCAAGAGAAACTGATCATCGGTATTGGCTTTTAAATGTGGCTGCTGGGCAATCCATTGTTTGAGTTGAGCCAAGTCGTCGGGAATGCGCGAGGGAACCTCACCCAAAAGGTCTATTGCCGCCTTTTGTAATTCTTCACTAAGTGGTCTAACCTGTGCCGCCGTCATGTTGTTCAGCCAACGTCTATTCCGATAATGGGAAGTAAAAGCTAAACATAGGAAAGACGATAATGGAAGAGCTCTCCCCGCTAATCTTTGATTTCTTAAATGATTGTTTGATAAGTACTGCCAATATAGACAATAGGTGTGTTTTATTTTCGATTCAGATATAAATTTAAGATTTGTAGAGGAATTGCTTTTAGTTGGTATTAATGATGTAAAACATAAGCTCACTACCAGAACTTTAATAGGATTTTTTAGAGGGCCACTAAAGCTGGTGGATTTTGAAAAAAGACCACCGTAGCTTTTTTAAAAGGACATTTAGGGCTTTAATTGTGGACTTTTTTAAAGACCACCAGAGTTTTAATAGTGAACTTTTTTAAATAGGACCACCAGAGCTTTAGTAGTGAACTTCTTAAAAAGGTTGCCCAGAATTTGTATCTTGAGCCATTTCCTAAAAACAGCAGAGCTTAAATCGTGGACTTTTAAAAAATACCAATACACTTTTTTCGTAAATTTTTTAAGATGATCGCTTTTATCGTGAAAAACTAAAGCTTTAATGGTGGATGGTTTACAAGGATCACCTGAGCTTTAAACTTGGTTTTTTTTTTCAAAGGACCACCAGAGCTTTAATCTCGAATTTTTTTAAAGGATCACAAAAGCTTTCATCAAGGGTTTTTAAGAAAAACTAGAGCGTTAATCGTATATTGATTATTAAGAACACCTTAACTTAAATCATGGATTGTTTTAAAGTCCCATCAGAGCTTTAAGTTTGAATTTGTTAAAAGAACCACTAGAGCTTTCATCACGGGTTTTTCTAAAAGGAAAAGAAGAACTTTAATCCTAAATTCTTTACAAGGAACACCTGCGCTTTAATTGTGAATTTTTGAAGGATCACCAGAGATTTGATCAAAAATTTTTAAAAGTAGCTTTCATATGGGCTTTCTAAAGGAAAATTAGAGCTTTAATCGGGTTTTTTTTGCAAGTACTGCCAGAGGTTTAAGGATCGGGTTTCGAAAGGATTTTCAAAAGAACTTTCAGAGCTTTAATTGTGTATTTTCTAAAAACTTACTGCAAGGCCGCTAGAATTTTAATTGCTCATTGTTATAAGGCACTTTTGAGGATTTTTAAAGCATTTTCAAAGCTTTAAGTTTCCAAGATAACTAAAAAACTGCAGAGATATTTTTTTTTTAGATTTTTTTTATTGAGCCACCAGAGCTATAATTGTAGATTTTTAGCATTAAAAACATAGCTATAATCGTATTCTTAAGATGAGGTCAAGGGCGACCAGTGGTGAAATCATGGACTTTTAGAGGATTTTTAAAGCACCATCAGCCATAATTAAAATTATAAAAAAGGAATGATAATTTTAAAGGAGCTACACTTTTGGATTTTTGAAAAGCCTAAAGAGTTTTGGGAAAAGTAAGATTTTTTTAAGAAACTCCAGAGATACAGTCATAAATTGCAGTATCGATTTTTTGAGAACTAGCTGATTTTGAAATCATTTTTTAAACGTTGTTTTGAGTTTTTAAAGGACCATCGGAGCTATATTTTCGGTTTATTTAAGGGGATTAAAAATACTACCGGATTAAGCGATTTCTGGAGGGGTTTTAAAAATTTCTAAAGGAACCGCAGTTAAAAAAAAGATGTTAAAAAAATTAAGGATTTTTAAGAATGTTTTTTCAAGGACCATTAAAAATTATAAATTTGGATTTTCAAGGGCCTGTTGGTTCTTAAAGAAAACTAAAGAATCAAAAGAGCTATAATCGTGTTTTGTTTTTGAAGGATTGGTTCAATGTTTGTCAAAGGATTTTAATTTTTTTATTTTAAAGAATTTTAAAATTTTTAAAAATTTTCTAAAGCAATAATTGAGGATATATTAGGCCTACCATCGGCAAACCGTCTAGGTTGGAGGATGTATAGTTACAATTGAAATTGCAACTACCTCATTCGGAGACATTTCGATTCATTGTGATCATCCTGCGTGAAACGGAAAAGGAAGAAACAAGTAAAAAAATCAGCTATGTACGGCCGGGCCGAACTTTTAATGCGCTCCACCATTTGGAAGGATCTTGCACAATGTTAAGAGTATTTAGACGAAAATACCGTTTAAATGAAAACCGTTATATGAGGGCTATACGAAGACTAGGAACTGCATACGCAATTATTTGTCATAGGCTGAAGTACCCATTAGGACCTTCAAATACGAAATTTAAAACAATTCCATAGAAAAATGCCGCTAATATCATCAAAATACTAGAAGTAAGGGAGGTGCCATTATATGTGAGGTATACGAAGATATGAACCTGCATACGCAAATTTTTGTCATTAGCTGTTGTACACATTACCAACTTTAAATACTAATTTTGAAACTATTCCGGTGTATAATGTCTCTAAAATCAAAACAAGTAAGCAAAGGCTATAGTCGTGCGGGGCCGACTATGTTATACCCTACAACACAATATTTTGCAATCATCTCCAAAAGCAAGAAGCCCTTCTGTATCTCCAAATTTAGACTCATCTATATGATTTGCTTGTCTACGATATTTGGCTATATTCGTCAACGAAATCAGCATAAAAGAGCCAGAAGTTCGCCTTTTGTGTATTTCGGATATCGTCTGTAAGTAATGCTGGATTTTTTTTCAAACAAAATTAATGGTCTATTGTACCCGCTGTCCCAAACTCTAACTTTATGCAAGATTTTTTGTCCTTTGGTTTCTATTTGTGACCTTTATAACGGCTGCAAAATCAGGAAAATTTTAGGTTGTTGGTCCATTTCAACACTCTAATATATTGCGGACATCTTTGAAAACAATAGGCCTAGCCCTTCTGAGCCCAACCCTGGGTGAAATAGGTCAGAACATTTGTGTTAAATAATAGTCAAAATTTCCATTAAACCGCGAATATACAACACATAGTGTTGTAGGGTATAAAAATATAGAATGTTGGGAGGCACTGTTATAAAGAGGCTATACGAAGCAGTGGACCTGCATAAGTAATTTTTTGTCATAGGTTGTAGTACTCATTAACATCTTCCAATACGAAATTTGAATATTTAGGGGTATCGTTATATGGGGACTATACGAAAACGTGGACCGACATGACCCAATTTCGAACTTAACCTGCCCAATGAAAAAAAAAATCAAATAGAATGGTGGAGGGTATAAAAATAAAAGTTGAGCGAGATGAAAGGTGATAGATCTTTTTGCGATGTTATTGGAGATAAAGGGATTCATCTCTGAAGGCACTTTGAGTCGAATTTTCTCCTATAGCTCGTAGTCTTTCCCTTAATAGAACAGGACAGCGGCATAAAAGGTGTTCGATCAGTTCGTTCTCTGTCTCATTCTCACATCGCCTACAGTATTCGTATAGCCTGCAGTATTCGCAAAGCCTGCAGTATTCGATTTGGACCTATTGATCGGATATTTGCAGTGACCTGTTAGCATCCATCCTTGCCATCTGATGAGTTGCCCAACAAAGCCAGATAGTAGTGGGCAGTGTTCCCAGAACTGTTCTACACCTCAGGACTGCATCAGAATTTAATATTGAGGATCCTCCCGATTCACTTTTAAAGTTTCCTCATCTTTTAAAATATATACGTATTCAAATTCTTAAAAATCATTTAAAACAAAATGTTCGAAATTTGTTACAAACATGGCTGGTAAACTATTCGATCTTAATGGGTGTGGATTATTCTAATTGTTTTGTTTATTAGATGCATGTGGAGGATATTACGCGTTACTAATTGTATAATTATAATCAATATTCATATAAATTATAGAGTAAGTTAAGTATGGATTTAGTATTTGACAAATTCTTGGTTGATCATGATGCTCCAATATAGCTCTCCTCGATTTAAAAATTAATCTATTGAAGATGTAACACATTTTTAATAGGATTTGTCAAGTGGGCATATTCCGTGTCTCCCAAGGGTCTTCATTTTCAATTTCGGTTCAAATCGGCATGTAAATGATGTTAGATAAAAAATTATCTCTAAATAATATTTATTTTAGGAATACGTAATCAAAAACAAAACTTGACTTACACATTGTTCGATTTTTACCGTTATGTATGGACTATACGAAGACGTGGACCTGCACGCACAATTTTCTGTCATAGCAACCATTACGAACTTCAAATACCAAATTTGAAACATTTCCGGTGAATAATGTCGCTTAAATCACCAAAATACCGAAAATAGTGAGGTACTATTATATGGAGGCTATACCAAAACGTGCACCTATATGACCCATTTTCAATACCAAAAGTCCTGCAGACATAATATACATTTGAGTAAAATTTTATCAACCTTCTTCATTTCGTTCTGTAGCTAGTGTGATTTCTACAGACGGACAGACAGACGAACGGACATCGCTGAATCGACAAAGAATTTTATGCTGATTAAGAATATATAAAATGTATATTTCGAAGTATTACAAACGGAATGACAAACTTAATATAACCTCCATACTTTGGTGGAGGGTATAAAAACAACGATATTGGGCATAGACAAATGAAAATATAGACAACGAAATGCTCTCACCGTTTATCTTCGAAAAAAATCGAATCAGCAGATGTCGCCTATATCGTTTCAGGGGTTTGAGTGGGAATATTGAAGTCACTCAATTATAAAACGTTAAAAATAACAAAAACTGTAGGATATTTGTCAGTTGAAAATTATTTCATAATAAAAGAAATGTGAAAAGTACGTGATGACATCGAAAAATATGGGAATATTCCAGTGAAATTCTTGAAAAACTATAAAATGTGTTTTCGAAGTCGAGTGGCTTGAACGCGTAAATGAGCATGTTGACTATGCAAAACATGATGAGAGCCACCTGGAAAAAAAGACCAAACTAACTTTTCGTTGTCTATATCTTAATTTGTCTATGACCGAAATAACGTATAATTCATTCAGAGAGAGAGAGAGAGAGAGAAAGAGAGCAAATTGTTGTTAAGGGAAACTTTTTCATTTCGAAAGTTTTTATACCCTACACCACAAGGTGGTCAGGGTATTATGTCTTTGTGCATTTGTTTCTAACAGGCAAAAGGAAACTAGATAGACCCATAGTTCCTTTTGATGATCTGCATAGAATCACATTCTGAGTCAATTTATCCGTCCGTCTGTCGTCCGTCCGTCTGTCCATGTATTTTTGTAAACAAAGTACAGTTCGCATTTATTGGCCTATCCAGATGAAATTTTGCACAAATCATTTGTTTCGCCCAAGGAGGAACCCTATTGAAATTGGAGATAATCGGTAAAAATTTAGATATAGCTCCCATATATATCTTCGTCCAACAATATTTGGGGAAATATATTATATACAGCTCAGAAATACATTTACTAAATTTTATCGAGATCTCCCATATATAACTTCGTCCGATTTACCTTTGATTGTGCACCAAACGTCTAATATTTGGATGAAGTTTGGCACCTACGACCGAATTGAGTCTAGAACCTAGTATGTCAAATTTGGTGAAGATCGGTTCAGATATAGCTATAGCTCCCATTTATACTGGTCATCCGATTTGTTATATTTGTTACCCACAGCAGTAATATGCACTCCGTAACAACGATATTCAGGGAAATATATCAAATACAGCTCAGAAATATCTTTGCCAGATTTTATCGAGATCGGTTCCGATTTGGATATAGCTCCCATATATATTTTTATCCGATTTCAAATTAATTGTGCAATACAAGTCCGAATTTAAAAGATACAAATGCTTCGGCATATTTTGCCCTTTGAACTTTAAATTATAATTATAATCATGGCGTGTATGATTGAATTCTCCCATTATAACGTTTAATTGTTATGCGGAGCTCTACTAAATTAGCAAAGTGGTGTAGGGTATCATAAAGTCGGCCCCGCCCGACTTTAAGACTTTCTTTACTGGTTTAAATCGATCAAATGCTTAAAACAGTCGTGTCGGTGTTTTCAATAGGCCGAGGTCAAAAAATAATAGACTTTCTAAACTGATTTGCTCCAGGTTGCAAGAAGCTCCAATGGCTATGAAAAATGTTGTTAGGTCTCAATTCACAAGTGCAAAGGTTTCCGGAAAGAGAAGTAAGGTTATAGGCGAAGGGCCCAAAGTAAAAGTCAGTGCCCTTAATGCGTGAAATTCTCTCTCAACACACGATCAGAACCATTAAAAAACGATGTAATCAGAGAAAATTGGGAGATCACACATGCGGGACCCTCCGCCCGGGCCTGATTTACTTCTCAGCTATCCCATAAAACGAACCTTTCTTTTCCGTAAACATTCCATTTTTTTGAAGCGAACGTAAGGAAATTTTTATTTGTTTTCGGAGGAGGGAAAGAGTGATTTCTTTATCCTCCTCCCTCCCTTGTCTCCTCTTTTGCTCTCTTAGAATGAGCTCATTTTTATTCCAAATAAAAGTCTAACAAAAACTAATGCCATGTTTACGTTAGAACTTTTTGTAGGGTTAACCTACTTTGAGAGGATTTATTTGAAGTAAAAGTAATGGATATGACAATTTAAATCCAAATCCAGTGGGTTAACCCTCATATATATAAACGTACTTTAAGTTTTTGATGTTACAACCCCTGAGATTTTCTCAAAAAAAAAAATTAAAATTGTTTTTCTTTTATTTTCAATAATAAATTAAATTAATTTAATCTACCACAAGTTTGCGGAACGAACCCACCAAACCCAGTGAGGTGTCTGCTTGATTTGTGGTCTCCTCTTTTATTCGCTTCGACTCATCGGCGCCGTATTGATTTTCTTCTTTAAAGAACTCCATGTATGATAAGATTTTTTCCTCCCAGTAGTCAATTAATTCTTGCACACTTTTACCCTCACCTCCATAGTCCTTGGGTAGGAATTTTTTGGGTATGATTTTGAACAGCTCTTCACGTTTGCCGCCATGGACAAATAACTGCGATGAGGAGGGGGAGAAATATTATTCAAAAATAATTCATTTTTCAAATCCTTCGGGAAACTTACTCTGTTTTGTATTTTCTCAGGTAATATGGGTTTTATTAAATTGAATACAGGTTCAAATCCTGGCGGTGTGTCAATAAAGTGAGAAGCCTTAACTCTTAAGGGCAGGGCCTGTTCGGAATACTGTGATACTTTGCGCATAACACTGGGACTGACTTGAAAGAGATGTGAGGCCCCGACTTGACTGAAATCCATGACGAATATAATGCCACTGACCACGGCATAATCGTCCTCCATCATTACAATGTCCGAGACAAGTTGACGCATTTGGGCCAACTCTCCAAAGGAGACTTTACTGGGATCATAGGCTCCATTGCGCACCAGAACAAGGCGGGGACCGGACTCGGACATGGGTTCGGGAAGGTAGAGGACAATACTACAAAATATTAAAAAATTATTAAATTAAAAAAAAAATGTGTTGCCAAAATAACTACCTACCCCAATTTCAGTAACTCCCTGACCTTGGAATCCTCCAAATTGGGTCTCTTCAAAAATTCAGGATATTTTTCACGCAGGCTATAAAAATTATCCAGCTTGGCCTTGGCCTTTTCCAGACTGTATTTACAACCACGCAGAAAGGCTATCAAAAATTGATCATCCATGCGGGCCTTTAAATGGGGCTGTTGTAGAATCCATTCTTTAAAAGTGGCCAAATCAGCTTCCACCCGCTTTGGATCTTCATTTAACTCCTCAATTGCCACCTTCTGCAAGGCTTCCGGTAAGGGTCTTATGCCCATTTTTTGTGTTTCTTATGTTTGAAAAATGAAATTCAATAATTCTACTCAGCTGACTATATTTTCAGCCTTGTTCTGTCTGGCTTCTCTGTTCGAATGCACTGAAACGTATTGCGGCAGCAAACAAATAACAATTTTCTTCAAGTCTTGGCTACCGTTTCTTTCATTTTTTTCGGTAAGCCGAAATATATATTTTTTTATTGATAAGTGAATCGTTATTAGTTTAATTAGACGTCCCCCCGTGAAACCCTGTCCACTATTCATGTGCCATATTGTTTTTATCTATTTTTTCAATGAATGGATTTAAACGAAATGACTGTCAGGGTACGGGAAGGGGAGATGACATCAAGTAATTGGAGAAAAAGAGTGATAAGGGTTCTCAGGGGCAAATTGTAATGTGAGAATTGTGATATATATATATTTTTGTAAATGATATTATCAATCAATTTAAAAAATTTACATTTGCAGGGATCGGAAATATTAAAAATCTTGGTTTCGGCATTAAAAAAAATTAAAACGAATCAGTCGATTTTGTTAGAGTAGTTTAGATAAATATGATAGAGGGGGAGGTTCCAGAAGTAACGGTCCGATCTTTACCATCTTTATAACATATCTTGTGCTGATAAAAATATTGAAATTTACTAAGTCTGAATGGAGTTTTATGAGCTTCATTGACACTCAAAATGTTGACCTATTGTAGGGGAGTTACCACGATGAGTGAACCGATATATCCCATTTTCACGCCAGACTTTGGACTAATAAAAAAAATCGTGATGTGTGAAATATGAAGAGAACCGGATGCTTATATAGGATTTTATGATTGTTTTGGTTATTAAAAAATTTAACCCTTTATGAGGCTCATGGATATTGAAAATGTTAACCCTTTTGTTGGGGATGTACCAGAAGGAGTGCATCGAATATATCTTCACATCAGACCTTGGGCTAATAAAAATATTGCGATGTGTGTAATTTGAAGAGAACCGGATGCTTATTTCGGATGTTATGATCGGTTTGGTTATTAAAACAATTTACCGATTGTGGGGGAGGTATCAGAATCAGGAATGATCCGATCAGGAATGGTCCGATCTCTACTACCTTTATAACAGATCTTGTGTTGATGGTAATATTGAGATATACCAAGTCCCAGAAGGAGTGTATCGAATATATCTTCACATCAGACCTTGGGTTAATGAAGATATTGTGATGTGTGTAATTTAGAGACAATCGGACTTTTATATCACATTTTTAAAAGTTATAATTATTCAAAATTTTGACTCTCTGTGGGGGATGTACTTGATGAAGTGGAGATATATTGTCCATTTTCAAACCTGACACAGCACTAATGCAAATATTAGGATATGGGATTTGCAAATTTGGAGAAAATCGGATTATCCTATCTCTTTCTGCGCAGTAAATTATTTTCTTTGAAAATGTTGACATTTTTTGGGGGAGCTACCAGAAGGAGTGGACCGATATTGCCCATCTCCGAACTCGATTTAAGTTTGACAATAATTTTACTATGTACCAAGTTTGGATCAAATCGGATACTCTAGATAGATTTCGTGCGAATCAGCCAGACTGACAGACGGACGCACGAACATTGCTAGATCGACTCCAAATGTCCTGAAATGGATTTGGAGACCTAGGGTCTAAGACAGTTTTTTCGCTGAGGCGCCTTTTATCCATATCAAATGATATATACCCTTTCTAGACATATGGCTGAGGGTATAAATGCAGGGTGATATGAAAAAACTGCAATCAACATCAGACTGCTGTCATTTCTAAGCCGACAGATGTTAAAATTATTCAGGTGACAGCTCATTATATTGTTTACAAGCGTACAAAAATGGCTGAAAAATGGCTTGTGAGCAATATTTCATTCGGCAAATATTGAAAAATGAGCTCGGGGTAAAGCCATTGAAATTCCAACAAAAGGCCGCAACGAAAAGAATATAGACTCAAAAGAGCTAAAGAGTTGCTTCTCTTGGCCGAAAGTGGTGAACTGCCGAATTTGGTTTTCTTCGATGAGAAAAAATTCGTTGTCCAACAGTTTGTAAACAAACAAAATGATTGTGTTTACTTACCAAAGAGGTCAACTGAAAATGTGCACCTTCGGTTGGCCACGATTTTACTCGGGAGAGAAACTTGCTCGCGAGCAGGATTGCCCGAGAAGTGGGAATTTTTAAGGGGTTTACTCTTCACTCTATTTTTTTGTGTTTGGAAGATTAGAGTGGGTCTGCTCACACTCTAAATGGGGAAAATAGAGCCAGAGTTAGCTTTAAGAGTAAAAAAATATTAATTATTTCAGAGGTCTACTTTTAAGTAAGATCATAGACAAATTAGGTATAGACTAAAAAGTTGTCTCATCTATTATCTCTGAAAAAAATGCGTCAATAGATGTCGTTCATGCTGTGAGAGAGGTTCAGTAGACTCACTCAATTCTCTCAAAATACAAAATATTAAATATTTTTATGATTCTTTATTATTTAGCAATTAAAAACGAAACATCGACTTTTTTTACTTTTACACTATCCAAATATGTCGTGAAATATAAAAATATAGAACTTAAATAGCAGAAAAATAAATAAATTGTTTTCGAAGTCGAGTGACTTCACTAGCCCTGAGTGACTTGACTGGCCCAAGATTAACAATAGTGACATCTGCCGGAAGGGAAAATTTTAAAACTTTTTGTCTATACCTTTATTTGTCGATGGTAAGATATTCAATTCAAAAGGTTAAGTGATATCTTTTTAATATTTTTCTCTCAGTTCTTACCTTATGGGACTTCAGTTCCTGTCCTCTGAACAATATTTCCATTAATTTTTTGTTCTTTGATTATAAAATCCTCTGTGAAAACATCTTTTTTTTACATTTTTTAAATTTATTTGATTAACTACAGTGCAAAAAACTATTAAATAAATGTATATTTTAACTAATTGGTGTTTTCTTTAATCTACATATAAATAAATGCTATATCATACATACACATATAATCTAGATCTACAAAATAAGAGCCAGTTTTTGTATAACGAATGTGAAAGAAAAACACCATTTTCAAATATTTTTTTTTTTTTCAAAATTCGAATTGAATAAAAAAATATATGAAAAACTGCTTTGGCATATTACTTCTCATTCGCATTCACTTTCGCGTCCTCATACAGAAACTGACCCTAAATCCTAATATAAAAATTTTAAAAAATTATTCACTAAAATAAAATCTGACACAGAGTTCGTGTGAACCATGATCCAGGTTTTCTAAGTTTTCTCTTTAAATCTGTAACAAAAAGTTAAGGAAAAAATTAATAAAATTTAATTTAATTCTCTCAAGACACATAACATGGAATGTTTGGTATTCAAAAAGACAACAATAACAACAATAATATTCTTTGGTTAGCTTGTCTCCCACAATTTCCCATCATACTGTTAGTTTGGCAAACAAAACACACATTGGGCGCCATTTTAGACTACTTCGAATTATTTCTTCAAATTAATCGAATTCCAATTTTCTAAAATAGCCATCGGTGCCAAAGGCACTATCCACACTATAGGCCCTATCAATTTTACGTAATTTTTCATCTGTACCATAGTTCGGCTCTTGTAGGAAATAATCACGATATCTAAGGAGTTTGGCTTCCATTCGATCGATTATGTCCTGCATGGTGCCGTTGGTGCCACCATATTCCTCGGGCAGACATTCGCGTGGAACCATATCATAAATTATATCATGAGTGGAACAGACACTTATCTGAAACAAAAACATTTATAACATTTTTTTTAATTTACAGAAATAACGTTGTTTCATACCCGACTCTTCATTTTCTCCGGAAAGAATCCCTTCAGCGTATTGAAGCCCTTCTCGAAGGGACTTGGAATATTAATGAAACATGTGCCCTTTTGTCGCATTGGCATTGCCTCATCGGCAAATACCGAGAATTTTCTCAAAATATCCGGTTGCAAATGGAACAAATGGGCTCCAGTAACACCAATCATATCCATGATTTCCAAGAAGCCACAGACAGTCGAACGGTCATCTTCAATCATCATAATTTCCCCAAACATTGAACCGACACGTACAATATCCGAGAATTTGTACTTATTAATGTCATACGACGTGGCCCGAATAATAGTGACGCAGGGTCGTCTATCATTTTCCGGCAGGGGAATTTGGAGAATTATTCTGGGAAAGGACAAAAAAAATAAGAAGAAAAATAAATAAAAAATATTAAATTGGGAATTTAATTTGAAACCTTGTTCTCTAAACATGTGAACTAAAAATTTCCAATGAAAAATGTCATAAATGAAATAATTTTAGTTTCATTTTCTCATAGAACCAGATTCTTAATCTATGAAAAAATGAAATGAAAAATATTTCCTTTAAAAAATTTTTATAAACGTTTTCATTTCATATTTTTATAGAACAAAAATTCTGGCCCAGGCCCTGCGAAATAACATTTTTCAATTTATTTTTTATTTGAAAAAAAAAAAAAAAATTTTGAAAAAAATTAATAAAATATTTGAAATAGGAATTATCTCCACATTCACTTTCATATTAACATACACAAACATTTTCCAAAATTTCCTCGAAAACTCACCCCTGTCTCACTATTTCCAACACCTGTGGATTATCCACCGATCGCCCCTCGTTGAATACCTCCGGTATGGCCGCCTTCAGAGTGTAATAACGATCCAGCTTCTGCTTGGCCCTCTCCATGCTGTATTTGGAACCGCGTAAAAATGCCAACAAAAATTGATCATTGGTACGGGCTTTCAAATGTTTCTGGGTGTGGATCCATTGGCGAAAGGCCAAGACATCATCTTCTATTAGTTCGGGTTTTTCATTTAGCTCACAAATGGCTACCTCTTGTAATACGGGGGGCAGTGGACGAATTTCGGGTGGTGTATCCAATGCAGGTGGATCCATTGTTAGAGAGTGGAAAATGTTTCTTTGAGAGTTGATGTATTGCTCACGAACGCCTAAAAGTATGCAAAGAAAGAGAGTTTTTGTTTATTTTTAAATGTTTTCAAGTTTTTGTGTAACAATGTTGCCATTGGATTGGAAATAAATTCATAAAAATATGGACAGAGAATATATTCGAAGATTCTAAGATTTGGGAGTTTCGAATGTTTAAAAAATAAAGGAAAACCTAAGACCTTTGCATGGGTTTCTATTGACCTGTTCCAAAACTCCAAGAATGTATGAAATTGTACTACGATAACCGATTTTCCCTTCATGATATCGAAAAAAAAAACATTTTAAAATTAGTACCCTCTTGCAGGTTCTGGAAGAGACCATATATTTCTATTCTATCCACTGATATCAAGATCAAGACAATATTAATATACCCTCCATATAATAATGTTTTCTTGATCTTGATTTTGATATCATCAGCGTACAATTCTAAATTAAAATATTTTTCAAGAATTTCGAGTGTAAGAGGCGTAGAATTTTTAAGGATACAGACTGGATTCTTTACGAATTTGTTCAAAGACTTTTTCAGAAACAAGGCTTTTTCAAGAGATTTAAGAAAAAACCTTTAAAGGACCTTCTAAAGAATATATTGCAATTTTTATTTTTTTTCAAGGTCAATTTTTTATGAATTTCTTAAAAGACCTTCAGAGCAATGGGAAGGAAAATTTCAAAATTATTTTTCAATGGGCTTCAGAGAAATATTCGTGGAGTTTTTTAGAATTTTTGTTTTCAAAAATATTCAGAACAATAGACATGGATGTTCTCAATAACTTTTTTTAGGAGCCTTAGAGTAATTGATGTGGATTTTTTTAAAGACTTTAAAAGGACTTTAGAGCAAGAATTGTTTTTTTTTCAATGACATTCAAAGTGAGATTTGTATGAATTTTTTCAAGGTTTGAAATTTTTCAAAGTGTATTTTTTTCAAGGACCTTCAGAGCAGTATATTGCAAAGGTATTTTTTTTTTATAAATTCCTTAAATGGGTGTGGAAATTTCAAAATAATTTTTCAATGGCCTTCAGAGATATTCGAGGAGTTTCTTCAAACATCTTCATAACAATTAGTATGGAGTTTTTTAAGAATTTTTCAAGGAACTTCAGAATAATTGAGGTGGACTTTAAAAGGACCTTTAGAGCAATAATTATGCATTTTTTCCATTGCATTCAGAGTGAAATTTGTATAAATTTTTTCAAGGTTTGGAACTTTTTTGAGCGTAAATTTTTTTCAGGGTTTTATAAGAATTTTTTCTAGGGCATTCTGAATAATAAGCTGGAATAATTTAAGAACCTGCAGAGAAATATTCCTGGATTTTTTCAAGGACATGACATTTAAAGAATTGTTTCAAGGACCTTCAGATCAATAGTCCTGGATTTTTTAAGATTTTTTTCTAGGCCGTTCAGAATACTAGGCATGGATTTTGTAGAAAATGTTTTAAAGATAATTTTTTAATAAACTTCAGCGGAGAAGGTTTGAATTTTTAAACATTTTGTTTATAAGGAGCCTCAGAGTAATTGTCGAGGATTTTTAAATAACTTTTTCGAAACATACAGTACAGCCTTAAAGAATTTTTGTAAATTTTTGTATTATCATATTCCAAGTTCTGGATTTTTAAGGATTTTTTCCTAACTACAATCACTTTTTATTCCTGAATTTTTATCTCAGACTTTGCAACTGTATTTCCCAAGGAACCATCAGATAAAATCGTAAATTTTAGACAATATTTTCTAAGGGACTATCAGGTGATTAATATTAATTTTTTCGATGATATTCTCCATAGGACTTCCAGTTTCTTTAATTTCAGTTTTTTTTTAATCAGATTTCTAATTTTTAGTTTTTTATTTTTGAAGAAAAATATCCCAAAGGATTATTCAATTTGTATTGATTTGTGATAGGAAGCTAAGATATTGATAAGAGCAATATTTTGTCTGCTGGCATGAACTTTTAAAATTTAAAAAAGAACTATAATGACAACAACTGTCACAAAACGTTGGGCGCCATTTTTGAATCCTTGAAAATATTCGACAACTAAATCGAATTGCATTTATTGAATATGATTTTAACAATATTTATCCGCGTCATGGTTTGAAATTTAGTTCTTGGAGTTTTTAACATTTCTCAAACTCACTATATTCTAACTCCCCTTTACCACCCTATATTGTTATTTTTTAAACTTTGATTTTATTTTTAACTTTGATGTTATTCTATATGTACAATATTTTAAGTTTAATAAATTTACCAATGCCAATTTCAGACCTCGGTGATGGAAAAATTGAATTTTGATCAGGATTTATTTATTTTTTTTATTTCTCATTAACAAAGCATTTCTCGACAATTACCCACCCTAATACACACACAATATAACTGTCATTACATTGTAATGGTTTTAATGTTTACCATCAATTTCTTGCAGTTTTACCTGTGTTTTAAGTAAGGCGATAATCCGATTAAGAAATCGAACCAGATAGATATCGATTGACAATTAATGGGGAGGTTTTTAAAAAAAATATTATTAACCACCAAATTGGATTAGATAGCGGTGTTCTGTGGCCAATTAGTACAAGTGCTCCCAAAAAACAACAGCAAGAACAACAACAGCATGAAAACTTAGACACGTGATGGACATATCAAATGTTTGTCGTGTTTTAGGTGAAAGGAAAAAGATTTAAATGTGACGAAAGGAAAACGTCATATAGGCATTTGACATTTTAGTGAGTGTCTTTGGCTTGGAAATGGGTTTCTTTGCTGGGTTATAATACACTCAGAAAAATTTGAATCACCTTGGGAACAAGAGAGTTATGGCTGATGTACATGTAGTACATGAATGAAATATTCAAAAAGTAGAATAATTAAATATGTGTAGATAAGTTATTGACGGATAGATTGGATACCAGTAGCTACCAGATAAGGACCAAAGTATGTGGTATAGCATATCAAAAGTATTTCTTTTTTTCCTTGTCAAAAGATTTATAACATTTGACGAAAATCTCCGTCTCCACCATGTAGTGGGAGAGTGAACTAAGTTTGTCATTCTTTTGGAAATTTTGGAAATCTTCATTCGAACCTAGCATAAAATTCGAAGACAAATGTTCGTCTTTTCGAAAGTCCTCCTTAAATTTTTAGATTCATTCCAACAGTTTCTATAAGGGCTCCACCATAGTATGGAGGGTATATTACAAACATACAAAGTGTATATATTCATGATCAGCATAAAATTCTATGTCGATTTAGCGATGTCCGTCCGTCTGTCCGTCTATCCGTCTGTGGAAATCACTCTAGCTTCCGAACGAATTGAAGTAGATTGATAAAATTTTACTCAAATGTATATTATGTCTGCAGGACTTTTGGTATTGAAAATCGCCCATGTAGGTCCACGTTTTGGTATAGCCCCCATATAACGGTACCTCCCGATATTCGATACTTTGTTTATTTTAGTAACATTATTCACCGGAATTGTTTCAAATCTGGCATTTGATGTTCGTAATGGATGCTACAGCCTATGACACGATATTGTCTGTGCAGGTCCACGTCTTTGTATAGCCCCTATATAACGGTACCTCCCGATATGCGGCATTTTGATGATTTTAGCTGCATCATTCGTTGATTTTTTAAGTTTCCCATTTGAATATTGTAATGGCGTATGACAAGAGTTCGTATAGACCCTAATATAATAAAACAGCGACACTCGGTATTTTTGAGATTTAAAGAGAATTTTTAACGGATTTTATTGAATTATTTTTAGAATTGCAGAATTTGTTCAAAATGGTGGAGGCTTTTCAAAGAACTTACAGCTTTTTTTACTAGTTAGTACCATTTAGTACTGTTCGTACAAATATAGGCCTCTTTAGTAATCTAAATAACAATTTTTAGATTCTATCTCTATTCCTTCATCCAATACCAAATATAGTACCAATCAGTACTTTTTGTACAACACAATAGTCCACATTTCCGAAACTATCTCCAAATATTAAAGTTAATACTGTTTAGTACGTATTCCCCCCGCCCGAATAATCCGCACCATGTATCAACCCAACCGCACAAAAGGTAATCCTAATGTCAAATTTTAGGATTCCAACTCAATCCTTTACCCGAATACCAAATTTAGTACTACTGGTATTCAGCCATAAGGCTGGAGAGGGTATATATCATTTGATACGACCAACACTTGTCACATAAAAGTAACGGTTTTAGACCCTAGGTCTCTTTGGACCAAATAGGTTTTTGGTTATTTTGTGTTGATTTAGAGCAAGGCTAGGCAAAGAGTATCCCTTGGGATATCTGTGTGTTCACCAACACTATTGTAAAAAATAAATTGTTTTGAATTTTCTGTCAGAATGGTTTTGTGAGAATATTTAGTTTTGTTCGAGCAGTCGTTGAGGAAGGTGCTGTCGGATATTTTTATGAATACACCGTAAGAAATATTGGAGCACAAATATATCTTACTACATATTCGGAACAAATATTTCCGAATTTGTAAATATTATAAATTTTAAGATTTATCTTTTTTAATTGAATTCTATTTGACAAAATTTGCATACGAATTCACATGTTAGGAATTGAAATTTATTTCATATTGTTAGACAAATTTATTGTCTTTCCAAATTAATGGGCATTTTCATATCCCTTGATTTCTCTGAAATTATATGTACGTTCTTAGTCAATATTCATTGTCATTCTGTTTGTAATTCATAGACATAATATTTTAGGACCCAACGCAGGATATGCGTTTCTGATCAGCATAAAATTCTACAACTATTTGCGTATGTCAGCCTGTGGTAATCGGTATTTATTTTTAAAGGATCAACTTAGATGGTTAGGATGTTAAGTCCGAAATTATTATTTGTGTTTAATAATTTTATTTTTAATTTTGATTAATAAAAATTATATAAATTTTTTAAAAATGTCAACTTATATATTTTTTTTTTAATGAAATATAATTGAAATAACTGTGCAAATATATCTCCTAATTGTCTGATCAAAATATTAATTTTTAACAAAGAAGTTGTTTCT